TTAAGAAACACAAGAAAAGAATCGAAACACCAGAAAAGTTCTGCAGAAGTTCACAGATATCATCAACACTGAAAGGACTGAAGGTGTAAAAGGTCCCTGACACGACGAGCTGAAACATGTCCGGAGTTTTCTGTCTCTTTACATCAGCGAGAACTCGTCACTGTTCGGTGGATAAATCTGAAATAATCTGAAAAAATCTGAATATCTGCGGCTGATCGTCTGTTTCCAGAGGAACCACAACCCACCGTGAAATAATAGACTTTAAAAAATACAGAAAACTCTGTAACTAAAGTGCAATCTGCTGTTTTACATTCATTTATACGACTGTTGATCATTTAGTCTCGTTATTCTCAGACAACATTCACCGAGTTTTCTTCATGAACGTGTTAAAATTCGGCGGTAAACTTTCATCCAGAAACCCTCAGAACTGAATCGTCTTCAAAATTCACCAAAATTCAGACCTGAACTGAGTTTAAAAGGAACATTTTAAAATGGACTTGAATCAGGATGGACTCACCGTCAGACAGCCTCTAGTGGACACTTGAAGAACTGCAGGTTTTTGCACAGCTGATTCCTCAGGGGCTTTTAAAACTTTAGAAAACTGTAGAAACGTTTGTAAAGTTTGTCAGAGAACAGCTGAAAACAGATCTGAGGTCAGACTCTGTGTTCCCTCCCTGTTATGCTGCCACCTAGTGACCAAAACAAAAATCGCTGCAGCTTCAAAAGGATAAATTCACGTTAAAATACACTTCATTGTGGTTTTATGGAGATTCATGAAGTCGGTGAGTCCCTGAACCGGACTTGGGTTCTTGGATCTGGAGGTCACAGGAAGTCCCTCCCCCTGCGCTCCTTTTTGCGTCTGAGGATCAGATGGTCGCAGCGGCTGCTCCTCTCCTTCACCCTGTACCGAGTTCTCACCGACAGCTTCTCCTCCAGACGAAGATCCTCGTGGGCTCTGACCGCGCTGCTGACCTCCTCCTCCTCCAACAGGGAGAGGAGGCCCTTCAGAGAGACGTCCTCGTCCTTCAAAGACCTTCGCTTCTGACGTGAAGGTCTCGGGGCGTAAAGGCGTTGGGCGACAGCGAGCATGCTGTGGTACTGTCTCCTGCTGTAGGACGTGCTCTGCAGGAGGGTCTTCAGTTTCTGTCCCGTCTTCATCATGTGGACCAGCTCATGGACCAGCGACCCTTCGTAACACCTGAGAGAAAACACAGAAACTCAACATCCAAACTCAAGTTCTCCAACATCTCCCTGACTGAGCTCCTCGGTCAGACTCAGAGTCTGGACTTCAGAGACACCTCACCTGACTCACTAAAACCAAGTCTGGGTAAGTCTGACTGCTTCATCCTGGAGGTCCTCACCTTGCTATCCGTGGCTCCGGTAAGGGGAGGCCCAGCAGCTGGTTCAGGTGGACGCTTTGCTTCAGGCAGTCCTGCCATTGGTTGAAGAGGTGAGAGACGTCGGTGTCCAACTTTAGTCTGTGGAGTCGTTTCTCTGCAGCTGAAACACAAACACAGACGTCTTTGGAGGCTCTGCCGTCACTCTGATCTTCAGAGCTGGAGAACATCTCTGATCTGAGAAGCTTCATGGTGGTCCTCAGAAAATGGAGGACCTCCATGTTCTGATGTTTGTGGAGGACATCAGAGATTTTAAGATGCATCATTTCACTGTAACCCCCGACCTCCACCTTCATCCTGATCGTCTCCTAAAAGGTCGTATCCTCCGATCGTAGCTGATCGTAACCATTCAAGTTAACGTGTCAATTTACACCGACTTCTTTCCGTTCCTCTGCGGATCGCCGGACTCCTCAGCTGATCACAAGAGTTCTATTTTTTCTGGACGCCGGAGCATGGCGGATAAATTCAGCACAGATTAACCCGTGCTGGAAAGGAAGTCGGGCACAGACTTCAAAATAAAACATCCGGCTTCTTTTCAAAATAAAACACTCCGTGTTTCAGGAGGATCGTATTTCACACCATGCAAACGGGCGGAGACGAACAAGTGAAAGGTTTTTAGACGTCATTTCACCCCGATGACACCATGGATGAGGAGATGCTGATTCTAGAAGTCTAGAAGTAGATTTCCTCCTCTGGAAGGACACAATCTACTGCTTATATGTCTATGTGTCTGTCTTTAGAGAGACGACTCGTTATCGAGAGATTGGACGTGAATCTGCGGGTTCTTTTCAGTTTCAGTAATCCGCCACGAAATTCGCCTCACGAACAGATCTGGTGGGAATGGGCAGACGGTGAAGATCGGAACCGTTCTGGATGTGGTGAAAATTCAGGGTTCATGAGAAAATAAACTCCTGATGAAACTTCAGACCCACGAGCTGCTGAGATAAGGGACCGAACTTCACCTGCTCTCCGTCTCATCGACTCTCCGTGACTCGCTCCCAGCAGCAGCGCCTTCAGCAGCGTCTCATCCGGGGCAGGCTTGGCATTTCTCAGCCAGTAGCAGGTGACGGCCACCAGGAGGCGCAGGTGAGGCTTCAGTCCAGTCAGACGGTCCTCAGGGACTCCCAGAGTCTCCAGGAGCAGCTGCAGGCGCACAGAGGGCTCCACCTGTGCCAACGTACAGGTGTTATAAAGTGAGACTACAGACAGACCTTTGACTATAAACCGTGAACAGTTTTTGGTCCTTACAGGCTAACAGGTGGGACCGGACCTGACCGGACCGGACCTGACCGGACCGGACAGGACCTGACCAGACCGGACCTGACCAGACCGGACCTGACCTGACCTGACCGGACCGGACCTGACCGGACCTGACCTGACCTGACCTGACCGGACCTGACCTGACCGGACCGGACCTGACCTGACCGGACCTGACCGGACCGGACCGGACCTGACCGGACCTGACCTGAACTGACCTGACCAGACCGGACCTGCTGCAGTTATCAGGGTCACAGCCAAAGTACTAGAACCTTGACTCATTTCTTTAACAGACTAAACCAGTGGTGTTCCTAAGAGACTTGGTTCCCTCGGCAGGATTTCTGGTAGGATTTTCTGGTCACACAGGGTACAGGGTATCTTCACATCTTTGGAATTTTAAACCGCAGTTTCAGTGCAATATCCATAATGTAGTAATTGTACTTCAATAAATTAAACAGCAGCCAAATATAAAACACCCTGGACAACCTCAACCTACAGTACCCCCCAACATCCTCAAAGGAAAACAGAAGGGCTCAAAACACAGCAGCATTAAAAATCAAGGAAACAGGTGTCAAATATCTGTCAAATATCTTCATGATCAGTCAGTCAGTCATCACTGCACACAGAATTTAGTGTCAATCATTAGTCTGTACAGCTGAAAAAAGAACAGAAAGAAGGAGGAAGAAAAGTCAAATCTGTAAATCTGTAACTTCTTGACACTAATGATTTGCTTAGTCAGTACCAGTGGCGCTCCTGTCGTTCGGCGGCTGCTAGAATGTTGCAGAATGCAGATCAAAAACACAACATACTAACTAAGCAAATCATCTGTGTGTCTCGAGCCATTTGCTGTTTTATTTAAAGTTACAGATTTACAGATTTCTTACTTCCTTTTTTCAGCTGTACAGACTAATGATCGACCAGAAATCCTGCCTCTGGTACCACGGTGCTTAGGAACGCCTCTGACTAAAGCCCAAATAAATCAATGATTCATCCATTGTTTAAAGACTCTATGTACTGTTGTTAGATTGCTGTGTTTTTGTTATTGTTTTATTTTGTGAAATAAAAAGTATTTATTAAAAAAAAAAATCTTCTCTCCTCCCTGGCGCCCCCTTTCTGCTCACGGGCGCCCCTAGCAGCCGCCTACTCCGCCTGATGACAGGAGCGCCACTGGACTAAACTCAACTCACCTACTCTCTTCCAGCAGACGCTTGTTTGTAGAGAGACCTCAGGTCAGTCCATTACAGACTACAGCGGGGTGCCGCAGCTCAAGGAAGAACATTTATGATCATTTCTTCATGGAAATACAATCAGACCGAGACGCTAAGACAGAAGAACTACCGCGTCTGTAAAATGATTAATATGGTGATTATTACTTCAAGGAAATGACTAAGAAATGATCATGAATGTTCTTCCTTGAGCTGCGGCACCCCGCTGTAGTCCGTAATGGACTGGCCTGAGGTCTCTCTACAAACAAGCGTCTGCTGGAAGAGAGTAGGTGAGTTGTGTTTAGTCTCTTTGCTAAAGAAATGAGTCAAAGTTAAAAAGATGTTTGGTGTCTAGTACTATGTCTGTGACCCTATATGTCCTGTTGATGAAGTTAGGTGCTGTTCTGAGCATTATTTGTGCCTATAGAGTGGCGTTTTGGTTGGGGGCGTGGCTCTCTGTATTTCTATCCTGAGGTCGTTACTAAAGTTGGTATAACTAGAGAAGGAAGCGGTCGACAACATTCATCTCTGGAGGGGGGTCTAACTCGGTGTTACGGTGGGTTAGACCCTAAATTAATTTTTCATCTCTTTGAGTTTTATTGTGTTTACTCACGTTGACTAACGCAGCTGCACAGAAGTGTTCAGTCGTGTTTATTTGAGCTAAATCTGGTCGTAAAGGTCTGGGTCGGTCGGTCGGTCGGTCGGTCGGTCGGTCGGTCGGTGGTTTTGGATCGGTGGTGGTAAAATCAGTGATTATAGATATAATTCTGCGCTCACAGCACAGGCTGTAGAAACACCTGAAAGCTTCACCTGGTCCAGAGTTTGAAGCTGCAGCTCCTGAGCGATCCTGCTGGCGGCGGGTTTGACCGGGACACTCTTCAGCTCCAGACCGTCCCTGTCGTGTTCAGTCACCCGCAGCGTTTGACCTTTGCCCAGCAGCAGCCTGTACATCACCTGGCGGATCGGCCTGGAGGTCAGGTTGGCGCTGGGCTTGTCCTCGAGGTCCACCGAGGGGCTGAGGGATATACTCCTCAGCAGCAGCACATCCAGGATGTCTGACGTCACCCGGGCCTGGGTCAGAGGACGCAAGGCCCAGTCTGGGACAGGACATGTGGTCCGCTGCAGAAGAGGACAAACAAACAGGTGTGTTAAACCGTCTCACTGGACCAGGACGGGTTCTGAGGTTCAGCAGGTTGAAGATGATTTACCTCTCTGTCTTCTGTAAATGGAGGTGGAACCCCGTGGAGGAAGAACTTCTTCAGGGAGCTCAAGGGGAGCTGATACCCCTCCAACCCCAGATTCAAGTCCTTCTCCACCTCTGCTCTTCTGTCTTTACTCAACTCTCCCATCAGTCCCAGCGCCGCCTCGAAGGCGTCCTGGGGCTGCAGGAAGTCCTTCAGCCAGCAGAGCAGCCCCTCCAGACGGTTCGGTTGGGTCCCGTTGACTGCTGGTGCGAACTGAGTCCACCTGATGGGAGCCTCCGTCCTCTGCAGCTTCACGTAGTCGTTTCCAGCCAGGACGGCGAAGGCTGGCAGGAGCTGGGGCTTGATTTCAAAGACGATGCAGAAGCTGGAGGAGCAGTAGATCTTACTGGGGATGAAGCTCTGTGAGCCGACCTTCTGCACCGACTGCCACTGGAAGTGAGAGATTGGCAGCAGTCCGTTTCCGGAGTCAAAGATGAAGAAGTCGCTGTCATTGGAAAGCACCGGGCACTCCCAGTCCTTAGCCAGGGCGGCGATCTCTTGGTCCGCCTCGCCGTAGCACTGAGCCATCGGAACTTTGAGCCGAGCCAGCGTCTGCTTGAAGACAAGCTTGGCCATCTGTGGAAGAACGTGCTCCTGCTTACTCTCCGCAGCAGCTCTGTGGGCTCTCTTAATCCGTTCTACCGCTCGAGCCATCAGCGTTTCATCCTTCCTGTGAGTGACGTCTGAGCCCCCATCCAGAATCACATATGGCGAGATCTTGCAGTCCCGGAGCGCCTTCACAAACCTCTCCACCAGTTCTTCAAACGCAGCATACTCTCCTCCACGAATCTGGTCCAAACCTGAAGGAGGAACCAGAGAAACATGCAGATTTAACATCCTGATACGGACGAGGAGTGAAGACGATGATGGACAAGGACTGAGGGGGGACGCCAGCTCCAGATCAGAACTGGTTCCAACTAGACCAGGTCGTCATCACCATCTTCACTTGCCTTCCTCATCAGTGGTTTGGACAAGTCTGTCAGCGTGAACCACGACCAGGAGGTCAGATCCTGAAGGACTGAGGAGGACAGGAGCAGTCCAGGGTCATCGACTGACGGTAAAATCCACTCACTGTGTGAGACCGGCAGCTGTGTATGTGTGTGTGTGTGTGTGTGTGTGTGTGTGTGTGTGTGTGTGTGCAGGGATGTTTCTGTCCCCCAAAGAAGACCTGTGTGTTTTAGAAACCGACTGAATCCACTTCCTCTAAAATCAATAAACCAATAGATTGTTTCTGGTCAGTCAGCTGACCTGTACACGCCCAGTCAGACAGGATTAAATACGTTTGAGTTTTTTTGTTTTTTTTGCCCTGATGTTGTTTTATTACAGTTTACCTTTTTCTCTTTGGTGGTATTTTCACCTCTGATAGATTTAAGTCGCTGCCTTTCTAAAAAAAAAATTTCTTTCCTAAAGCACTATTAAATAAGAATAATAATGTTAATAATAATAAGAATAATAATGTTAATAATGTTAATAATAAGAAGAAGAATAATGTTAATAATGTTAATAATAATAATGTTAATAATAATAAGAATAATAATGTTAATAATAATAAGAATAATAATGTTAATAATGTTAATAATAATAATAATAATAATGTTAATAATAATATTAACAATAATAATAAGAATAATAACGATAATAATAATAACAATAATAATAATAATGATAATAATAATAGTAATAATATTTATAATAATAATAATAATAATAACAATAATAATAATAATAATAATAACAACCATAATAATGATAATAATAACGTTAATAATTATGATAATGATAATAATAATAATAATAATAATAATAATAATAATAATAATAATAATAATAATATTAATATTAATATTTATAATAATAATGATGATAATAATAATAATAATAATAATAATAATAATAATAATAATAACAATAATAATGATAATAATAATAATAATAATAATAATAATAATAATAACATTAATAATAATTAATTATTATTGTTTTATTTTATTTTTTAAAATTTCATTATTATGATTATTATCATAATTTTATTTATTGTTGTCATTATTGCTGTTGTTATTTTTTTAATGTTTTTGTTATTATTATTAATGATAAAATAATATCATAAATGCTATATTTGTAGTAGTTGTAGTAGTAATGCACAACAACTAATGAGTCTCATGCTCTCCAGCTCAGACACAACATGTCTCAGACCTCAAACAACAGAAATGATCAGAATTGTTTTTTCTGGTTTCAGGTTCTTTGGATTGTTGATTGTTTAGTCCAGTAAACACACCCGTCCTCACAAATGTCACTTATTTATTAAGGTTCAAATGTCTTAAAATTGACTGTTTTCCTACCCAGGATCAGGAAATACTGGATTATTAAAGATCTGAGTGGGACTACAAATTTTACTTTGTCCACAAGGAGGCACAGAAGTCCACAGACACTGGATCACAGTCTGTGTTCCAAATATTCTGTGAAATCCTGGAAACAAAAACTGTTTTTTTTCCAAAGTTAACTCTTATATTAAAAGTTTTAAAGGCAAAGATTCACAGAGTTACTTTGGATCTTTAAATCATGAAGTTATTGACTGTTTTTACCTGTTTTTAAGTGAAAAATTCACCAAATTTACAATCAAACATGTTTTCAAACGAAAGACTGGAGTTCTGTTTTTTAATATGTATTGATATTTGAGTGACCCCACAACTCCTAATTGATCAGTTATTACTGGTAAATTCTGATTTTATACCAATTTTCTTTATTTACTCAGTTTGATTATTTGTTATTAGAAAACAGGAACACAGTCAGTCTGAATGAATTGGTAAATGGATAAAACTGGATCATCTACAGTCAATATAAAAACAATGTTCTGACCCAGAAACAGCAATGATGACTAAAAGATGATTAAACAGGAAGTTTGGGTTTTATGACCGTTATCAGAGCTCTTGGTACTTTATCTCCGGCTAAATGACTCCTACAAAACAAATAAAGTAACATGGACCTCCTCACCCATATAAGACCTGTTTGACTTTGTCATAGCCTATATATTAGAATATCTATAAAGCTTAATTCATGAAACCTTCATGAGAATTTTAATAAAAATATGATTAAAAAAAGTCTCAGACTGGCTGTATGAACAGAGGTCCAAAGTCTAATTCCTGCTTCAGTCCTGAGGTTTGGTAAACTGCAGTCAGGAGACTTAAAGGTGTTTTTACCTGAGTTAAAGTAAAGCAGATGAAGGAGGTTATAACCGTCGATCACCAGCCGTCTCTTCATGAACTGGACGTCCCGGTAGATCCTTTGGTGGTTTTCCAAAAGTGAAGCCAGACCTTGGACTCCCATCCTGACCCTGAACCTGAACCTGCGGTCTGACCACTTCAGCTCCAATTTATAGACAGAGTCTGAATATTTCCTTAAGTTTCACTTTCCTAACATCACCACCATCATCACCACCATCACTGAGCCCCACCTCCTCTGCAAACGACCAGACCAACAGGAAAAGAACAATAATACTCTATTACACACGACTGTGTTGTTACAGCTCAGTGGACAATAAATCATCAGGTTAACTTTAGTTACTGTTATTAATATCCTCAGATAAAAAGTCACAGCTGTGAGGAAAAGTCATAATTATGAGATTAAAATGTCAGAACTGAGAGAAAAATACAATTATAGTCCAAGTCAAATCGATAAAAAGTCAGAACTATTGAAAAAGTCACACCTGTAGAAAAAAAGGTCAGATTTGAAGTCATGATAAAGACATTAAAAAATGAACAAAGACACATGAATGAAGTCATAATTATAGGATAAACCATTAAAAAGTCACAACCAAGAAGGCAAAACTATAAGATAAGGGACAACATCAAGAAAAGTCATGAAGTCCTAATAAGGAGGTTAAAAGTCCGTTATAGGATAAGTCATAGTGATGAGTTTACAGGAAAAACTGAATTGTGAGATTATTGTTCCAGCAGTCAGAAAAATAAATCTTGATTTTGAATTAAAAAGTTTTGACTAAAAAAGGCAAAATTTTAAATTAAGTCTCAACCTGAATAAAAAGTCGTAATAATGAGCTACGTGAAAAATATAAGGTAAAATGTCATAAATTTAGCATTAAAAGCTGTAAGTGGAAAAACTCATAATGATGAGATAAAGAATAACATCATGAGACACTTAGTCAACAATATCAGACAGAAGTTTATTTTAGGAGACCATCATAACTCTGAGATAATCCGACAAAACTATGAGGTAAGAAGTGTAAGAGCTGGGGCTGTCTTTGGACATGTGACAGGAGACGTTTCTGAATACAAATGTATGTGTGTGTGTGTGTGTGTGTGTGTGTGTGTGTGTGGGTGTGTGTGTGTGTGTGAGTGTGTGTATGTATGTGTGTGTGTGTGTGTGTGTGTGTGTGTGTGTGTGAGTGTGCGTGTGTGTGAGTGTGCGTAGGTGTCACAATTTATCAGAAAATGAAAGTGAACCTTAGAGAGCTGCAGCTCTGATAACTCATGAGTATGAATCCATCATTTCATCATTATACAGCACAGCAGGTACATTTCATTTACAGAGAACTGAAGGAGGGAAATGTGCCGTTTAAAAAAGAAGCTCTTATTTCAAAAAGGAGTTGATATTTTTATATATATATATATATATATATATATATATATATATATATATATATATATATGTGTGTGTGTGTGTGTGTGTGTGTGTGTGTGTGTGTGTGTGTGTGTGTGTATAAATGTATTTTTTTTCCTGATGGTTACATGTTATAAATCTGAGGACCTTTGAAGGAAACCTGGACCAAAGCTGTCCTGTGGGTTTTCAGTCTCCACTGACCGTCTCATTATTATAGACGCTCCTTATTTTAAGTTTGGAGCAAAATGTCAGCAGAGCTACAATTTCATAATTTCCGGGTCATGATGTTGAATTTTAATGTAAAATCTTTTACTATCGTGACACAAAAAGCCCTCTCTTCACTGTTCTTCTATTTTCCTTCCTTTATTGTTCTTCTTTGTCATGGTCAGTGAACGCATCACCGCACAGACGGACAGGAGGACCCTGAAGGGCTCTCCGTTTGTTTGTGCGCGGTCACGTGATTAACGCGTCCTCCTCTGTTCTGGTTGAAACCGACGGAAAGCTGCTGGAGGTCTGTCGCCGTCCTGCGGGGAGACAGACACCCTTCAGCCGCCGCACAGTGAGCGTTTCACCCACACTCAGCTCCACACTTTGATCCCGGTATGTCCACTTTCTGTGTGCTGAGGACTCGCTGCTTCCTCCGGCAGGTCTCTCCCGGCCTGCGCGCCGCCGCCGCCATGCACAGACACTACAGCCTGGACGTCTCCGCGCCGTTACTGCGGACAGACAGCTACGTTAACGGGCACTGGGTCCCCGCAGCCTCGGTGTTTCCCGTCCTGGATCCGGCCACGGGAAAGGAGATAGCCCGGGTGTCAGACTGTGGCCCAGCGGAGGCCAAGCAGGCTGTGGACGCTGCATACAAGGCGTTTCATTCCTGGAAGCAGTACACGGCTAAGGTACTGCCGCCCTCTTCGCGGAACCGAATTCGCAAAAGCAGTGAATTAAAAATAAATGTTGTATTTTAGTCACAAAAACAGGAAAACACTCAGATCAAGTTTTGCATTAATTCAGATAAAATAATTAATTCGGCGTCTGCAGAATTCACCTCTAACGAAGTGTTGAAATGAAATCTCATGATTCTGCTGTGCTTCTCATCGCCTGAGCTGTTCACAAATATTATGAGCAGAAGCAACTTTAAAATCTTTTTATTCCAGACAAATTGCAGATTGTTAGATTGTCATATTTGTCGAAGAGATGGGAGTATCTGGAAGATTGAAGAAACGTGCATGACGTGTTGTAAAATGTTCGTATAAGTCGTAAAATAAAATAGTATCAAAATGCATATTTTTTATAATGGAGTTTGGCGTGCAGTCTGTGAATGGCAGGCGTATTTCTGTAACTTAGCAGCTGCGTGTCTGGACTCTTTGATGAAGTGAAAGCAAACTAGAGCTGAACCTGTTAGAAATCTATTCATTTTATCCAATTCATCATTTTAACATTAAATTTAACAAACTCATAAAATCATTTCTGTGGTAATTTAAGTTTATAGAGGCTAAATATTAATTCTTTTCAGACTGAACAAAATGAAACAAGAACAGTGGCAGTTCTGTGAGAAACACTATTTTTTAGATTAAAGTTAGATAGCTATGCCAAAGACTAGAAATATTTATATTTTTAATTTTCTGCATTTAAAATTGAACAAAACTCATTTTTCAAAGCAGCTCTACTGATAATATGTATGTATTCTTAATCTGTGACATCAATCATGTTGAAATATATATTTACATTTATTGTCAAAAGTTAAAATGCTACCACCGGTGTTAGTTCTTGTGTCGTATGTTACTGTGTAAATGACAGTAGTAGCAGACGTGGGAGTTTGACCTTCAAGTTTCCGTTCAGTAATCATCCTGTCTGTCGGGTCAAACAGTAATTAAACACTCACTGCTCAACCTTCACAGCAGATAAAGTCCAACTTCGATTGGCAGCCAGAGATGAAGTTTTCTCTCCGAGCAGATTTACAAACTTTTCATGAGTGAAAAAATAATGATTTCATTGGAACATGACTCCACAGGACCATCGTGGTGTTCACGTAGTGATGGATTCATCAGAGAAGAACAGGACATGTAACAGCCCTGAAAAACACCTGTAGTATCATCATCATCATCATCATCATCCAGTTTTCTGTTCATGAGTCTGTGGAGAGTCTCAGTTTCTCTGTAACTCTGGTTTCCTGTTCATCACTCAGATCAGTGTCTCAGTGTTGATGTTGAATTGTTCTCGACCTTCATGCAGATATCTTTTCATACAGAGACACAGATCCTCCTCAGGTTATACTTGGATGTAGAAAACCTAACACTGTCATAGTTGTAGAAGCTGCTGTCATACGGTCAGTTTGAATGACAGCTGTGGTTTGATGGCGGGGGTCAAAGTGACCTTAAAATGACCTTTAAGGACCCCGTCTGTGTAGAGCTGAAGAGTCCACTTCCACTCTGTCGAATATTAATCTGATATTTTCAAATCTCACAGAAACCACGATAATCCGTCACTCTTCACAGGAAGCAGCTCGTGCCAAGTTTCTCCAAACTTTAACTCTGAATCAAAACAACAACAAACACGATGAAATCTGTGACCCTGACTCTCTGATGTGATCTGATTGGTCGTCCTGCAGGAGCGGAGCGTCCTGCTGAGGAAGTGGTTCGACCTGGTGACTCAGCACAAAGAGGACCTGGCCAAGCTGATCACGTTTGAGAGCGTGAGTATCCGAGGTCGAAACACTCCGCTCTGAGATACCTGATTTTAAAGCTGCTACTAAAGTGTGTGTGCGTGTGTGTGTGTGTGTGTGTGTGTGCGTGTGTGTTACAGGGAAAGCCCCTGAAGGAGTCTCTCGGGGAGATCGCGTACTCTGCCTCCTTCCTGGAGTGGTTCTCTGAGGAGGCTCGGCGAGTTTACGGAGACATCGTCCCATCGCCCGCCAAAGATCGAAAAATCCTCCTCCTCAAACAGCCTGTGGGCGTGGCCTCCATCATCACGCCGGTGAGCAGCCAATCAGATCTATTTAGACCCTTTAGACGCTCTTTTAGTCCAATCAGAGTCTCTGTTTCAGTATTAACAAAGTTTCCTGAAACGGCACAAACACGACTCAGGGGTCATGGTCATTAGGTTTACTGGCAGGAAGTGGATTCGTAGTTATCGCTCAATCAGGAGGCGTAACTACGCCAGGAGGCAGAAAGCCGTCTTCAGCTCATTTCTGTTCGTCCAGCTACGAGAAATTTGATTTGATGTGATTCAGGTGAAAAAAACGTGTTTCTATGAAGTTTAAAAGTCAATTCTTCGTTAAAATAACTCGATCATTCGCTGAGGTGACAACATGCAGGGCTCACCTGTCGCTCGAGGTTCATTTCTGCCGTAACATTTACAGCTGAACATTTAAACATGGGGCTCTTTGGCTGTTGACTCACTTTTGGACAGCCCCCAGTGGCCGTGAGGTGAACTGCAGTTTTCAACACTTTGCCTTTTCGTTCTGGAGTAAAACGTCTCGGTAACTTCCAGCTCCAGTTAAGTTTTAATTATCCGTCTAAAAACAACGAAGAAGAAATCGTGACGAGGCAGAAACCCGAAGTGTTGAAGCTCCGATGAGAGACATGAACTCGTGTTTTTCCACAGTGGAACTTCCCCAGCGCCATGATCACCAGGAAGGTCGGCGCCGCTCTGGCTGTCGGCTGCACGGTGGTGGTCAAACCGGCGGAGGACACGCCGCTGTCAGCGCTCGCTCTGGCTGAGGTCAGGACCCTCTGCTTCTCTTTTAATCCCTGTGTTTTTTTCTGATGACACTCAAAGTCTCCGGTCTGATTGACAGCTGGCCGAGCAGGCGGGGATCCCGGCGGGGGTCTTTAACGTGGTCCCGTGTTCCAGAGAGAAGACCCCGTCAGTCGGGGAGGTTCTCTGCACCGACCCTCTGGTGGCCAAGATCTCCTTCACCGGCTCCACCGCCACCGGCAAGGTCAGCTCACAGTAATACAGCCTGCAGCGCCCCCTGCTGGCTGACTGAGCTTTGACTCATTTCATCCATCTCAGCGGTTAACAGACCCGTGTCCTCTCAGGTGCTGCTCAGAATGGCGGCTGACACCGTAAAGAAGGCGTCCATGGAGCTGGGAGGCCACGCCCCCTTTATCGTGTTTGACAGCGCTGATGTTGACAAAGCGGTGGCTGGAGCCATGGCGTCCAAGTTCAGGAACTCTGGACAGGTAACATGGAGGTCACAGAGATCATCCACCTGTCTTCTGTGTCCTCGCTGCTCTTCATCTTCCTCTTCTTCTCCCTCAGACCTGCGTCTGCTCAAACCGCTTCCTGGTGCAGAGCGGGATCCACGACCGCTTCATGGAGAAACTGGGTCAGGCGATGGACGCTGAGCTCCGTCTGGGTCACGGTTTGGAGCCCAACACCACGCAGGGGCCGCTCATCAACTCCAGAGCTGCAGAGAAGGTCTGAGTCAGAGTCTGCGTCCGACGTTTTCAGACTCCTGAATTAATTTTTGTTAAAATGAAGAAGAAATGAAATCAAAAGTTCTGTTGAACCCTCCGCTCTGGTTTTTATCCATCAGAGTCCGGATGTCACAGTCCTCAGTATCTCCAGCCTCTCTCTGTCCCTCAGGTCGCTCATCAGGTATCGGACGCCGTGACCCGGGGGGCGAAGGTGGTGAGAGGCGGGAAGCGTCTGGAAGGTTCCTTCATGGAGCCGACTCTGCTGGCCGACGTCACCACAGACATGCTGTGTACCCGTGAGGAGACGTTCGGCCCGCTGCTGCCCGTCATCAGGTCAGCACCAAGAACCTTCTGGGATTGTTGGACATGTTGGTGTGACGTTTGTGTTCTCCTCTAAAATGATCCAAAGTCACCCTGAAGGTTCTTCTCATGATGGTCACGGGTGCAGCCGTGATTCATCTAACAGTGACGGTCTCATGGACGTGACTCCAAGATCAGCTACTACTAACCCTACTACTACTACTACTACTACTACTACTAACCCTATTTCTACTTCTACTAACCCTACTTCTACTACTACTACTACTAACCCTACTACTACTACTACTACTACTACTACTACTACTACTACTAACTACTACTACTACTACTACTAACCTACTACTACTACTACTAACCCTACTACTACTACTACTACTAACCCTACTACTACTACTACTAACCCTACTACTACTACTACTAACCCTACTACTACTACTGCTGCTGGCCCTGCTGCTGCTGCTGGCCTGCTGCTGCTGCTGCTGCTGCTGCTGCTGCTGCTGCTGCTGGCCCTGCTGCTGCTGCTGCTGCTGCTGGCCCTGCTGCTGCTGCTGCTGGCCCTGCTGCTGCTGCTGGCCTGCTGCTGCTGCTGCTGGCCCTGCTGCTGCTGCTGCTGCTGCTGCTGGCCCTGCTGCTGCTGCTGCTGCTGCTGGCCCTGCTGCTGCTGCTGCTGGCCCTGCTGCTGCTGCTGGCCCTGCTGCTGCTGCTGCTGCTGCTGGCCCTGCTGCTGCTGCTGCTGGCCCTGCTGCTGCTGCTGCTGCTGCTGGCGCTGCTGCTGCTGCTGGCCCTGCTGCTGCTGCTGCTGGCCCTGCTGCTGCTGCTGGCCTGCTGCTGCTGCTGCTGCTGCTGGCCCTGCTGCTGCTGCTGGCCCTGCTGCTGCTGCTGCTGCTGGCCCTGCTGCTGCTGCTGCTGCTGGCCCTGCTGCTGCTGCTGCTGGCCCTGCTGCTGCTGCTGCTGGCCCTGGCTGCTGCTGCTGCTGCTGCTGCTGGCTGCTGCTGCTGCTGCTGCTGCTGGCCCTGCTGCTGCTGCTGCTGCTGGCCCTGCTGCTGCTGCTGCTGGCCCTGCTGCTGCTGCTGGCCCTGCTGCTGCTGCTGCTGCTGCTGGCCCTGCTGCTGCTGCTGCCCTGCTGCTGCTGCTGCTGCTGGCCCTGCTGCTGCTGCTGCTGCTGCTGGCCCTGCTGCTGCTGCTGCTGGCCCTGCTGCTGCTGCTGCTGCTGGCCCTGCTGCTGCTGCTGGCTGCTGCTGCTGCTGCTGCTGCTGCTGGCCCTGTTGTTGCTGCTGCTGGCCCTGCTGCTGCTGCTGCTGCTGGCCCTGCTGCTGCTGCTGCTGCTGCTGCTGCTGGCCCTGCTGCTGCTGCTGCTGGCCCTGCTGCTACTGCTACTAACCCTACTACTACTACTACTACTAACCCTACTACTACTGCTGCTACCCCTACTACTACTACTAACCCTACTACTTCTACTAACCCTGCTACTACTACTACTAACCCCTACTACTACTACTAACCCTACTACTACTACTAACCCTACTACTAAGATCTGCTTCAATAGTTAATATGGACTAAAAAAATGATTTTAATATAGAAACTAACAGAGTTTAGGACTCAAAGTCCTGCTGTAATATTGAATAATTACGACAGAGTGTTAGGTCCACTTTAAGAAGAAAACAAAAGTCAAGACCTCAAGATTAAAGTCTTCAACTTACGAGAATAAAGTGGTAATAAAATCATTTCTCAGGAGAATAAAGTGTTAAAGTAAATTTGGTCTTAAAGCTGCTTCAGTGGAGGAGGAGACGTCTGATCTGGTCACCTGCAGAGTTCATCAGCAGGTCGATCAGAGAGTTTTTGTGGTTTTCTAAGAAATAATCCGACTGATGATCAATATTTACGATCCAGAGGGAGTCGAGCTCCGACGTGTCGGCACAACACCGACAGTAACCTCCACCTGCAGAGGCACCGAGTACAGATTCATACCATAAACTAAAGTTATAAACGGCTGCACTGAGGGACTGAAGCTCTGCACAGACACTTACAGACATTTACAGACACTTACAGACATTTACAGACATTTACAGACATCTACAGACACTTACAGACATTTACAGACACTTACAGACATTTACAGACACTTACAGACATCTACAGACATTTACAGACATTTACAGACATTTACAGACATTTACAGACATCTACAGACACTTACAGACACTTACAGACACTTACAGACATTTACAGACACTTACAGACACTTCCCCCTCCTCAAAACCAGAGATTCTCTACAGGTCCTCCTGGTTCTTTCTGCAGAAAAGTTGAATTTCTTCATTTGTCCTGATCCGTCTGATGATGTGATGCTGAAACACCAAAGATTCAGAATCTCCTTGTTTGTAAAACTGAGTTACTGAAGTTTAATTCATGGAAATGCTCCACAGCGCTCATTTCAACACCAGGTTAGAATATTAACTACGACTTTATTTACATAAGAAATGATTTTATCATGACCATATTCTCATAATCATGAAGTCTTAAATGTCCTTTTCTCTGACTGTGGCCCTCACTCCCTCAGAAATACAGGAGCTGCAGTTTTTCGCTGGTTTTCAGGGTTTTTCTGTTTCGCAGGTTTAACACCGAGGACGAGGCTCTGGCTGTCGCTAACGCCTCGAATGTTGGGCTGGCAGGTGAGTTCATCTGTTTTTAAGATTCTCACCTCGTGTTGACTAACCTCGACTTCACCGCAGCCTGACCCCTTTAAAGAGGACGTGTGATTTTACTGTGAACACGAACCTTCCCTCCTATAAATAGTTGAATTTGCTCTGAAGTTCAACTATCGACTCAGAAGGAAGAAAATCCTCAAACTCATGAAACTCGAACCCGTCTGTTCGTTTCAAACCCTGACCAGCTTCATTTCTCCATCTTTAGGTTATATGTTTTCCCAGGATGTGAGTCAGATCTGGCGGGTGGCGGAGGCCTTGGAGGTCGGGATAGTCGGCGTCAATGAGGGTCTGCTGTCCACTCCAGAGGCCACGTTTGGCGGGGTCAAACAGTCCGGTCTGGGCCGTGAAGGATCCAAGTACGGCATCGACGAGTATCTGGAAGTCAAGTATATGTGTTTCGGAGGTCTGAAGCCCTAAAAGATGACGGCTCTCAAATGTGCAGAAATGGTCCAATCAGCTCGTAGATGTGGAGCTCGGGTCAAATACTGACGACAGAGAGAAAAGTGTAGAAAAGTAGTCGATTAACTTTTTAAAATCTGCAATATATTTCGTGTCCCTTTCTGGCATGATTGTGTAGCAGCCAGGAGGGGGCAGCACTGATGAAACAGGGTCCTTTGATTTTCATTATCAAACGTTTAAACTGAGAATATTCTGAACTACAGGACGTCCCAGCGGCTCCACAGTCATCAGCTTTATTTCTAGAACAAAAGAGACGATAAACTCTCCGGACACTTCGCACAGAAAAATGTCAAAACTCCCACAGAACCAGAAACTCAAAGACTGACACGCCTGCTGTGCTTAGTTACGGTTGCTAGGCTGTGATTGGCTGGTTGCTGCGGTGTGGTGTTCTTGTAAACATTACGGAACATTTGTCCGCTCTCTCTGCGCTGTCTGACGTTTTTATTTCTATCAAACTCTAAATTCCTGTAGGTTTATTTTAACTGACATAGCAGGAGCTTTAAACTGCGACAGAGAAAAATTCACACAGAACAGATTCATTTAAGTCTGAATTCACATCCTAAATGTTCAGTCCCTGGATGTTCTCTCAGTTTCTATGACTCTCTGTAAGGTGGCGTGGATGAAGTTAGTTCAGATAAAATCCCCTTTTAAAAAAAAGCACAAACCCTTTTCTAGATTTACTGACGTTGTTGGTGTGTTTTTGATATTCAGATCCTCCGTCTGCTGCTGGCGTGTTCAGACTGACTCTGTGGAATAATTCATGGAGGACAGTTCGGCAGTTATTAATCATTTACAGCAGGATTCTGAGCTGTGTTTGAGCTGATTTAGACAAATTTCAGTCCAATCAATAAATAAATGTGTAAATAAATACAGAGACCTGATGTTGACCACGCATGTCTGCATGCCTCTGATTGGTGGAGGAAAATGATGTCATCCTTTTGTGTAAGACGACAGAAGCTCAGACCGCAGGGAGGATTCGAGTTCGATCTCTGAGCCGGAGGAATAAAGTTCAATGGTGTTGCCAATCTATAAAGTGCCATATTGATTGTTTGATTTGTTGTTCATGTCTCTGCTGCCCTCTGGTGGTTCGTAGTGATAAATGTGCTGTTGAGACCTGCTGACCCTCACAGGACGATATTTCTGACTGAACCTTCAGAAATGAAGACTGAGGGTTTTTAGATGTCAGCATCTTTTCTATAATCCAGTATCAGTCTTTGAAATTGTTCGGCTCATTGTGTTTCTAATGTCAAGTTTGTCTTAATTGTAATATACTGCTGTAGTTAATTTAAAGAGAGGATAACTTTTATATTTCTGAGCTCAGATGTTCATGAAGAATTAAAGCAGAAATTCTAATATGACGTATTTGTTATGTGTGTTTTTTTTTACTCGGTCATTTCCAGCCTGAAGTTCAGACGGTGAAATCACACTCACCACAAGAGAAACCTGCAGCTGCAGAACTTTGACATTTTTGATGACTTAAATTGTGACTTTTTCTTATTCTTTACTATGAATTTTTCCTTAAACTAAAATCTGTAATTTATATCATTCTATATTATGACATTTTTTAATGTGCTATACTATGACATTTTTAACGTACTATGCTATGATATATATGATATTATACAATACTATTTTTTATCATAAAAAATGTAAAATTATTATAATATACTCTGACATTTTATCACACTACACCAGCACTTTTCCAGCATACTATATGGTTTTTATTAATCAAACTGCACTATGACTTTTTTCTTGCTAAAATTTGAAATTTTATTATCCTACTCTATGATTATTTTTCAAACTAAAATTTATCATTTTTATCATACCATTCTATGACATTTTTATCATAATTTAGTATGATTTTTTTGTAAAAAATGTGAACTTTTTATTATTTAATATATTATTTTCAAGGTACTTTATGGTGACATTTTCAAGATACTATACTAAGACAATTCATCATACTATACTATGACATTTAAAAAAAAATACTATACTATGACAATTTTAATATTCTATAATATAAGAATTTTTAATCATACAATACTATGACTTTTTTTATACAAATGTGAATTTTTTTCATACAATACTATGACTTTTTTTGAAACATACTATAATATATCTTTTTTTGATCATACTATACTATGACAATTAATCTTTTATTAGAAATGTGAAATTAAAACCTTACTATACTATGACATTGTTAGCATACTATACTATGACATTGTTAGCATACTATACTATGACTTCTAACATAATTCCGTTTTTTTTTTTATCATACTAAACTATGACTTTTGTCCAACTTAAATTTAAAATTTTTATCATACTTTACCATGAAATTTGTTTGAACATACTATACTATGACATTATACGTTGACAATCTACTGAGATATTTTTAATTATACAATACTATGAAATCTTTATTACATATACAATGACATTGTTTTAAATAATATACTAGGAAAGTTTTAACATACTTTACTATGATATTTTTTATCCTAAAATACTATGATTTTTTTTTTAATTAAAAATGTAAAATTTAATCATACTATAGTATGACATTGTTATCATACTATACTATGACTTTTTTCCAACTTAAATTTGAAAATTTTATCATACTTTACTATGAGTTTTTTGTAGCATGCTATACTATGACATTATACTATGAAAATCTACTGTGATATTTTTAATCATACAATACTGACGTTTTTTTCTAAAAAAAATGTAAAATTTTAATCATACAATTCTTTAAAAATTTTTCAAACTATATTATATTTTTTTAACATACTATAAACCGACAATTTATCATTCTATACTATGAAATCTTTCAAATTTATTATATTCTGAAAGTTTTATCATACTATATTATGAGTTTTTTTTTTACCATACAATACTTTGAATGCTTTTTAATTAAAAATGTGAAATTTTAATCATACCATATTATGACATTGTTATCATACTAAACTATGACTTTTTTCTAACATACTTTGCTATGATATTTTTTTAATCTCATACTATACTATGACTTTTTTTTCCAACTTAAATTTGAAAATTTTATCATGCTTTTCTATGACATTTGTTTGAACATACTGTACTATGACATTATACTATGACAATCTACTGAGATAGTTTTTATCATACTATACTATGACTTTATTTCCTAAAAAATGTGAAATTTTTATTATACAATACTTTGAAATTTTTTATCACAGTATACTGTAACATTTTTTTAATATTATACTAAGAAAGTTTTAACATACTTTTTAAAATATTTTTATCATACAATACTATGATTTTTTAATTTAAAATGTGTAATTTTAATCATACTATACTAAGACATTGTCATTATCATACTATACTATGACATTTTTAAAAACTATTATAGTCTGAAAGTTTAAACATACTTTGCTATGATACTTTTAATCATACAATAATAATACTACTCTTATTAAAAAATGTGAAATCTTTCTTATCATATGCTATGACTTTTTGTAACATTCACTGCTGTGATATTTTCCTATTATACTATACGATGACTTTTCTTCCTACTTAAATTTGAATTTTTTTATGCTATACTATGACATTTATTTCAAACTTAAATTTAAACTTTTTTATCATACTTTGACTTTTTTATCATACTATACTGACATTTTTTATCATACTATCCTATGACATCATCTCATGCTTTAATTTGAAATTTTTATCACCATTTACAATGACACAAGTATGATTCTACACTATGATAATTTTATCATACTACATTATATATATTTGTTTATCATTCTATACTCTGATATTTTTATTGGGCGAGAGCTCTGTTCAAATTGTAGGAATTATTAGTTCATAATGTTGAACTTCTCAAAGTCAGAGTCATATTAAAAATTAAAATTGTTCCTTCAAAGCTGTTTTAAAATTTAACAAAGTGAGGTCTGACTGTATAAATCAGCGTTTTAACAGCAGTTAATGTGAGAATAGCACACTCATGCTAACTGAGGACATAAACAATGATGCTGCTAAATTCTAGTCTCTGTGAAATCCTCAAGTCTGTCCCTAAAGTTTGAGTCCTTTTAGGTTCCCCTGTAAACTAAGCCAGCAGGACGTGTGTCTGAGGGTCCTCACAAGTCTAGCAATCAAAGTGTGTTTGTGTGATTGTGTGTTGGAGGTCAGGGCCACGCTTTCCCAGGCCGACACACAATACACTCTCTCTGCAGGGGGCGGCAGGCCACCAGAGTACCCTATATATGTCACTCACACACACACACACGCACACACACACACACACACACACACACAGCCTCTGACCCCTGTGTTGGGACCCCAGCCTCCGTTCTCAGTCCGACTCTGTGACTCTGCTGAAGCTCCTGAAGGTTTAAAGGAACATTTCGTAGACTCGCTCCTGTGTCTCATTAACACCTGAAGGTTTGTCTTCACACCTGCTGAAGTTTCTTTGTTTTCTCAGAGTTTGCTGAAACCACAAACTTCACACTAAACTGAGAGCCGTTGTCGGCGCTGAGCTGCAGAAACTAACAGAGCTTCAGGACTTCACTACGGCTCAACAAAGACCTTTTTTTTTCATGTGTTTTGGGTCGAAAGAATCTGATGAGGGCGGATTAAACCCGAAAATTAACATGAGACAATCTAAAGTAGTTTTTTTTTGTTGTTGTTAATTTCTCTTTATTCCATTTTAAAGCAAATTAAACTGCAAAGAAACGTCTGGCTGCTCTTCACCAAAACAAACTCAGCCTGATTGTTCTGAGTTCAGATTTTATAACTGAGTTTGAAGAAATGTTTAACAGTCATGATTAAGTCACAAACCTATAAAATAAACTCATGGTAAAATTATTCTAATTCTCTTATTCTTACCATTATTCTCCTAAAGAGCCTTTAAAAATGTACTATAAATGTACAATAACTTCATTAATGATTTAAAGGGATATTCCGGCGTGAATTTAAGTTAGGGTCAAACACACAAAGTCGACCGCTTACTTCTCTAGTTATACCAACTTTAGTAACGACCGCAGGATAGAAATACAGAGAGCCACGCCCCCAACCAAAACGCCACTCTATAGCCACAAATAATGCTCAGAACAGCACCTAACTTCATCAACAGGACATATAGGGTCACAGACATAGTACTAGACACCAAACATCTTTTTAACTTTGACTCATTTCTTTAGCAAAGAGACTAAACACAACTCACCTACTCTCTTCCAGCAGACGCTTGTGGGGGAGCTCTGACGAGTCGATCACCGAGTGCAGCGGAGTTTCGCAGCTCAAGGAAGAACATTTATGATTATTACTTCATGGAAATGATCCGCTGCACTCTGTGAGCGCCTCGTCAGGGCTCCCCGACAAACAACTGAACGGAGTCAAAGGCAGCAGGTAGAGACAGATTTGAGGTTATCGCAGCAAAAACTTGGAGGGTGGACGATGAAAACGGGAACAAATGTTAACAGAGGTGGTGAGAGCGTCTCATTTGAGTCTTTGTGCATCAGATAAATCCAGCAGATCGAGATAATTTCACTTTTTTATTTAAACCATTCAGATATAAAAGAAAAATACACATTTTTAATTGCTTTATGTACAAAAACATCTACATACAGTTTCCATGGTTGTTCACTGCAGAGGAGTCTCAGGTTTACAGTCACAGGTTCGTTCGGCTCTCTGGAGTTTAAATTAAGAAACCAAACACAGTTCATTTCTCTCATGTTTAAAAGGCACTCAGAAAAGATCCAAACATTTCATGAAGAACTGAAATTCAATGACAGGTGAACAGCAAAAATCATAAATAGCTTTTGCCTTTGGCGGTGATCGAACCGAGCTGACAGACTATTAAAACATAGAAACAGGCGTCTTATTTTACAAACTGAAGAATCATCAATAAATACAAGCAGTGACACACGAAAAGCTCAAACTTTGCACATCGTAGGACATTCCTACCAAAGGTCAAGTCTTCCAGGAATGTAACAAAAACATGCAACCAGGTTGCAACTGAAATAAAAACATCAGGGAATTATTGAGCCTCGTCACGCAGGCGAGGTGCGTTCAAGACAGCTCCAGGTTCCAGGACGTTTACAGCGAATCAGCTGATCTTGTTCCTCTGGCTCATCAGATAATCACATCTTTAAATCAGCTGTGATTTAAAGTGTCACTCTGCAAGTTTACTCACTATTAAGGTGGAAAGAAAAGACTGAACAGAAAATAACTTCCACACTTCGAAGGTGGAACGAAACATCCGACACAGAAAACGATTGAAACTCATTTTCATGTTCCTGAGAATCTGACTGAAGCACCGTCTGCGAGCGTTCGAGCCCCAGAGTTTAGAAAAGCACCAGTAAAACTCCCAGATCAGACCTCACAGGTCCCCCTGAAACCAGGACAGGTTAAAAACCGAACCAGCAGACGGTCTGCAGCCCTCACACACAGCTGCAGACAACCAGACTCTGACGGGCCGTTTCACTTTTTACTCCTTTAAAAGTGAAAGAAAGAAAGTTTGTCTTCCTGACGAACTTTCGCTGCACTTTAATAAAACCAAACGAATAAAAAGTCGACAGGAAACCGAGTCCAGACTTAGTGTTTCAAAATAAAACCTGCTACATGAAGGTTTGAGGAGGAGCAGAAATGAGGAGCCCGTGTGGTCTAGAGGTCCGAGAGGTCGGCCGTCCCTTCTGAGGAGGAGAGGTAGTGCTGTTTGTGTACTGCTCAAAGATTGGCTGGTTTTTCCGTGCTGCTGGGCGGCGTCAGCATCGGTCCCACCGGGACGGGGGACAGCTGACAGTCGGGGTTGTCGATCTGACGCTCCTGAGCTTTCCTCTGTGAGAAACAGAAACTTCAGTTCAGAAACACGGACTCTTGTGTTGGCGTTTGAGTGAGCGGCGTCTCTCTAAAGAGTGTGTGTCTGTGTGTGTGTGTGTGTGTGTGTGTCTGTGAGAGTGTGTGTGTGTGTGTGTGTGTGTGTTTGTTTCGCTCACCAGCAGGTCCAGGTAGCCCACGTGTGTCTGGATGTTGTGTCTGTCATCAGCTTTCACTTTGGGGAAGTTTTTGAGTTGAGGCGTCGCTTCAGACTTCAGAGCGTCCATGAAGGGACTCATCCACCGAACGCAGGGCGCCACGCTCTCCCACGTCAGGCCTGCACACACACAGACACACAAACACACAAGCGCCGGGGTTAAAAATCTGACCCGTGACAGCGCACACCATCAAGAGTGGGCGGGTCTGAATACAGGTGTGACTCACCTGAGACTTTATGAACGACGTCGAACGAGGAGAAGTGGCAGAACGCAGCGGCAGCGAGAACGCTGTAGCTGTAGTCCAACGAGCCGATGTCCATCATACACAGATCCAACAGCTGAAACACACAGAGGTCAAAGGTCAGGCTCGTCTGTACCGGTCTGGGTTTCACCCTCTGACTCATGCAGGTGTGTTCGTACCTGTGTGATCCTGATGTAGGTCTCCTGAGAAAACTGCGGCTCCAGGAAGTTCTCTCCGTCCCTCTGAGCTTCCACCTGAGCGTAGAGCTTCAGCCAGGAGATGGGCGTCTCCGGACACAGGTTCCAGTCCAAGGCCTGAAACACACCAGACCGAGGTTATTTCAGAAACATCTCAGACAGAGATTACCGAGGTCTGAAGAAGGAGCTGAGGTTAAAGTTCAGGGGTCAGAGTTGAACCGTCTCACCTTCAGCAGGTGAAGTTCTGTCTGCTGGATGTCCCACATATCACAGGCGCCGTCTGTGACGTAGGCGAACTCCACGATTTTAGGAGGATAAATTTCCTGAAAAGAAAAATTATTAAAATTCAAGTGAATGGATCAGCTGACGACCTCTGACCTTAATAAACAAAGAACCAGATATTTGGACACGTGACGCTGTGATGAGGAGGAGGACGGACTTACCTCCATCTTTGAGGCGACAAAGAGCGCCGTGATCCCGATGAGCTGCAGGAACTCTTTGCTGACGTCGTCCTGAGTCAGCATGTAGCGGTCGAAGTAATCCTGAGCCAGGTACGCCGTCTGGCGGTGGAGGGAGTACACCTCACTGACCTGCACAGAGAGAGAGACAGAGAGAGAGACAGAGAGAGAGAGAGATAGAGAGGAGAGCGAGGAGAGAGAGGAGAGAGAGAGAGAGAGAGGAGAGGAGAGAGAGAGGAGAGAGAGGAGAGAGAGAGAGAGGAGAGAGAGGAGAGAGAGAGAGAGGAGAGAGAGAGGAGAGAGAGAGAGAGAGAGAGAGAGAGAGAGAGAGAGAGAGAGAGAGAGAGAGAGAGAGACAGACGGGGTTAAAGGACTCAGTCAGGACTTCCTTCGACCTTCAGATCAAACTCGGTTAAAGCTCCTCACCTCCAGCAGCCAGTCCAGCAGGATGGCTCTCATCTTGGGCTGCAGTTTGGGATGTCGCTGCAGGTAACTTTTATCATGAACGTATTTCAGCTCCTTGTTCAACATTTTGATCCAAACGTCGTCTGAACTGGCCCAGCTGGAACAGAAAACAACAACATTTGAGCTCCTTGGGTTTTAGAAATACTGCTGACTCTGCTTTAGTCTGGAGAACTTGAGGAAACTTGAGCAGATGTTCAGATCTGCTTCAGAGAGCCTCTACGCCTCCATGAGCAGAGGTCATAGAAGCTGAATGATGTTTCCAGTGTTTGAGTCCTGAAACCACTAAAACAGGCTCACAAGTTTGTTTCGGTTTCATATAAGACTCTTCAAACTTTAAATCAGATCAGTCCTGCAGGAAACGTCTTTATGTAAAAGCAGGTCGTTGACCTCTGAATACAGAGCTGGGTGGAGGAACGTCTCAGCGGGAGGCGTGGAGCAGCAGCAGCTCCTTTGACGTGTAAAACACTCACCTGAGTCGAGGGATGGGGGAGGACTTGATGAAGAGGTTCTTGAAGCGGTACTGCTTGAAGCTGGACGGATCTGAGGGCTCCAGCTCTTTGTGAGGAGTTTCGATGAGGACGCAGGGACTCGCTCCGTCCTCCGACCAACACTTCTAAAGAGACAGAGGACAGTCAGTGAACGGGTTTGTTTACTTAAGCTTAAGTTTATTAGAAAAGTCCTTCAAATATCCAGACTTCATCTGATGATACTCGACTAGTATGCAGTGTTACAAGAACAGTGACCTCTAATGGTGAAAGGTGGGACTGCAGGGTTAAAACAGGGCAGGGCTTTCTGGGTGGGAGGGGGACATTATAGATCATAAACTGGTCTTATCAGTCAAACACACAATAATTCAGAGTTAATGACACAGCAGCACACTGACCTGGATTTCATAGCTCTGTTTTTTGGCTGCAGGTTGAAGTTTCTTCTTCGAAGGCTGAAAATCAAGTAGGAAATAAACTGGTGAGTCAGTGTGAACAGGACGGTGAACCCTGCAGACGAACAGGGTCTCACAGGAATAACAACCACGAAGATATACGAGCCACATCAGACACGCACCTCTGACTTCCTCTTCTTCAGCGAGGCTCTGACCATCGGCTCAGGTGTGTTTGAATCTCTGGCTTGTAAAGTGATGCGGCCGCTGAAATGAAATTAAAACATCAGATTTTTTCTCTGTTTTATCTCCACTGAAGAGTTTCATTTTAACCGACTTTAAAAACTTAAACTAAAAAAATCTGTGCACCGGAGAGAGTTTTTACATTTGTGCAGAAAACATGAAAAATAGAAGTTAATAAAATACTATTTTAGACAGTAAATTAAATTTCATATTTTGACATTTCTCTGACATGTCTGATCTAAAATCGGGGACTCCTGCATTAATCATGAGCCAAAGTTTTGAAAATCCATCTCCAGACCTTTAAAGACTTGGTGGATCTGAATAATCCCAGTTTTAAGTCTTTTTATGGACCGAACATCTATACTGTCTATCTATCCAACATCTATACTGTTAACATCTTTGAACTTCCTGAAAGTCTGAGGCTCTGAATAAACACAGGGAGGTTTATTGACTTAAAATCACTTCAAGTAAAATTTGACTTTACGGTTCATAGTCAAGTATCTAACTTGGTGTGATACCCCAACCCCCCCCCGGGTCAGTATTCAGTCCCTCGACCCCATTTTGAAACTGAGACCCCTCAGCTCCTCACCTGCGTCTGGACATTTTCTTGATTTGATTTTATGGCTCCGCTGCAAAAACAAAGAGAGGAGAGGTAAATACAGAGTGATGGGACAGAGTCAAAGTAGGTTTGCACAATATGAGAAAATAAAAATATATTAATAATGAGAGCAGCAGAGGAGCTTTAAACAGAGTTTTCATGGTTAGTGTTTGTCTGTAGAAGGTCCTCCTGAATCTAAGAGCGCCTCATTTTTATCTGTACTAACTAAACTAATGTCCATCCACATTACAGAGACACTTAATGAAGTCATGAGGCCACAGTGTGAAACCAAAGGGCCCAAATCCACAAGGACCCAACATGGTAGACGACAATAATGAGGTTATATAAGGCTGTAACCGGCCAAAGTCAAATGACTAATTTAAGGCTATAATGACTTTAAAATGGTCCTGAGACTTCGTCGTGATCATTAGTGAGACCTTGGAGCCAAAAGAGCCAAAATAATCCAGAAAAACTGGAAGATAAAAACTCAGTTTGAAGATGAGGTTAGCTGAGAACTCAGGGTTAGCTCAAGAGGATCATAAAGAGAGACAAAGAGGATCAAAATAGTCCAGGATACAAGAGGGAGAGAGACTAAACCTCACATGTAAGGACCAAGATCACCTTCAGTCTTAATAAAAGTGAAAATAAAGGTGAAAATGAGGTAAAAATAACCGTAAAACTAGCCGGACAGCTCGGTGAGCTAGTGTGTGTCTGCAGTTAAAAAGGAGGGGGGCTCATTCTTCCCTCGATTTCTAACAAAAAAACCTCGAAAATGCAGAAATAAAACACACGATTCTCACCCTGAACAACTAAGCAAACATCTCCAGACAACATCCACGTACATTAAACTCATATTAAAGGGGTAATTTTAACTTTAATTGAGGATTGAAACTCAAAGACGCGCCAATTTCCACAGCGTTGAAGCGGGAGGATCAGAGTCCTCCTCCCTGAGCGTCAAGCTGCTACAGCGGGGGAAAGTGGAGGGAAACACCGCTAAAAACCACCCATACCGACTCTGAACCCACCGGAGCTTCGAGATTAAACCCTCATACATCACAAATATGAAGGCAGAGCTTTAATAAGTCGGATTAATGATACAGAAGAGGGTTAAACCGAGTCCGCTGCGATGCTAAGTTATGGAGGAGAGCTACAGAAATTAGCAGACTGAGCTAACAGCTAACTAGGTCAACAATGAGCAGCTAACCCTCAAACCCTCAAACCCTGACCCTACACACACTTACTCAGATTAGACATGATATCCCCACAATACTGCAGTGATAAACGGGAATATGAAACAGAAACAAACAGACCAGGATATCAACTTTATAAGAGTTAAAGTGAGAAAAGCTGCTCGGTCCGTGTTTCTGCAGAATAACTGTCTTTAAAGCCTTAAAATGTCCTAAAACACCAAAAGGAAAGGATGCAAAATTCAGTCTAAATCAGTCTGACGGTGAATTCAGAGGAGACTGTGCAGGAAAAGGTTAAACTGGAGCCTGAAACAAAGATAAACTGTCCTGTCAGAGTTTAACCAAACCTCTCAGAAAAGAGCGGAAACGGTGATAAAGGTGCAGAAACAGAGTTTAGAGACTCACTAACAGACTGAAGAAGTCAACTTAAGCTTTAAAAAGAGTTAAAACGCTTTAGAAAGAGTTAAAATCCCCCTCTCTCCCGGGCTCTTACCTCCTCTCTGCTGAATGAATGAATGATCAGCTGTGGCGCCGGCGCCAATCCTTATATCCGCATATATGCCCTCAGACGCCTACTGCGCATGCCCGTTCCCGGTCAACAGAAACGCGCTAAATGTTTAAATTCGGACTCAGATTCTCGCGGACGAACGAAACCGAACCGTGAAAAAGCGGCCGAACCACCGTCTCCGGAAAACTACCCTCTATAGGAGGCGTTAGGAAGAGCTTAACAGGTTATTTTCTGTCATATAAACGAGATTTCGTTCATTTCTGACCTACAGCGAACCGTTGAAGGCTGTTTTAAAGTGAAACCGTCTTTCCGTTAATTCCGGTTAAACTTTAACGGCTCCGTATGATGTTTACCGTCAGAACTCACCGGATCTGAGCGACTTTATCGATCCTAAACGGAGAAATTAACCGTTATTTACGCGGCATCCGAACAGCTTCTGCCCGCGGTCCCGCCTGTGGGAGGGGCATCTGTGTAGTCCAGCCAATGAGAGAGAGAGCGGTGATCTCCGCGTGCGTCTACGCAGAATGTAAACAGAGAGCACGTGGGTCTTCTGTCAAACAAACGGCTGCTGTCAAAGACAGGGATCATCTCCCTCTTAATCAGTTTTTACACTAATGATGTTTTTAATCATCATGACAGGAAGAGAAAAATGTTAAAGTCCGCCAGAAACTAAAGATGTTAAAAAAAACTAATTATATATTTGCACAGAGTTCCTTCATTTAGTCTAAAATTGACAGAAACATGTTAGGCTTCAATAATAACTTAAAGGGATATTCCGGCGTAAAACTAATTTAGGGTCAAACCCACTGTAACACCGAGTTAGACCCCCCCTCCAGAGATGAATGTTGTCGACCGCTTGCTTCTCTAGTTATACCAACTTTAGTAACGACCACAGGATAGAAATACAGAGAGCCACGCCCCCAACCAAAACGCCACTCTATAGCCACAAATAATGCTCAGAACAGCACCTAACTTCATCAACAGGACATATAGGGTCACAGACATAGTACTAGACACCAAACATCTTTTTAACTTTGACTCATTTCTTTAGCAAAGAGACTAAACACAACTCACCTACTCTCTTCCAGCAGACGCTTGTTTGTAGTGAGACCTCAGGCCAGTCCATTACAGACTACAGCGGGGTGCCGCAGCTCAAGGAAGAACATTTATGATCATTTCTTTATCATTTCCTTGAAGTAATAATCACCATATTAATCATTTTACAGACGTGGTAGTTCTTCTGTCTTAGCGTCTCGGTCTGATTGTATTTCCATGAAGAAATGATCATAAATGTTCTTCCTTGAGCTGCAGCACCCCGCTGTAGTCCATTGTCTGCCATATTTACCAGTTACTTTATAGATGAAGATTCAAAGTTTAATATCATGTTCTCAATAGAAACTTTATATATTTATATCAATAAGATAATATTTTACTGACTTCACTTTTATTTTTTATACAAAAGTGGGTCAGTGTGTAAATTCTATTTCAAACTGAAAATAACCAATCAAATGTAGAAGCTGAGAACATTCATGCTTTTATAAAAAATATGTTTGCTGTGTAAAAAAAAGTTGTTTACCATCGAATTTCATCAGCTTTTACTTCATCAACACTCTGTAAACAGAAGTGAACCCTGCAGACCAGTTTCTGGTATTTGGAAAGTGAAATGTTGTTTCTTTTCTTGTTTAAAAGGATTTCAGTCTCTTCCTCCTGAACCTGTGGATATAGTTCAGCATTAATGGAGTCTTCACAGATGTAGAAGATACCATCAGGGATGCTGGATTAGGACTGGGAGCAGAGGACAGGCCGGGTGGACCCTCTACTCTTCAGACCCTCAGACACAGAATCTGTGATTTTCAGAGAGAATGACAACATTTGAAGATGTTGCTTCTCCCCCTTTTTTAACCTGTTTAGTTGTTCCTTCATACAAACTTTGTAACATTTTAGTTTCACTGTTTTATTTGTTGTCTTTGCCACAATAAAGTTTGTCCTTAAATTCTTTGGTATCCACCTTCTTCTTCTCTGGTGTAATGGGGGTTAGCTGTGGTGTTACGATCCCAGCTCAGACAGTTGCTGTAGGAGGAGGTTTCTGTCGAGAGATGCAAACATTCGCAGACCGCTGCTGTTCCCTGTGTGTGAATAAATCTGTCATTTAGCGTCTGAAGTCTGTTTGCAGCTTTTTTACTTTGACATTGTGTTGTTTCCCCTGTCTTTAACCGTATTACTCGCTTGACATTTAAAATGAGATTATTCTTTAGTAGATGTCCTTTTTTATCAGGTCTGTTATTTGAATTTGATCAAATGTAGGTTTTAAATGATTTGAAAACCATTAAAAGCTTGTTACAGGTTATGAAACACTAATTAAAATAAATGCAAATGTCCAAATTGTGAATCAGTTTGTGACACTTTAGCAGAAGACTGAGTTAAGAAGAGTCCAACAGAGGAGGAAGAGGAGGTTTGTGTATGAAAACATTTATTAAAGGCTAATAAGAGATCACATGTATTAACTATTACAGTCTGAAAACAGATGACCCCACTTTTCAATTAGCTTTTTCTGACATCAGAACAGAGTGACTTGATCTGTCGAACATCCAAAACACAAAGAAGGAGACCAGTTTATGTCGATAAATAAAACCCTAAAAATTCCTACACCTTTTTTTTCTTTTTGGCAAAGTGCTGTATTATTCCAGTAAACTACACAACAAAAGCAAAAGAAAATAAAGTCTAACACTTGGTGAAAAATAAAAATGCCACAGATATACTTCACACTGTTACTGAAAAACAAACAAGGAGAAAACAGGTGCTGCTACATCGTTCTGTCTGGTTTGTTGAGTCATTACAAAATCTGTACACGGGCCGGACAGGAGGACGTCCTCCTCCTCCTCAGAGTGGTGCATAGTTGGTTTCTGATGTCTGTTTGTGTGTTTTCATTTATTACGTCCACTCAGGGCGTGAAAAAAGGGAGTTCAAGTTCTTCATTGATGCATTGTCATTATAAACATTTCAACCTGGAAGGCACGTGATCCACAAATTTCAAGGCATTGAACAAAAACATTAAAAATCCCTGTTAGTTTGATGATGGAGAGATGAGCTGAGAACACAAAGTGGAAAACATCTGAAGGCTCCCGACAGCGAGAGGAGGCGGATCATCACCCTCCGCCTCCTCCCATCCCTTCTGTCGTTAAGTTTGCCTTTTTTAAAAAACACCAAAATAACACAAAACAACAAAATCCACCATTTCAGAAAGAGAGAGAAACATTCGAGAAATAAAAGAAATGTGAAAAACACCAGAGAGGAACACTCCACGTACTGAAGATCTATCATATACGATTATTTACAGCAAATCGTACATCTAACGAACTTTAGTTAGTGCTTTCTTATTAATGCTACCGACCGCAGAGACAAACTGAAGTTAGTCTAGACTGAAAATCAGAAACCACACTGCAAAAAATCCCCATCAGCAAAGATTGAGTCTTTACTGAGCTTCAAAATTGAAGTGAATTTATGCTCAAACTGCACAGACGTGTTTCTAACAGTATCTGATATTTTAAAGATGAGACCGAGTCACGACAACTCACCCAGTTTAGTTCAGAGGTGTTCATGAAAACCTGAAAATGCTCTGTGGTACTTTGATTAAATGATCAAATAAAGCTCAGGAGTCCATATCTGCCGTAAAAAAGTCGAAATGTAGAAAAAGTTCACTTAAAGCTCCTGTGAGTAATTTTAACATGTTGTGAAAGACACCAAGATGTCAGATCAGTCTTATTTTTCTCTTCGTTGTTTTCAGAAAGCACTTCACATGTAGAGTATGAAGTGGATTACTCTGTCCACAGGGTGGCGCCAACAACGAGACACATAAAAAGTTCCCTATGGGAGCTTTAATATGCCTAATCAACCAAATGTTCTTGTTCAATTTTGAATATTTTTAAAAACTTTTGTCTTGGGCAGATGTGGACTTCATACGACCCGGTCACCTTTTTGTCGGGTTGATGGTTTCTGTCTCTCTGCAGTGTGGTGACTCGCCTCGGGCTCTTCGTTCCCTACAGCGGACGCTTTAACAGTCCGCCATCGCAGAGCACCGAGAGCTTTTTCAAACGCTTTTAAAGTTAAACAAGAACAAAACAATATTAAAGAACATCAGTATATTAAACGAGTGAAAGGTTAAAGTTTGTTGCTACTTTTTTGGTTTAAATATTTTGACAGTTTAGCAAAACGTAACTAAGTTAACACAGGAAATAAAAATGTTAGGTACATTTGAGCAAACGAAATATGAACAACAATAAAATAAAAAAGACCAACAGCTTCTCTCCATCACGGTGGATTTCCAACTGAGAGTGTCAAAGTTCATTTTCACAGTCCTGGGACCAAAATAAAGTCAAAGAGTCGACGATTATTCTCACAAACATTTTCACGAGGGGAAAAGCTCGCCGGGACGGAGCTGGAAAAGTCCGAGCACGCACAAAGAATCATCAGCCGTCAAGTAAATCTGCATTTTCCAAAAAGAGTAAAGGTGATTGGTTGTGACCCTGAGAAGTGGACTGCAGATTCATTTAAGAACAAACAAAAATAATAACAATAAAATAATAATAATAAAAAGAAACAAACTCTTTTTCCATTTTCTTTTTTTCCACCGTCGTCACGCTAACACAACTCTACAACCATGCAACAGAACGCACACTAACATAACCAAACATACCTAAGCAAGAAACCAGAGACGCAGATATACCGACTTCATACTGATATGTAATTTCTTTTTTTCTTTTCAAAAAATATTTTGGAAGTTTTTTTAAATACATTTTTTTTTTACATTTCTATTCATCTCAAAGCTACCGTTAAAACAAGGCTTTAGTGATATTGAACCCAGTCATTTTACAGTCTTTTTTTCTTTTTTTGTTGTTTTGCTTTTAAGAAAAAAAATTGTGAAAAGTACTGAATTATAAAGTCAGAGTCGGGTTCAGGCGGCCGAGCGGGACGAGAAACGGTCATGTTGAGTCAGAGAGTGACGACACAGAGTGGAGAGAGAGGATTAAAAAGGAGGTTTTTAGACACTATGAGGCGCTGTTTCTCTGATTTAGAGGGTCAAAGGGGCGTTTTTCCATGGAAGTGCAGTCTCATATTGCACAGGAAACAGGGAAGAAAGGCGAAGAAGCTAAAGTACGGGGCTCAGTTTAAATCATGGGTGACGCTCCATGTTTGGTCACTAAAACCAGCATTTTAATTCCATGCATCGTGTTCATGCACGGATAGTGTTTGCAAAAATGCTGATCGAAATTTCTCTGCAAGAAAACAAACACTGAGATTCTTCGTTTCCACTGCAGGGGTTTATATTGCACTAACAAGAGCTGAATTTCTGTAAAATTCAAGTATAAGACACATTACATTATTACCTTATATACATGATTTTTAAGATCTCAAACAAATCAAATCTAAGATGAAATTGTTTTTACTTTTCCTGAAGACGGCGGAGGAGCAGAGTCCGTGACCTTTTGAAAGCTCTCCCGTGAGGTGGTCATGGTGAGTTTACAGAAAACAGGAATAATCTAACGAACCTGAGAGAGAGCTGCTGAGTTTGAGACACCGTGTGATCAGCAGGTGGCAGTGGTGCGAGTTTCAGCACATCCATCACTCAAAAAGATGAAGAAACCATAAGATAGACTCAAGGAGCGAAATGGTTAGTTAAATTACCGTAAAACTTAGAATAAAGGGGCCGCTCTAATAACCTTTTTTGCCATCTAAGGACTAAAATAATGCGACTATTCTAACAGTAGAAGAGGCAGAGGGTTGTTGTTTTGAGCGGCAGTATTTCATCTAGACAGTGAAACTTAGACTTTGCTGTGAAAAGCAGAAATAAAGCAGGTTTGACCAGGAAAGTAAATATGTTAGTGGCAGTGAGTTTGTCCAAACCTCAGCGACCTGAAGCGGAGCGAACTCTCTCAGAAGAAGCACAACCTCTAATTTACCTGAGTGACTTCTATTCTGAGGATTACGGTAAATTAAGGTCATCAGAAATCCTGAAGTGGGTCAAACTCTAAAAACACTACATGTCCCACAATGCAACAGGATGGAATCTTATTACTTGTGTTTTTCGTAAATCGGTGCAACGTCTCGGAGCTGAAGGTCGAATAACCTCGATGACATCACTATGACATCATCAGGAAGTGTTGACACAGTCGGGGTATGAAACGGGACACAGACTCGAACAGGTCAACTCGGGTCAATGAAAGGCATTCTGGGAAATGTAGGCATAAAATGAGTCAAGGCAAAGCTACAGAAGGGGGGGGGGGGTGTTTCTCTCTCAGGTTTGTAAGTCGCTGTGTCGTCACTCCACTAACAAACATGGCGTCACCGTCGGCAACAGTGAGGGTAACTCTGTGGGGCGCTCGCCGACGCGCTCCTGCTCTGATTAATGGCACTGCTGTTCATGTTCAAGTGAGTCGGGGTTGAAATGTCTCCTGATGTGGCGCCGAAAAAACAAAAACCCGGCCGTGACATCACAGTGACATCATCCCGCACGGCGCCAAAAACCCGCCGCCGAGTAAAGTGACCTACAGCATCGATTCTACACATGAAGTCTGTCCAATAAGGAGAAGAAGAAGAAGAGAGAGGAGGAGTATAAGGAGACGAGGGGGGAGGAGAAGAGGTCGCCATGACGACGACTCTTCTGCTCTGCGATTGGACAAAATCTGATCCAGCGAAGGGAGGGGGGACATGAAGGATGAGGATGACCTTTTGTGACATCACTTCTTTCAGCATCAACATGGAGGACGGATGAAGATGAGGAGGAGGAGCTGATTCTCATCATCCAATCAGATTTAAGAACGGATGGAGGCGTGGCTTATGGCTGACTCTGAGGATGCTGGTGTTTGTGTAAAGATCTGAGGCGCTGGTGAAGGTTTCCCACAATGCTCAGAGTGATGATGATGATGATGATGATGAAGGCGACGCCATCAGGACGCCATCAGGACGCCTCAGAAGTTGAGGTGTCTCTGGCTCGGCTGGTGCAGGTGGACGGTGCCGGCCTTGGGGGGGCGCAGCAGGTTGTGGCGTCTCAGGGCGTTACGGGACAGCGGTTGGGTGCGTTGGGTGGCGTTCCCAGCTCGGGGCTGCAGGAGGCCGGGGCGGGCGGAGAGAGCGGCGGCGTAGCAGGCAGAGTGGAGGCTGGAGCGGCGCTGGACGACTGCGACCTCCGGCCTGAAGGGGGGGACAAAGACAAGAAGCAGAGAGTGAGTACGGCCCGGACCGAGCGACGGTTCGAGCGTTTACAGAGCGGGTTCTGTCGTTCACCTGTGACGGGGGCCGTCCAGAGACCGCCGACCTTTCTCCTTCCCGCCTGAAGCCGTCTGGGCGCCGGACATGTTTCCAGCCAGCAGGCCCAGCTCCAGGTCGAGGGAGCGCGGCAGTGCGTCCAGGGTCAGCCTGGGGGGGCTGTGGTGGGCGTACACGGACATGCTGGGGTGCTCGATCAGCAGGTTCTCCAGGGGGCTGGTCTCCAGGAGGATGGGTTTGTTTCCTCGGCCCGTGAAGCAGGGCGGCGGCGTGACGAACCAGCTCTCCTCCAGAGAACAGGCGTCCAGGCGCAGGAAGCCGCTCTCCTCCTCGTCCTCCGTCTCCTCGTCCTCCTCCGCCCCGCCGTCCGGGTCGGTGTCGGCTGTGGAGTTGAGGGAGGTGCAGGAGGCGTAGCGGATGGGGGGGCTGGCCATGGGGGAGGGGATCATCACCAGGTCTTCATCGTCCTCCTCTTCCTCAGGACCGGCGGCGGATCTGGAGAGACTGTCGCCGCACTGAGCGGAGCAGGCGTCAGCTGCAGGAGGAACAACGGACACGTTACATCGACAGGAAGTGACTTCTACCCAAATATGGTCGTATATCTATATTATTACTGTCTTATTACGCCCATATATGGTCGCTTTGTCTTAAACTTGATTTCTCATGTTAAAATCCTCCGTCCTGATTCGTTGACCTTCTCTCAGCTGATGCACACATGTTTGTGTTTGCAGCACGCCGTCTCAGAGCGGCAGGAACTCTGCAGGAAACAGCTGATCACCCCCCCCCCCATCATCAGTCAGGTACAGTAAACCCGACCACGACCAGTAAACAGAGTCTGGAGTCAGTCGGCCTTGAACCGGATCTGTGGAGCTAAAGATAACTCAGGGGCGGAGCCAACGTCAGTTTAAGGCGGAGCTGCTGCTGGTTCCTCTCCTGGTTGTCATTGGTGACCTGAGTCTTTCCTGATCCTGATTAAAAACATATTTAAAAGTGTTGGAGTTTAAAACCCTGTAAACTTTATTTTACTGTATTTATTTTCTTTTATTGTTTTTATTTATTGGTTCTGATTTTTGTCGTTCAGCTCTTTGGTTCATGTTGTTGTAAATAAATAAATATTTACATTTTTCACTGATGAACTTTCACCCCTGAATGAGTCAAACGTTGATGCTCGGAGAGTTTCTGACCTTTGACCCCCTGCTGTTTGTCTTTTCCACCACGTCTCTGTAAACTCAAACATCACGTTTGTGAACTCTGATCATCAGGACCGAACTCTCACTGATGTTTTTCATCTTTGTCTCATCAGCCGGGACAATACTGGAGGTCAAAGGTCGACAGAAACACCAGGATGTGGAGCAGCATCTGCATGTCTGCAGGTTCATCTCTCTTGTGTTTGCTCTCAGACCTGTGGAGCAGCTGCAGACTGACTGAAGACCTCCTTCAGCAGACCTCCTTCAGCAGACCTCCTTCAGCAGACCCCCCCCCTCTGTTTACAGTATGGATTTAAACCCCCCCCCCCCCAGTGTTTGGAGCTCATCTCCACACGTGGCGTCGACACCAGCGGTGGAGTTCACAGAGGAATCCTTGTTTACCCACAACACACCAGACAGACTGCTGAATCAGCGCCGGACACCTGATCCTCTCGGCCTGGAGACGAGCCGCCATCAGCTGACCGACTCCCTCCAGAGGTGTCATCTGCACAGCAGGGGGGCGGCTCTGCTGTTCGGCAGCGTTAATGAGGTCAATGTGGATTATCAAAGACCAGCGGACCCCCTACACAGACCTACACAGACCTACACAGACCTACACAGTCCTGCACAGTCCTGCACAGTTCTGCACAGTCCTGCACAGACCTACACAGACCTGCACAGACCTACACAGACCTACACAGACCTACACAGACCTACACAGACCTACACAGACCTGCACAGACCTACACAGACCTACACAGACCTACACAGTCCTGCACAGACCTCCTCAGGGTCCACAGAAGGACCGAGAAACCCACAAACTCACTTCAGCTGCTCGACATGATCGACGTGCAGGCGGAGCTGCAAACGTGCACGCGTACACGTGCATCAACCAGCGACATCTGTAATAAACAATCACCAACCTCACACACACACGTGCACACACACACGTGCACACACACACTCACACTCACAGCTCTGTTTATGTGGTCTCTGTGTTAACACCTGAGCAGCTGGTGTGCACACACACACATAAATTTCCTGCTGCTTGTGTGTGTGTGTGTGTGTGTGTGTGTGTGTGTGTGTGTGTTTGTGTGTGTGTCTGCAGGACGAGTGTACACGCTGCAGAAATCTGATCGTTCAGGTTTGTTTTCATCAGAGATATTTTGACGTTTATCCGTCTGCAGTTCCTCCTCCTCCTCCTCCTCCTCCTCTTCCTCCTCCTCCTCCCCCTCCTCCTCCTCCTCCTCCTCCTCCTCCTCCTCCTCCTCCTCCTCCTCCTCCTCCCACAGACTCTTCAAAAGTTCGGAGAGACTAAATTTTTGAACGTCAGAGTTTCTCAACACTTCACCTGCTGCTGTTTTAACCCAATATAACCAGCACTGAAGTGACCTGGATCTTCTCTTCAAACCCAGTACGGTGGGTAAAAACGGCGGTTTGATAAGAGGCGGGAAAAGCCCTGACATCATCTCATGGATCTACGCTCCTGTCTAATGATCTTCAGCTGCACGTCCTCCTCAGTTATCTGACCTTCTCTGCCGTCTCAAATCCACGCCTGACTCTAAAACCATCCTGGGGGTCTGGTCGTCTCTGCAGGGACAGTCTGTACCTCCACCTGAAACACAACCCTGCATCCAGGTGTGTGTGTGCGTGTGTGTGTGTGTGTCTGTGTGTGTGTGTGTGTGTGTCTGCAGCTCTGTGTCCATACATGTCCTCCAGCTCCAGCAGAGTCTATTTTTACTTCCTCTGCTGCTGCTTTTGTTTGACCTGTTTACAGGTTGACTTCCATAAACTGCCTGATGCCTCTCTCCCTCTCTCTCCCTCTCTCTCTCTCTCTCTCTCTCTCCCTCTCTCCCTCACCCTCACCCTCTCTCTCTCTCTCCCTCACCCTCACCCTCTCTCCTCCCCCCTCCAGCTGAAGTGGGCCACACCGCCTCTGTTTCTCCCCCCTCCCTCCTCAGGTATTCACACGGCTGTGGAATCAGAGACGGGTCGAGACCAGTCCAGCCCGGGTGAACCGTGGGCCAAACCAGCTGGGTCAGAGCCACCTGGAGTCGCTGCAGTGTGTCGGGTTTCTGTGTACAGTCAGTGTGTGTGTGTGTGTGTGTGTGTGTGTGTGTGTGACTTGTTGAACTTGGTGTCTGTTTTGACGGGGGTCTTTTTTTGATCTGGGCTCTGGAAACTTGGCTGGACTCTAAAGTTAAACAGGATCTGTCTCTGAGCCTGTCGGGTTGTTTTCTCTCATCAGGACCTGCTAACTGGATCTTCTGCAGACTGCAGTCCTGTTCTGGTCTTCATTAGTCTTTATAAAACTGAGCATGGAAACACCGACCTGATAAATATGAAAACTTCTCCTAAACTTCAGCTTCATGCTGCCAATGATGTTTCTAAAAGTCTCCATGACTTTCCCTGACTTTCCCTGACTTTCCTGGTCCTGCTGCTGGAACACAGACTCCTGTTTCTGGGGGTCTTCGGTGGGATAAACCTGCTGCACAGTCGACCTGACACCTGACTGGTTCAGGGTCCTTCTACAGTCAGCTGCTTCAATGTGACTCAACATTGTCTTAGTTTTGGATCACTGCAAACCGCTCTGTCATTAGAAAGCCTCGTGCACGTGCACGTGCAGACGGTGTGTAAAACATGAGGCTCTGTGTTCTTATAGAGCGAGCTGCAGATACGTTTGATTAAAGGTCACAAACGAGCTGAGAGGGGAACGTTGTCAGAGCTAAACGGATTTAATGACCGATGGAAGAAAACTTTGAGTCGACCCCGACCTCCGACAGGACCTCCTCTCCTGTTTATGACATAAAGCTGAGCGAAGATCAGGTGAAGAAACACAGCAGGTCAAAGTAGACAGAATGTCTGAACGACCTGTTTCATCACTTTCAGAGTCTGTATCTTCGGTGGTTTTTGATTTTTGAATATCAGAGACACAAAGATCCTTGTGTTTAGTGTCACAGGAAACTTCTCCTGGAGGGCTCGCCATTTTAGTTTTGGTGTTTTCCCACCTCTGCACCGCCCCCCCATCACTGTCCACTCAGATCACCACAGACCTAAAGAGTTCAGAAACTGAGAGGCTGCAGACCCCCCAACAGTACGTCACATTTCCTGCCCTCTGATTGGATGTTTTTCACACTTATATTAAATTTCGCTCTTACCCAGGTAGTTGACCAGGATCCAGTCTTCGTCCTCCTCCTCCTCCTCTTTCCCGTCTCCTGGTCGGTTTCCTCGGCTCAGCTCCTCCATGTCATCCCCGAACAGAGCGCTGGCGAACCTCTGGAACATCCCTGAACTTCCTGTGGGGGCCTGAGGCTGAGGGCGGGGCTGAAGGGGGCGCGTGGCTCGGGGCGACGGCGAGAAGGTGCGGCGCACACTTTGGTCATCAGCTGCGGGGTTCACAGCGGGGGGAAGGCTCCGGAAAGGTGCTAAAGTGCATCAATAATGTGTGGTCATGGATCATCTGAGGGCCAGCAGACACGGGCTGGACATCGCTCAACGTCAAGATGGTTTCAAAGAGTGCAAAAGTACAAAATCAGCCCTGAAAGGAGAAGAAGAAGAAGAAGAAGAGGAGGAGGAGGATTAACCAACGGAGAGCAGCTGATATCAGGACAGGAGACAATGACCATCCAGGCTGTTTTAGACGTGTTTGTCTTTCTGATCCCTAAAATCAAACTCAACTTCTGACACTGAAGTATTTTTAATGTCCCATCATTGACTTACAGCCACCAGGGGGCAGCAAACACTCCAAAACACTCATCTGAACCAAACATGATGAACTAACAGATTATTTTCTACACTAACAGAATGTTTTTTTCTCTAAACTCTCATTCCCTCTAATGACCACCGGGTGGCGCCTCCATGTCGTGTATCCTGTTCCAGGTCTGCATTAATTCAATATGAGCTTTATTCAGTCAACTACAGTCTCAAATGAACCACAGAAGAAGAAAGGATTAGGGCGGGACTATCTTTGATTGACAGTACAACCTGAGAAGTGTCTCACTCAGCAAACAAAAACACCCTGAAGGACCAACTGTTCTGTTTTTATTGTATTTAAATGTGGTTTTCAGAGTTTTTTTGACTTTAGGTATACCTGTCCTTCAGCTGTATATTCAGCAACTACCTGCAGACTTCCATACCAAGCACACATGCACAGATACAGTCACGTTTCTGCCACATCAGTTCTCTTTCAGCTCGGATTCTGTCCTCACCACTCTCTGGGCCGGACTGTCAAATGACTCTTAATGTTCGTGTCAGTTTTTTCGGTTCCTTTTCCTCACAAAGTCCCAAAAGTGTTTCCCCCACAGACTAATCTCCAGGCTCAGATCATGAGCTCATATGAGGCTGAGCAGCAGCTGCACTTTCCTCCTTTATCACGCCTGCTGAGGCGTGCAGAGAGAAGCCGTCCTGTCTGTGTTTTCCTCAACAGTAAATAAAGAGATGTGCTGTGTTTGGGCTGACACACGCACACACACACACACACACACACACACACACACACACACACACACACACAGCTGGCTGGCAGCCGGTCTGCTGGTCTGAGGTCAGTCTTTCATTTCAGGAACAGTTCTAGTCGACAGAGATGAAGTGATCAGTGTCGCTGTTTCCCTGCAGCTGCTGTTGAAGAGGAGAGGGGGCTTCTTCTGGCACAATAATCATGGACTAAAGCCAAGTGTGCAATGACCCAACTCTGATTCAGAGCTTACTTTGCCCTGCATTACGCCTCTCAGGCTACCTCTCATTGGTAGAAAGCTAGACAAGTAGGCCTGCAGACAACACCCAGGGTAACAAAAGACAACTGGTGAAAAGCCTGAATGTCCTTTAGAGAAATCAATGATCAAAGCTCTACTTCACTACCATCTGCCTCCACATTTAACAGTGCATTTTAACATTACATCTATTATATCTATATGAAAAACATTACATTTAACACACCTTCATCCTTACATAGTATATCCTTCATGTAATTCATAAACAGAAAAAGCACAAAATGTTCTCTAAAGCAAAACAAAAGCCCCCCTCAGCCAGAAAACACAAAGAAAACCGGTTTCATTCTCTTATATTTAATTCATATATTTTAATGCACCACCCATTTCTGTCTGCTGTTTCACCTTAATGTACTGTACACCATCTGCCTCCACCATTATATGCATTTAGAGAGATTATAAACTGTAATAATAAACAGAGCGCTTACATGTCTCGTCTTTTCCACCTGAATTGTCACACAACACCTCAGGAATAGTTGTATATTTGTTCACAAGCATATTAACAACTCCGTTTTAGAATAAAAACACATAAACTGGAACATTTCCATCGAAAACCACACGAAATATTTAACAAAACGTCAGGAATAACGAGAAACAGAAACGCCTGACTTTTTTTACCGGTACTTAAACGCGCCATCATTCTGAGCGAACATTACACCATCAGCTGTGATGCGTTCAAACACCCCACAGCGGCTCGGATTTCTTCGTTTCCTTTAAAATAACGCGTAAACAAGCACACAGCGTCGTTCATTCGGGGAGGAACACCGTATATGTGTCTGGCAAACATCGAACAGCTGTGAAGAGGATACGGGCGGAGAGAGGTCTGAGCTGAAACCGACACACCGACAACAACAGCAGCAGCAGCAGGCTGATAATCTGCTGCACCTGTTCCTCCTCCTCCTCCTCCACCCTCATCCTCCCTATCTGAACATTTCTGGGATAAACGCTAAATATGGAAGTCTCCTGCTCATCATTTTAATCACCAACACAAAGAGAAGCTTGTTTAAAGGGGGTCACTGAGGCATGGATGCGGGTTTCAGTTTAACAACCCCGCAATCATTACATCGGTTACATCATACACCGCATAATGTATTCAACAAAGAGATTAAAATGAGCTGAGAGAGAGAGAGAGAGAGAGAGAGAGAGAGAGAGAGAGAGAGAGAGAGAGAGGTCATGGTCGATATCTAAAACCCTTTAAGGTGAATTAAAAAGCTGCAGGTACATTAAAATGTGTAATGAACGGTGGACACTGTCATTCACTCTTTTAAGATATTAAAGTAAAACTGGAGTGTTTTGACTTGGAACACGCTGACACAAATGTTTCTTTAGATTGTCGATTAATCGGTTGGTTGTTTGGAGGCGATTAATACTCGGTAACATCTTTGAAACGTCCAAATATATCCCTAATGTTAGTCACGAGGACCCTGAGCCCAAGTTTTCGGGTTCGTTGATCGATCAACGGTCGATTGATCAAATCATCACTCGACTTCATATTCGAATAATGACGAAAAAGCAGCAAATCCTCGTTTGGGGATCGATAATGGGGATTATTAATTAATAATTATTAACAATAATATTAATAAATGGGGATTATTAATGAATTATCCCCATTTTCAGTCATTAGGACAATACACAACAGATTAATCGATTGACAGTCATTAAGTCGACATGATTCATGAGAGTGTATGCCTAGCTAGCAAAGCATTAGCCTGTTTGCAGTTAACAAAAGAGAAAGACGTCAAACAATTATTGACAAAGGTTAATCGTATGTTCCCAGAGCGTCGGTTGACGTATTCAGGTTGCTTGTTCGACCAACGGTCAAACTCAACTTCAAATTCAAAATACTGACAAGAGATAGAGCAAATTCTCGCCTAGGAAATCTACAATTATGTAAGAGTTGGTAGATTTGCGCAACAAATGATGTCTTATGAAAGTGGTTGTCGATTAATCATGGTGAGAAAAGCCTAACAGGTCAATCGGCTAAGTTTGTTTCGACTTGACATGATTCAGCAACAAGCCAGTGGACAAAAAACAAAACAAATCAATAACGTACTGAAACATATCCTAGCTTAAATGCTACAACTAGGAATTCTCGATATTTGTACTTTAAGTTTTTTAAACTGTGATGATGAAGATCGAATGGATTAATCGGTTAAGCAAAAACTATTTAAAAATAGTTCCGGGGGGCAAAGGGCCAGACTTTTTTTTTAAATGATGCAGCAAATCCTCGCCTGAAAAGTGCTAAAATAAGGAGTATTTGCCATCTTTACTCGACATAATCGGTTAAATCATCTTGGTTTTCACTTGAGCTTGTTAAGAAAAGCCTTACAGATGAATCGGCTAACTTTTTTTAGCTGACATGATTCATTAGTGGGTCTGTGGAGGAAAAAAGCTTCAGTGCACCTTAATAACTTGGAGCAGCAGCAGCTTGTGTGCAGGTTACAAAAGGAAAGGGGAGGGACTGTAATTCTACACCGGCTGGGCAGGACTGCAGACTCTGCCTGTTTAACTTTTATCTCTCGACAAATATTGTTCAAATATCTTCTAGAAAATTCCACTAACTCCTCCTGGTCTGGTGGAGAAAAAAACACACCAAGTTTTTTGAAGCGAATTGTCTTCAGCTCTCATACAGAGGCTGGTAAGATTAAGCTAATACTGCAGAGCAAAGCCGATAAAAAGCGTTTATAAACGGTGAACAATGACTCTGATGGTGTTCCCGTGTGTCTGTTTATGGAAGATTAAAGTGTCTCAGCTGTAAAGATGACGAACACAAGTGTTAACAGGCTGTAGGTCCGTTAATGTGAACGGAGAGGAAAACAAAGAGCTCACCTGCGGCTCACAGACAGACAGACAGAGAGGATGGAAACGAGATTAAAATCCTTAAATCTGAGGTAGACGCGTCACTTTCCGAAAAATAGAAAAACTTGAAGTTTCTTCGCGGAAGAAATAAGATATAAAAATGTTAATTTAAGGACAGTCCCTGGGGATCACAGTGCGCTTCTCTTTCTTCTGTTTCCTCCTCGGACCCCGGACTGCTGCTCCTTCTTTTGTTGTTGTTGTGGAGCTCCAACAGCTGATCGCCGTGACGTCACCCCGTGCAGCCTATTGGAGGGACGGGCCTAGAGTGGACCGGCCAATCAGATGGCGTGTTACGAGCTGTCACCAACCCACGTGACTGGTGCAGCCCTCCCCTTGTTCTCCGGAGAAGGGCATGACTGGGCAGAGCGCTCAGGGTGGGGGGGCAGCAGCTTTTCCCTGAAAAACAGACTTTATTACATAAGTCTGCTGACATCCGGGTCACATCCACAACTTCCTGTTCTCCAAGGATCCGCACGAGCTTTTAATTGAAGTGGGCCAGCTGAGAGTTTGAGTAAAAGTCATGAAAACTTCACATCAGAGCGAGAGAGAGAGAGAGTCTGAGTCCCTCCTGACTCTCTCACTGATCAGACTGAGTTATGTAAGAATCAACAGCTGCTCAGAACAAAGTCAAGATGTGCATGATAATAAAAAAAAAACAACACAAGTGTGAGAGGAGGGGCCAGAGTCACTTTGTTGCACAACTGTTTACATTTCTACTGTCAGAAGTTGGACAGGGTCCAAACTCACCAAACCTCAGTGTGTTTTTGGCACAGTTTAGTGATCCGGTCTGAACCTGAAGACGGACTCTCTGCTGTCTTCGATCGGTCTGAATAATGATCTCCATGTTTGAACATCCTGTGGAAATATTTTAAAGCCGCTTTTGTCTCTTAAAAATCCTGTCAGCTCATAAAACCGTCCTGTGGTCCTTTGTTTACTGCGTTCCTCTTCTTTAATGACTTTAATGGCAGGCTACGCTCCGAACATTTACATAACATCAAAAAAGTTATCGTCTCAGTCTGACTGAAACTGGACTTTAAAAGACGAGTTAAAGGGATATTCCGGCGTAAAATTAACTTTGACTCATTTCTTTAGCAAAGAGACTGAACACAACTCACCTACTCTCTTCCAGCAGACGCTTGTCAGGCCAGTCCATTACAGACTACAGCGGGGTGCCGCAGCTCAAGGAAGAACATTTATGATCATTTCTTTATCATTTCCTTGAAGTAATAAAAATCTGACTCTGCAGACTTTTGATAAAACTCTTTAAAAGTTTAAAACACAGAAAATAGTTTAAAGGAGTTTTATCTTTTCGTTGATGGTCTAAAAACAGAAATATAACTTTATTTAACTCCTCTCGGGAACTTTACTGTCTTATTCCGGTTACTTTAAAGCTCCTGTGAGGAACTTTCTGCCTGTGTTGACTCTGGCGCCCCCTGTGGACAGATTGATATCTCCCATTTTCTGCAGAAAGAGTTTAAAAAAGTCGATCCTCGACAAACAAAGTGCTGACTTCTATGTTTATCCTTCACTTCCTGTCTCGTCATGCAGGAGGAGTTACTTCCTCTTTTAATGCACGCTGACTTTGTTTCGGAGTCGGGGTTAGTTCACTGTTTATCATTTAATCTGGAGCATAAAGGAACCGAGTGTCCAGAGTATTTCGGGACACTTCCTCTTCATGATGTTTTGACTGTTTTCTGTCTCAGATCTGAAAACACTCGTCCACCTCTGCACATCCAGAGACGACAGTGTGAATCCTGCTCACTGATGACCCAGTTTTGGAGCAGAAGAGCCACATTCCTGCAGAGTTACAGATGAAGTTTAACGCTCAGTCCTCAGAGGAACGTCTGCGTCATAAAAACCAACAAGCTGAGACGAGAACCTGCAGACGGCTCGTGAGTCTGCAGTTTTATTAACCTCATATCAGAGTGATGGACGCCAACCACAGAGAGAGCGGCCCTAGCTCAGAGTTTAATCCAGACTAAGTTTAGTCTGCAGGGATTTCAGGGCCCCAGAGGTCAAAGGTCAGAGCCACAGATGGGACAAAGACTGATTAACACGTCTGAGAAAGGCGAGTTTTGTGTCGTCCTGGAAAATTGGAATAAGACACCCGAACGTCTCCACCTCTTAGAGAAGATGAAATCTGATGTTTCTGCAGATTAAGATGAAGAAAACTGGACAAAGACGCTCGAAGGTGAAGAAAAAAAATCATAGAATTAACAGAAGAAACATCTTTATCCAACAAACTCACGTTAAAGTCATAAATCTGTTCACCCACAGACTCAGGTGTCCTGGAGCTCTGAAGATTCAATCTTTTATTCCAGATTATGGATTGAATACGGGGAGCTGGGAGGGGGAACATAAGGAGGAGATGAGGTCTGGGTCACCCTGTTTAGACGGACCGGGATCCTCCGAGTCCACCTCTGACCCAAATGTCTGGATTTAGTTTGAAGTCAAAGTCGAGCTGCTTGGTGTCAAATTTCACTTCAGGATGAGTGAAAGTTTCTGTGTTTGAGGTTCAGGATGAACTTCATCTGAAATACAATAAAAATACAATCAGACCGAGATGCTAAGACAGAAGAAGAAAATGATTAATATGGTGATTATTACTTCAAGGAAATGATCATAAATGTTCTTCCTTGAGCTGCGGCACCCCGCTGTAGTCTGTAATGGACTGGCCTGAGGTCTCTCTACAAACAAGCGTCTGCTGGAAGAGAGTAGGTGAGTTGTGTTTAGTCTCTTTGCTAAAGAAATGAGTCAAAGTTAAAAAGATGTTTGGTGTCTAGTACTATGTCTGTGACCCTATATGTCCTGTTGATGAAGTTAGGTGCTGTTCTGAGCATTATTTGTGGCTATAGAGTGGACTTTTGGTTGGGGGCGTGGCTCTCTGTATTTCTATCCTGCGGTCGTTACTAAAGTTGGTATAACTAGAGAAGTAAGCGGTCGACAACATTCATCTCTGGAGGGGGGTCTAACTCGGTGTTACGGTGAGTTTGACCCTAAATTAATTTTACGCCGGAATATCCCTTTAAGCAAAGTGAGGACACGACAAAAAACAACAGCTTTGTCCAAGGGGGGGCGCCAGAATCGACTCAAAGCAGAAGTTACTCACAGGACCTTTAAAATAAAACAACAACACCTGCTCAGATTTAATTTAGCAGAATATTGATCATTTATTTTGTGTTTGTTTGTCTTTAATCTCTGATTAGTGAACTAAGTTTATAGTTGTTTTCACCATTACTAAATTAACTGTATGTGTGACCTACATAATCAATATCCCTAATTAACACCATGAGTCACATCAGCGTTTCTAAATAAAGCTGATTTCAACCCTCACTTCTATGGGACTCTCTGAGATAACATCACCACACTTTTATACAATCCTTAACGGACTTTTTCTTTAGTTTAAGACTTAATCCAAACGTTTGCTCACGTCTCTGAGTCTCTAAAATAGGAAAGTCTCCTTGACTTTGACGGGTCCACAGAGTGTGATGGTTGGGCTTCATTTAAAAATATGTCCTGAATGTTTCTGAGGTTTCCACTCGCAGAGGTACTGGGAATTGTTTGTGTGCAGAGTTGCTTCACTGCTGTTGAAAAGTGTGAATCATCCCAGCTAACAAAACAGAAAACTGCTGCAAAATTTCCACTTGGAAAAAAACACACATGGAGAAGAAGCAGGACGACATGTAACTTTACAGTTTTCCGTTTCTGAATAACAAGGTCGCACACCTGTCCAGCTCTGACATCACCGCTCTGATAAGACGTCCTGAACCGGAGCCACTCCCACTCTGGGATTTTTTCTGTTTATGGTGAGTTACATCGTCACATCGTCTCTGCTGGACATGAACCAGATTTTAGAGCCGAGGACTGAATGTAGAAAATAAAGATCATAGAGAGTAAAAATGTCCTTTTTTCAAACTTGAAAACTGACCGAAGAACGAGAGAGGAAACTTCACTGCAGCCTGAGAACAAACTAACCTTCACACGCTTATCAGTCCGATAAAACACGTCTGACACAGACTCAGAGGTCAGTAGGTAACAGAGAGTCAGTATTTCACCAACACTGAGTTTGTATCCCAGCCTGGTTTATGTAATCCCCCTGAGACCCACAGATCCATCGGTGCCAAAAACTCTAAAAATCCCAGACTCACTGCAGCTGCCCTCCTGACCCAAATACTAACTGAAGCAGACGTATGAATCCGCCTCTGAAAATAGTCCCTAAAGCTGTTTTTATGAAGAACTACAGCAGACGTGTCCCCGTCAAACTCAGACCCTCAGTCCAGGTATCCTTCAGACTCAAGCTGTTCATGTTTTCATCCTCTCAGCTAATGTTGAGAGTCCAGTTAAACCATCTAATCAAACTAAAACTGGAGCTCCACTTAACTGTGAGTGTAAACATGCAGTTAAGGGCCTGTGTCCACTAACACTGACTCTGACTGTAGAGCGCTCCTCTCCTGCTCCGACTCTCCTGAGGCCCGTTTGCTTCCTTTGAGGTTTAAGTTTGTTATAAAAATCTGTGTTTCATGATTAATGTGGTTTTATGTCCTCCTATGAGGACCTCTGTCATTGTTGTTGATGTCGCTGGTATTGGACTTCTTCCACTTCTCGATTTTGATTGGCTGGTGATCCAGAAGTTGAATAAATTCCAGCTGAGGATGAAAACAGCTGATAACAAGGACACTCAGGAGGCTGAGCTCTGAAAATGCTGGACTGGACTGGTCCCAAAAGGAGACTTGGTGATGCCAGTGCAAAAGAAAAACTGCTGTCAGTGGACACGGTCCCTAAATCTTGAGGATCTCAGGGTTTCAAAATAAACTGTTTGCAGCTGTTTATTAAACTTGGGCCGTAAAGTTTGGAAGAAAACTGGAAATCTGTCTCCGTTTCTCCTCGACATGGTTTAAGTAAAAACTTCTACCGTCTCTTTAAGAACTATAAGGAGTATTAACGTGGATGTAGATAAATATATTTAAAGTCTTTACATTGGTAGATGCTGCCAGCACCAAAAAAAGCCTTCAGTGGACACAGGCCCTAAATCCTGCTAAGGTCATTCCTCACGTCGGTGCTTCATGTTGCACTGAAGCTCTGTGAGCAGCTCCTGGTTCCTCGCTGAGAAACATGTTACTGACTAAAAACTAAAAATAACAGAAGCTTCAAACTCTGAAAGTTTGTTTGCAGACGATCCAGTCAGTGTGACGTCTGCAGAGGATTGTGGGTCAGAGACAGGAATCCTGCTGCTGTTGGTGAAACTCTGTTTTTTATTTCAAACATAAACGGAGTTTTTATGGATCTGTTTGTTCCTCCTGACGGACGTCGGCGTCTCATGTTCTGTTTGTTTTAGATCAACTGGAGACAAATTGTTCTCATTAGTTTTAGGACTAATGAAGCACACAAGGTGTTCAGTCCTTCAGCTGTGTGTGTGTGTGTGTGTGTGTGTGTGTGTGTGTGTGGTGAACATCATGTCCCACTTTATGGATATAATAAGTGACGAGTGTTAAACATCACATTAATCTGTCACAACATTACCGGGCCGCCTTCCTTCTGCTGCGTCTTTACATAATCGCTCTAATGTTTACCCGCTCTTACACAACCCTGTCCTCTGGTCACCGCCGGGTCAACGACCTGGAGCTGTTGGCACCAAACGCTTCTTGGGTAATAATGGTTATATATTTTAGGTCATGTTTGTTCTCCTGATTTTCTGCTTTATTATTGGCTTCTTATGGCTGCTGGTGCACGGATTGCAGGGCAGGGTGTTTCCTATCATATCTGCTCACGATCATCGTCATTATTTCCCAGCAGTAAGACCAGCGTGAGACAGACCGCGACGTTTTTACCAACAGACGGGAGAGGGGATGTCAACGGTTCGAGTTTCAGCTGCAGCGGCAGAAAAGTTTTGACGTTTTTGCTTCTTATACTCAGAAGATGTTGACCTCTTAATGCTAACACGCTCACAGCGGCACGCTAAAACACACTTAACATGTCCTCGCCATTCTACATGAGCGTGTTCACATGTGACGCTGATATTTGTGCGAATAAGAGGCAGCAGCAGAAGTTCAGAGGGATAAATGAGGAACTTTCTGACTCCAGTGTTCAGCCGTGTGTTTCTGCCTGGCTGTAAAGCTGTGACCTTTCACACACACACACACACACACACACACACACACAAACACACACACACACACACACACACACACACACACACACACACACACACACACACACACACACACACACACAGGTCAGTGTGTTAAGCCCCGCCCACATTCCTTTCTGCGTGTTTACGTCCTGAAGTTCAGGACAAAACTGACCTAATGAACAGGGAGTCACACCAATCATCACCACGGCAACAGTCGACACCCCGAGGAGAAAACAGGCGGAGAGAGAGAGTCCCTGAGAGGAGGCTCACGAGTCGACCCCCTAAAACGTGGAACTGTCCCTTTAACCCTCGCCCTCTGGTTAGTGGAGATGTGAGCGGTGGATGAAGGAGGTTGTTTTGACAGAAGCTGACACAGCTCCAAAACATCTGTGTGTGTGTGTGTGTGTGTGTGTGTGTGTGTGTGTGTGTGTGTGTGTGTGCGTGTTATGTCACGCTCTACTGTACATATATGTTTCCCTCAGCGCTGACTGACAGGCGGCGTGCAAACACTCTGAGTGGGCGGGTTCGGCCCGCGGGTCAGGGAATGTGAGCTCTGCAGGAATCTCGAGCGCCGCTCCAGAAGAACCAGGTCACAGCGAGATTCTTTCTCTATGAACATAAAACTACAAACTGGGTCAGGATCAGGATCAGGATCAGGTTCAGGGTCAGGATCAGGATCAGGATCAGGATCAGGATCAGGTTCAGGTTCAGGTTCAGGGTCAGTCGGTGTGTCAGAGTTCGCTGACTGAAGCTGGATTCACAGTTTAGATGTTCATGTTCCTGTCTGTGAGTTTCTGTTAGGATAAAAAAAAAACTCTAATGTAGACGTAATAAAATTAAAGGGATATTCTGTCTTAAAATTAATTTAGGGTCAAACTCACCGTAACCCCGAGTTAACTTCATCAACAGGACATATAGGGTCCCAGCCATAGTACTAGACACCAAACATCTTTTTAACTTTGACTCATTTCTTCAGCAAAGAGACTAAACACAACTCACCTACTCTCTTCCAGCAGACGCTTGTTTGTAGAGAGACCTCAGGCCAGTCCATTACGGACTACAGCGGGGTGCCGCAGCTCAAGGAAGAACATTTATGATCATTTCTTTATCATTTCCTTGAAGTAATAATCTCCATATTGATCATTTTACAGACGCAGTAGTTCTTCTGTCTTAGCGTCTCAGTCTGATTGTATTTCCATGAAGAAATGATCATAAATGTTCTTCCTTGAGCTGCGGCACCCCGCCTTTATCTGTGGCTATAGAGTGGCGTTTCGGTTGAGGTGTGTTGCTATCGTGCGGTCGTTACTAAAGTTGGTCAGAATCTGGATCATCCCGACAGAGGAGTAGAGAGGTGCGGAGAGCGAGAGCTCAGCTGGAACAGGAACTTCACTGATGAACCCTGAGGACTGACTGACAGGCTGGGTCTGGATCAGAGCGTCACGTTTCTGTAGGATGTAAATATGGACGCAGCACAACTGGAGAAGGAAAAAACAGTATTAAAATAAAGATAATTCAACATTAAGGACTGATAACCAATCACAGCTCAGAACTCCCCCTCCTCCTGACCCTGCAGGGACGCCGTAGCTGCTGCTGCGTCGGAGTTTTTCCCTGGTTTCTGAGCTGGTTTTGTTCAGGGTCACTGAGTCTGCTCTGACCTGGAGACCTGCTGAAGTTTCACCCTTCAGGACCGTTTCTGTTCATGATCAGGTAACTGGAGGGCTCACTTGACCTCTGACCTCTGAAGACTGGACCGACCTTTGCCCCAGTTTCACTTTTGACTCTGTTGAAGGTTTGATTTTCGTGACGCTGGTTCTGGTTTCTTCCTGAGCCCCGCCCGGTCTGGATGGATTCTGGTTTCCTCACTCAGAGCTTTGAAACACCTTCACAGGTAAACGAGGCGAGTGTCACAGACGTTAACTTTGTTACTATCATCACCGCCGCTCGTGGTTAAAGTTCATTTGTGGAGATCAGCAGCTTAGAGATGATCTGCTGCTGCGTGTGTCCCTCTGTGAGAACTTCCTCACTTTAAGACCGACCTGAGACGGTCGATCACGTTTTCACCGCAGTGTCAGCGGGCAGAGGCGTCTTTAACTTCCATCCATGTAGTTTCTGCAGAAAACAGCCTGCAGGAAGAGAGAGCGACACCTTCACTCTGAGTTGCATCAGCTGAGGCGGGACAAAGCTCCAAGACTCTGCAGGTGATTGGCTGTCAGAGCTGTCAATCAGTCTGCTCCTTCAGCTCCTGGAGTTTGTAAATAACAGCAGAGGTCATAAAACTCAGACGGTCTCTGTTTCCTGAACTCAAACACAGAAATAAAGACACGAACCTCCTCCGTCTGTTTCACACGTTCATCCTGATGTTTCTCTTTATTTCCAGAGTTTACAAATGTCTTTATAAAGAATCAGTTTTCCACTAAAGGTTGGAAATCCTGATGATTTAAAAAGATGGCACATTTCCACAGAGACCCAACAGACAAAGAACAGATAAATGTGCTTTTTATTCTCTAATGCAGCACATTAGACTCACAGTTACTCTACATTCAGACTCTCTGCATCCTGACAAAACACTGAAAACGTGAAACATTCTGATAAAAGGCGCCGTGAGGGGTCAGAGTTCACCTGAACCTGGATCACAGCGCGGTCCGGGTCACCTGGTTTCATTTGGCTTAAAAGAAAAAGGATGAAGTCGAGTCGATCTCTCCAGCTCCACCAAACCCCATTAAAAAAACAGTCATTTTAACCTGCTGAGAGTTCCTGTTTTAAAAGTGTCGATTTTTCCTGTGAGGGCCTGTTTCCACTGACAGCATTTATTCACAACACTGTCTGTTATAAGTTAATGAAGAGTGTTCGCTCACAGAGTCACTGACACGACCCACAGAGACACAGACACAGTCAGTGGACACGGGCCCTTCAGTTTAAAGACCTCCGTCTGCTGGTCTGAAACTCGGTTTAGAGGAAGTATTTGGTTGATCCAGCTTTGGTTAAGGTGGTATTTTTGTCGTTCAAGGTCATAATTTGAGCTTTAGAGAGTTTATTTTCCTACTTGTTTCTCATCTAGACCAGAGTTAAAAAACACAGGAACTGACTTTGGAGATGTTTGTATCGTCTCTGACGCCGTTATCGCAGAAGTATTTCTGCTGGTCTTTTTGTCGTTTTAAACACATTTATGTTAATCTGTGATTCAAAGTCCGTGTTTTGTCTCATTTTATCCTTTTTTCGGGGTTTTCTGGCGTTACATCCAGAGTCCTCGGCTGTGAACAAACGTCCTCTGGCGGGCAGTAAAACCGCCGTTGTGCTTCGTCTCGTATCTTCTCTCTCACTTCAGCAGGATTGTCGACAACATTCAAAGATCATCTTAAGGAGAGAAACACTGAGATTCAGCTGTTTCTCTCTGTGCAATAACAGATCGTCTCCTCCTGACGTCTATAACCTCCCTGAGTGCGGCTGAGCCCAGATTTCATCCTGAGAGTCCGAGTCCTCGTAGTGGTAACCTCCAGATTTCACAAAGTCCGATCCTTTGCCTACAGCTGATCCGTTGATGTCCCTCAGCGGGACGAAGGCGTAATCCTGACGTTCAGAGAGGCGAGCGGCCACCGAACCTCGACACGCCCGAGCGAGGTGAAGCAGCAGACTGACTGAGAGCAGAGAGGCCAGAGCGGCGGCGATGATGATCCACGACCGTCTGAGGAGAGACAGAGGAGGAACAAGGATCAACTTTACAGACTCAGGACTTTGATTTCCTCCAACAACAGAGTGAATATTGTGAGTGATCAGCGTCAGTGAGGAGCGTTTACTTCTTTAAAACTTTATATCCTCCTATTTTAACTCTCATGATCGTCTAAGACGGAAACACGTCTCCAAAACTGTGAATGAATCTCCTCTGCTGGTGACAAACGGGTTAAAACAGATCGAGTCCTTCTCTCCATCTGTGACCACGGCTCCCCTTCACAAAGCGCTCGGCTGTAACCATGGCAACAGCTAACAATTCCTCACTTGCATGTGAAAGGTAAAGAGGCTAATGAATGCGTCCGTCCTCAGACTGTCGGCCTTGTTTACACAGAGAAAGAGTCGGAGACGAGGAGACAGACGTTTGGAGTTTTCTGACCAAACTCCAGAGAAAAATCAGACGATTTTAAAATCAATATTTCATGATGGATTTTTAAAGATTCCTGAATATTCATCTAAACTCTTTTTCAAATGTGTCTCGAAGGAGCGGACACGTTTTCATGTTTGACTTTGACGGGCGCCGACAGACTCTGTTCACACCGTCTGAGAGAGGAGGTGAGCGGCTGCAGATGAACGTTTGGTTCACAGACCGTTTCACACCTCAGCGAGGAACAGGTTTTTACTCTGAGGGGAAATCTCTGTCCCTGTTCAGACCGCAGACACGCTCCTCAGGACCATTTGCCTGAAGCTCAGAAGGAGGTGAAGTCCTCTCTGTTAAATTTGAGGCTGGTCCGCGGGTCAAAGATCGACTCGGCAGAAACTCCGACAGTTTCATCCTGAAAATAAAAACGTCGGTTTAAAAACGTCGACCTGCTCGTTCTTCAACATCTAAACCCGTTTTTATCGGGAGCTCCGGCCTCTCCACACGTGAGGCTGTTTACATTTTAGAGGGTTAACGAGCAGACGTGAAGGATGGACTGCAGAGGTCAAAGGTCGGACGGGAAGGTCAGGTCATGTGACTCCACCTTTGACACTTACTCTGATAGACGAGGTCGCTCCATGTGAGCTTCTTCATCGCTCCTCCACGACGTGAACATCTGAGCGGCCAGACAATGACCCGCTGTGGAGGAGAGGGAGGAGACGAGGAGGGGGAGGAAGAAAGGAAGAGAGAAAGAAGGAGAGAAGGAAGGGGAGGAAGAAAGAGAGAAGGGGAAAGGAAGGAGGGGAGAGGCAAAAGAGTAAAAAAAGAAAAATAAGAGGGACAGAGAGGGAGAAGAAAAGATAAGGAAAGGAAGGATGAAGGTTCAGAAAAAGAAGGAGAATGACAAGAAAGGAAATGGTGAGGAAAAGAGTAAAAAGAATGAGAACAAGGAGGAAAGGAAACATTGAAATAAGAGGAACAGGATGAGGAAAGGAAACAGAGAAGGAGATGAAAAGAAGAAGAGAACATCGGAGGCAGAAGGAGAGGAGAGAAAGTTGAATCAGTGAAGAGATCCTAAATTTTTATTTCACTTTTATTTTTAAAATCTTTTTAAAATCAGAAAACAAAAAACAGTCTGAAGTTCAAATTAAACGTTTTTAACTCCTTCTGTTTCAGACTGATTAAAGCTCCAGTGAGGAACTTTCAGTTGGTCTGAATTTGGCGCCCCCTGTGGACAAAACAGTGAGCAATATTTCTTTACGGATTTCTGTGTACATGAAAACATCTTTACAGAACAAACAGAGTCTGTCTCTATTCACTGGTTTGGCTCATTTAAAGGGATATTCCGGTGTTTTAAATTAATTTAGGGTCAAACCCACCGTAACACAGAGTCAGACCCCCCCTCCAGAGATGAATGTTGATATAGGGACACTATATGTCCTGTTGATGAAGTTAGGTGCTGCTCTGAGCATTATCTGTGGCTATAGAGTGGCGTTTTGGTTGGGGGCGTGGCTCTCTGTATTTCTATCCTGCGGTCGTTACTAAAGTTGGTATAACTAGAGAAGGAAGCGGTCGACAACATTCATCTCTGGAGGGGGGGTCTAACTCGGGGTTACGGTGGGTTTGACCCTAAATTAAATTTATGACGGAATATCCCTTTAAGTCCTGATGAGTAACAGATCCAGGAACAGGTGAGTCGGCTCGGAGCTGCAACAAGGACGAGACTGTTTCAACGTCTGCTGAATGTGAGCATGAACACACACACACACACACACACACACACACACACACACACACACACACACACACACACACACACACACACACACACACACACAAACACGTACACACACACACACACTGGATGACCTCGCTCTCAGGTGTGTTAGTGTGTCAGAAGATGTTTGATTTGGTCATAAAAAAACAAGATGGAGGTTTTCATAACAGAGATCAGCTGGATGAACTCCAACACCAACCTCGTGACGCCTGTATTTACATGAGTGTTTGCATCCGTGTGTGTGTGTGTGTGTGTGTGTGTGTGTGTGTGTGTGTGTACCTCTGTGTAAGGTGTTGTTGACGTCTCCTGACAGTGTGGTGTTGCAGCTCCCCGTCTGAGGGTCACATGGACACTGGTTTTCACAGAGACACTCCTGAGCGCAGGACGGACCGAAGAAACCCAGAGGACACACTGACGGAGAGAGAGGAGGGACATTTTTAACAACATGTCAGATCACACACACGCTCTGTCATGATGCTCTAAAAGACGAGTCCGGACCACATCAGTCCAGGACTCGTCTCCTACAGAGCCGAGCTGCTGTCAGAACGTGGTTTGGGATCATCTGAAGGTCTTCCCTGAAGAAGTCTGTGTCTGGATGGACGCAGATGTTCCTCCTAAACCTGGAGATCTTGTTTCAACCTGAGGATGCAGCATCTATGATTTCTACTTCTATGCTGAAAGAGTGTTAGATTTTGATCCATCAGACCTCAGGACAGGTCATGTGATATTAAACCCATGCAGTGACTCCAACTGCAGAGTCCTGATGCTCCTAAACCTGGAGATCTAGTTCAGCATCAATGGAGCCTCCACAGATGAGGAAGACACCGTGACGTAGATGAAGTGTCAAATGTGTCAGACCGGGCGTCACCGGGTCATGGTCGATGATTTTCGTCTTCGCGTGGTTCTGTTTTTTTCCTCCTATTATGTCCAAGAGTCAAACAGTAGCTTTACCTTGTCCACAAGTGTTGCCATGGAAACCAGCAAGGCAGGTGCAGCTTCCACGGACGGGGTCGCAGGAGCCGCCGTTGAGACAGGTGCAGGTGTTATTGCAGCCGTCACCATAGAAACCAGGTAGGCACTCTGTAGAGAAGAGAAGAGATGAGTGCAGAGGTGTTTGGAGCTGAAGGTCGACCTGTGACACCGCTGAGGTAAAAACACTAAAACTGCAGTTCCTTCAGTGTCCACTAGAGGCTGCCTGCAAAAGCACTGACACCACATACACACCCATTCTAAAAGCAGCAGAAATACGTTTGTTTACAGCCACATGTGACATCGCTCAGTTCGTTTACAGTCTCAGTTTAATCAGAATAAACTCATAATCGAATTATTGACGTGAACGTGTCCTCCTCCCCAACACTAGGGGGCGATATGGGTCTTTACAACCGTCAACAACAACAGCAGGTCGGTGTCAGACGTCAGAAGTGTCTACAACTGCTGCTGGGCATTTTGGAGAAACAAGAAGATGGAGCATCGTACAGCGTTGTTTTTGTCCGACATGATGGACGCGCTACTTTTTCTAAAGAGGAGACCAACGCTACTCCTCTACTCTGGGGGTTTGTTACGGGGTTACGGGGGCGTGGCCTGTATCCGATCATACTCCGACTACGCTACGCTATGGTAGAGAAAATCGAATTCCAATCTCATTATCTGAGTGTCTTAATCTGAGTTCTTAAACTCTGATTATAGTCGGACTAAAGTGTTCACATGACCTTCAGTTGTCCGGTCTTTATCGGAATAAGGCGATAATTCGGTTTTCTCAGGTGTCATGGAAATGGACTGATTGACACTGATGTTTTCAGGTGGATCAGTTCACCAGAACAAACAGTCACATGTGTGATATTGTCTAACTCACCTCTGCTGCAGTTCTTTCCTCTCCATCCGGCGTCACAAACACACCCGCCTGAAACACAAACATTAAAAAAACCGTAAAAAGAGCAGAAACGACGACGACCGGTCCGAACTCTCAAACAGTCTCTGAGTTTTCAAACTCAGATAAAGTCGACTCTGGCGGTCTAACGCGTTTCCCCTCACTTACCCGGCGTGCAGACACCGTGAGGCTCGCAGTCTGACGGCTGACACTCTAAAGAGTCGCAGGCGTCTCCATGCCAACCGTCGTCACACTGACAGCGTCCGTCCACACACTTCCCGTGACCGCTGCAATCTGGCGACTGGCAGCGCCGCGGGTGAACGCACAGGATGGTGGAGATACGGCGGTCACAGCGCCACCTTCTGTCTGATGAACTACAGAGGGAGGATAGACAACAGGCTGAGCACAGATCTTCACAGCGGCGTGAGGAAGAGGAAGAGGAAGAGGCGTGAACTGACTCACCAGCTGTCAGACGGGTAGCTGGCTAATGTGCCGTCAACCACGTAGGTAGAGGACCCGCCTCCATCCAGATTGATGGCATTAATGATCCCATACTGCTTTAAAAACTCGGCGAACTCCCAAAGATTCATCCTGAACAGAAAGAGAAAATCATGGATCATCAGATTCAGACCGAAGACGAAGGAAAGACCAGGATCTGAAGTCTGACTCTGTCCACAGGTGTTTGAAATGTCAGAGCTCATCATGAGATAAAAGATGTTTTTAGGATTAAACAGCTTTGAATTCAAAAACCAGAGGCATCATGGGATACAAACAGGAGGGTAACTCAGGTGAACAGTCGCAACAAGAGGTGTGATCAATAAATCGATTTAGTGACATATCAACATGGATTCACAGAGAAGAGCTGAGCCTCCCTCCTGTCTGTTCCTGAGATCATATCTGTGTTTGGACTCGGGTTTGACTCTGAAGTTCCTCAGTAAAGACACACAGAAGCTCCCGCTGTTATTCCTGAGGGTCCGCCTGTGAGGGGGCGCTCTTTGTTCGGTCCTTTCAGACGCCGTATCGAGCGTGCGGTGGAGGTCTGGTATTGAGCGGTCTCATATCTTGTTGTGCTTCTTGAAGTCACATCATTAACACGAACACATTAACCTCAGGGTCACTGCGGGCTGAGAGGGATCAATAGCATTGATCGGTGTGCAGATCTGAGTGAGCTGAGGAGACGTCAGCTGTTCTCAGGTCAGTTCGTCTCCTAAAGTGACCCGTTCACTGCTCCTCCAGTTAGGAGGTCAGGTCACCTCCTTCATCCTCCCTTCAGATTGAAAATATTGATCTATTCAATCAAGAGCTTTCACTGGAAATGATCAATAAACATTTACAGAATAAAAATTAAACACCTGTCAATCCCAGGTAGCCCCGCCCCCAAACCGCCCCTACTTCCTGTTGGTCATAAACGACTAAATAAACATCCTGTGTGTTGAAAACTCAAGATTTAGACCAAAAACTCGTTTGGGAATAAATGAGATGATTTAGAGTGAGTCGCCCCCTGCTGGACGTCAAAGAAATGCAGATTCAAGATTTTCTGTGTTGAATAGATCGGAATAAAAAAAGGGAAAAACTTTGAATTTCTCAGAGGAAGAATAAAGAAACGATCATTTTCCTGGAGTTCGTCTCTGTTGGTTCAGTCTGTTATAAAATCTTCGTTGACTCTGAGGCGACTCGCCGGTCTGTGAGTCACTTTGGTCTGATGGAATAAATGATCCTGTTTTTCTGTGTCTTTGTCCTCAGAGGACGATCCTAGGAGGTTAATATCATTTGAAGGTTTTGGTGAAGGACGTGAGTCACGTCTTCTGAGGAGCGTCTCCGGCTCTCGTCAGTCTCACCCTCTGGCTCCAGTCTGCCCGTCGATCTGAAACAGGATCAGTCTGCCTTCGGCGTCGTGTCCCACCGCCGTCCGGGCCGAAATCACGTTCACAAAAGTTTGAAAATTTCCTGAAAGAGGAAAAGAAAAAAAAGTGTTTCAGTTACAAAGAAAGAGTTTATTCTGTGTTCATGTGAGTTTATTTATTTAAACATGGACTGAAGTTTGTGGAGGATTCAGTGATGAACAAAGAGGAGAAACTTCTGCGCTAACTGAAAGAAGGAGGGATCCCAGGTTCAGTGTCAAAGTGGCGTCACCTCTGTGGATATTTCTCACCGTTTTAGAGGATCTGCAGGTTCACCTGCTCGTTTCTTATCACCACGTTAGATTTTTAAGTAAAAAACGAAGTACAACCTGAAAATTCCCTTAAAGTCGAAGGAAAAATAACTGAACTTCTGCTCAAGAGGACAACAACACTTTTTTTTTTTTACTTGAATTTAAAGGTGTTGTAGTCAGGATCTGAGTTAGTTCCAGTTTTTAGGAGAAATCTTGAATGTAAACTCTACCCCTCCCAACCAGTTTTCCCCTCAGCTCCTCCTCTCCCTCTCTCAAGCCCCGCCCACAAACAGACGCTCCTGCTCGCTCGTATCGTTCCAGTTAAATTCAGATATAATGCAGATAAATCCTTCAGATCATTACAAATGGGGCCCAGTCAAGGTGAAAGTCAAAAGCATTGGTGCTACTGTAGATGCCAACAGACTACCAGCAAACACAATGTTTGCAGGACTTCTACAACGAGGATAAAGTGACATAGTCCAGGACCCGAGGGAGGACAGTTTAGCGATGGCGCTACAACACGCTACAGCAGGTCCGTTTGACAAGAAACACTTCTGTCACAGACACTTGTCTTACTTTGTTAAAGCGGTTTACCTGTCCAGCAGAAAGGTTACAGGGTCACCAAGATCCCCAAGTGTCCCCCATGGTTTATGTTGACCCGGCTTTTTAGCTCTTGTCCGGTCTACCTCCGTTTTAAGCGCCCGTTATTCCTCCAGAGTCTCAGGTATTTACTTTGTTTTCTTGCTTGTGTCGGCAGTCGTGGCCAAAGGAGGATTCAGACAATTTTCCGAACTTTCTGGTTGGTTTCTACTGTCCGATATTGTAGCACGCTAACTTTGTTTGGGCTCCTGAACGACACGGGGGAGCAGTATTTTCTTGTTGACTGTTTTCTTGCTGACTGTTTATGTTTGAGTGTTTTCTTGTTGACTGGTTTGGTGTTGACTGTTTTCTTGTTGACTGTTTTTTGCTGACTGTTTTCTTGCTGACTGTTTTCTTGTTGACTGATTATGGTTGACTGATTTCTTGTTGACTGTTTTCTTGCTGACTGTTTATGTTTGAGTGTTTTCTTGCTGACTGTTTTCTTGTTGACTGTTTTCTTGCTGACTGTTTATGTTTGAGTGTTTTCTTGTTGACTGGTTTGGTGTTGACTGTTTTCTTGTTGACTGTTTTTTGCTGACTGTTTTCTTGCTGACTGTTTTCTTGTTGACTGATTATGGTTGACTGATTTCTTGTTGACTGTTTTCTTGCTGACTGTTTATGTTTGAGTGTTTTCTTGCTGACTGTTTTCTTGTTGACTGTTTTCTTGCTGACTGTTTATGTTTGAGTGTTTTCTTGTTGACCGGTTTGGTGTTGACTGTTTTCTTGTTGACTGTTTTTTGCTGACTGTTTTCTTGTTGACTGTTTTCTTGCTGACTGTTTTCTTGTTGACTGTTTTCTTGCTGACTGTTTTCTTGTTGACTGTTTTCTTGCTGACTGTTTTCTTGTTGACTGTTTTCTTGCTGACTGTTTTCTTGTTGACTGTTTTCTTGCTGACTGTTTTTTGTTGACTGTTTATGTTTGAGTGTTTTCTTGCTTGTGTCGGCAGTCGTGGCCAAAGGAGGATTCAGACAATTTTCCGAACTTTCTGGTTGGTTTCTACTGTCCGATATTGTAGCACGCTAACTTTGTTTGGGCTCCTGAACGACACGGGGGAGCAGCGTCTGCCTCACAACCAATCAGGTTAGAGGAGGTGGAGAACGGCTTTGTTTACAGTCAGAAAGAGCGGACCGCTCAAAAATGTTCAAATGTTGACGACACAGACATAAGAGAACACAGAGATATCGATATATTACCAAATGTCATCAATAACTAATAACTATTGACTGATATTAGAAGAGTTTTTGTATTAAAAACACAAAATAAAAAGATGTTTCTTTAACAGAAACCTGCTGACTCCACCTTTAACTCTGAAAAAAATAAAAAAGGTCTGACCTAAATATCCTGACGTCTCTGTGCCAACTAGGTAACCTGACGCCCTCTGTGTCCGTCTGTCTGTCTGTCCGTCTGTCTGTCTGTCTGTAGAGTTTGATAACAGAGATGATCTCATTCAGAGCAGAGGTCGACTCTCAGCCTTCAGATCAGCTCTTCACCTTTATTCTTTTATTTTGGCGGGATCTGTGTCACAGTGAAGGTGTGAGCAGACACCTGAGGTAACCTCTGATCGCTCCACATGCTCCTCATTTTTCATCAGACTCGTCGGTGCGTTGTGGTTTGTCGGCGCGCTGGAGTCACGTCAGGTCACGGAGGAGGAGCAGGGCAGCGCTCTGAGATGAAGTTACATTTAATTACAGCTGAAGTGAAGCTGGTCTGGTTTCTGTGTCTCAGGCTGAGGTGAACTGAGGGGAGTCTACAGAGAGGAGGAGGTTTTACAGCCCAGGGTGATAATCTGAACTTCAGGGAAACCTTGAACCAGTCTGAGGAGCAGAAACAGGTCCAAACCTGAACCGGAACAACTCCAACAAGCTGAAGAACATCCTGAAACCCTCAACACTTCTTCACTGTCTCATCCAGCTGCTTCTTGTTTGTTCCAGGTGGTTGTGGATTCACGGTCCGTACCTGTCTCCTGGGTCTCGTCACACTCGGACTTCAGACTCTGGTCGATGTAAACCTCCCCGTTCCTCAGCAGCCACACCACGCCGCTGATCAGCTGAATAAACGGGTTCAACTTGTCCAAAACGTCCTCCTGAGACAGATACCTGAGGAGGACATCATTGAGACATCAGAATCTGAAATGAGCTTGAAGGTGCTGAACTCATCCGGGTGATCAGACCCTCTTTGTACCTGCAACGTTACATGAAACATCAGCTGTTAATGGACTTCATCAGGAGGAACAAAGTGTTTAAAGAAAGAGGAGAAGTGAATCCTCAATCCTCTGTGGGCTGTGACTAACACCTGGGAGGACCGGGTGAAAGAGAAACAAATAAAAGTGGTCGTGTGGAGAAAAGACCGAAGAGGAAACTCACAGAAACACGATGGTTCACAGAGTTCATGTAAAGACAGTAAAGACCGTAGAGACCGCTCTCCTGGGGTTTAGGTTCGCCTGCATCTGTGAGGCGTTTGAGTTTTAAAAAATTGATTTATTATTCAAGAAAGAAAAGAAAACACACTGATCCAGGTCGAAAACTTCTGCCTTCAAATGAAAAAGTCAGACGATGAAATGAGATTAAAAAAAAAAGGACGAGTGAAAAAACGATGAAAAACGGTCAACAGGAAACGATCAGAGCTGACATTAACCACGGTCCGACCACAGCGGGGAGATTTAGATAACCACACCCCTCAGTGACCGCCCCCACAGGTGACGGACCTGGAAATCATATCCTGAACAAACATACTTGGACTCCTACAAAGACGACCGTCTGAACTCTGGAGACCAGGATCACCTTCATGAACCTTCGAAAACCTCCAAATACTCCAAAGAACAAAGAAACGGAAACGGCAGGAACAACCCGAGCCGTGAGAATCAGAAACCAGTTCAGACTGGATCAGGCCGGCGCCATCATTCTCCTGATTGGTTCCTCACACTTCCTTCTCCACGTTCGCAGAGAAGATCAGAGACTGTTCAGAGGTGATCTGTGAGGATTCATGTGTTCATTTAAAGGTGTCATTTCTCTAGTCAGGTGAGTGTGTTATTAGAGGGCCGCCATCTTTGTTTTGGTTCACCAATCAGAGGCTGGAGCTGCTATCAGCTGACTTTTAAAGGATGAATACGGCGCCTAACTTTCCTGATGAAGGTAATCAAACTTGTCATAAATTGATGAGGTGATCAATAACAGACGAACAGGATCAATGATGGCGTCATTAGTAGAACGTCTTCCCTCCGTCCCTCAGGAGACAAACTCGCTCACTTTTGCGTCTCGCAGCCTGATGACTCAAACTTCTCTCCAGTTGTTCAAACAGCTGGATCAGCGCCACGCTTCCTCGTTATGTAAGTGACACGGCGGTGCCCTCGGTGGTTATTTTTAATACCAAATTATCTCCTCGACTTCTAGGGAGTGGAATCAACTTACCTCCATTATCTAACCTCAAACTAGCGGCCAAAAGCGTTTCTATTTCCATCCAGCTCCAGTGAGTCAGAAGACGGTCGATAAACGGGTGAAACCAGCTGCTGAACTGGAGGAGTGCTGGTATTTCAGCTGCTTCCTGTTTGTTTGAGCTGCTGTTAAAAAGCCGTCCTGTGAGCTCAGTGAGCGTGTTCACTCACCTCAGTGTCCTCACCTGACAGAGAGACCTCTGCACAACATCTCCACGGGGACACGGGGACACGGGGACGCCGCTCTAATCTTTGTTATCACTCACCTGGACTGACTCTAAACTCAACCAGCATGTTTTTCTGCACGCTGCAGGACCTGAAACTCGCTCTCCACCAGATTATGAACACACACGGTCTCTGTGTCACTGATGGATGTTGGTGGATCTGAGACAACAACACAAAGGTCCAACATGAAGACAGCTGTGTGACACTGAGAGCTCAGCACACCTGCTTTACTCCTCCTCCTCACTTCGTGGTTCTTCTTCAGGTATTACTAGAAACCTGTTTCAGGGACCAGCTTGTGGTTTTCTGTGGTCCACCTTCGTCCTTATTTTAGTTCAGCTCCACTATTTCTGGGCGTTTGACCCACGACAGCCAAAAAAAGCCCTCCTCTGTTTTCAGGGGCTGCAGCAGCTGTGTTTGTTTCCACCTGCTGAAGTGACCCATTCACCTGCAGCTCTGCTCAGGTACGAGTCTAAACCTGGAGAGGACACTTTTACAAATCTATCTTTATCTAAACCCACAGCTTTAAATACAACCTAACACCACGCCCTGATGTTCACATCGTGGTTCATCCAGCTGCTCACAAATAACCCGACATTATCTCAGAGGAGGCTGAGGTGATCCAGGTCCTGGAGTCATAAAGTCCACAGAGCGACAGCTGTGTGGGTTTAAAGTACGTAAACAGAAGGATATTAAAGCGTCTGATGTGTCAATATCAGAGCGTGTTTTATGGTCTTTATCAGAGAGAAACACCGGCTCAGACACAGACATGAAACTCTCATCTGTGTCTGTTGATGTTTCCATGAAGCCTCGTCTGACGATGAAAGATCGACTCGGTTTATTACCGAACAGAAAAGAAGTTTATCTGAGAAACAGTTGATGATTATTCAAAGATTTGTTGCCACATTTGCATGAAACTCTTCGGCTGTTTTCGATCGTGCACAAAACTCCTGAAAATGTCCGACATTTTTCCGGTCATGGAGGCAAACAGACGGAGTTTTTCCTCAGACTCTGATATCTCCACAGTTTCTCTCAGTACTTCAATTTTCACCTGAGCTTGAGTCTCTGATATTAAACAAGGATCATTACGTCATTCCTCATTTATGTGTCTCCTACCCGAACACCAGGGTCCCGTCCTTCCTGATCCCAAACTGGGCGTTCTGGATCCCGCCGCTGTCCTGCACCATCCTGCCGTCGCTGACCACGTTACCCAAACACGCGTCTGTCTTTGTGTTGAAGAAGCCGCCGTTCTGAGCGAACAGACATCCTGCAGCCGAGGCCGTTTCCTTCACAGTGGCCCTCTGATTCATCCCGCAGCCGCCCGGCCCGCCCGGCTCCAACACCGACACCGTCCTCAGGGGGTCGTAGACCACCGTCATGTGACCTGGAGATGAGAGGACATGAAGCGAGCTGATACAGAGTCAGAGGGACTTAAACATCAGTGTCTGTTAGTGTTTCTAAGAACAGGTAGTCGATCAGCTCCAGATTGATCACAGATGATCGGTTTAAATAAAGTTGTTGTTTTTCCATCACTGACCGTAAACCCATCTGGACGTGCGCGGCACCTCGGACACAAACTTGTTGGACTCTGCCACAGGCGTCCCGATGAAGCTGCTGGCCGGCCAGCTCTCATGGGTGGTGTTACCGTGGGCAACGGGCTGACAGTCCCTGACATAGCGGTGAGAGTGGGCGGGGCCATGACCGTTGGTGTAGGGCAGCAGGAGGTCATCTTCCATCGAGACTCTGAGAGGAGGGAGAGAAGGACAAGACTTCAGGTCCTCTTAACCAAACAGGTTATGATTACTGTCATGATAAAAGGCCTGGACACGCATATTAAAACAGGCCTTTATTTGAAGCATTACGGTAATTATACTTAAAACAGGCCTTTATTTGAAGCATTACGGTAATTATACAAACACAGGCCTTTATTTGAAGCATTATGGTAATTATACAAACACAGGCCTTTATTTGAAGCATTACGGTAATTATACAAAAAACAGGCCTTTATTTGAAGCATTGCGATAATTATACAAACACAGGCCTTATATGAAGCATTATGGTAATTATACAAATACAGGCCTTTATTTGAAGCATTACGGTAATTATACAAACACAGGCCTTTATTTGAAGCATTACGGTAATTATACAAACACAGGCCTTTATTTGAAGCATTACGGTAATTATACAAACACAGGCCTTTATTTGAAGAATTACGGTAATTATACTTAAAACAGGCCTTTATTTGAAGCATTACGGTAATTATACAAACACAGCTGGTCGTCGTAACCACTGAAATGAGGGTAAAAAGTTACAAATTCAAATTTCAGGCTTTCCCAGAGTAGAGACACCAAAGATTTTACAGACATCAGATCTTGGAGAGACCTGAGAACCTCCTGACTCAGAGTTAATACTTCCTCACATTATAAATCCGTCTCTGATGTTGATAACTCAGTCCTGCGTTGGTTCAGTCTCCACATTGACTCCTCTGATTTCATCACTTAGCCTCAGTTAGTCAAACAGTTTCATCACATGAAGGAATGTGTTTTTCTCTCAGGTCTCATGTGAAAAAACTAAACATCTCCTTTTTTACCCTCCAACATCCCTCTTTTCTTCTCCATCATATTTCACTCTCACTGCATAGTTTCAGGTTTTGTTATTCTGCTGCTGCGCACCGATCCGTCTGAGAGAAAGGTTTATAGTCCTGTGACAGAATCTACTCCAAAAAAATCTAGATTTTAGGATCTCTTTGCTGAGTGCAATAGAAAAAAAGGAGAGTTAATCTGGTCAATTTAACGAGACGCTCCTCCATATTAACGAGGGTCAAACCCTGTTATCAGTCTGTGTATTTATAAAGGTCCTGTTTGCTGCAGTATGAACTAAATCAAACAGAGAGAAGGGAGGATGAAAAAGGTGACTGAGTGTTTGTTTTCATCGATGGGGTTGGGAAATAATGTCTGGAGTTGATTTTGGACACAATATGTCAGACAGCTCTGAGAAATCAATGCATGTCTGGGACAGAGTGAGACTGTGGAGAGGGGCTTTCAGGGCAGCTGGACTAATACACACTGTGAGTGTGTGTGTGTGTGTGTGTGTGTGTGTGTGTGTGTGTGTGTGTGTGTGTGTGTGTGTGTGTGTGTGTGTGTGTGTGTGCAGCACTCAGGTATAAAAGCGGAGTAATTTTCACGGCAATTTACTGAAGTGAAAACTGCAAAGGCAGAAACACAGTAGGGCTGAGGTCTGCACAGGGGGGAGGAGACCGCTGTTATGTAATGACAGTGTGTGTGTGTGTGTGTGCGTGTGTGTGTGTGTGTGTGTGAGAGTATGTGTGTGTGTTTGTGTGTGGAGCATCACCTGACTGCAGGACAAGGTCACAGCAGCATCACTTCACCTTGAGTCACCTTCAAGTGATAAACAGTCTTATATCTGTGTGAATTATTATTATTATTATTATTATTATTATTATTATTATTATTATTGTGATTGTTAATGCGTCTGTTTTGGTGCCGTCTGCTGAGTCTCTCCTTTTACCCTGTTAGGTCAATGACCCCCCCCCCTCCACATTTGCAAAAATAAATAAAATAATTAAAATAATAATAATAATAATAATAATAATAATAATAATAATAATAATAATAACACCTTTAAACTCATTTATAATAAAAAGTTTTACGTTTTATGATTTCAGAGAGGAGGGGACGAACACGAGGCTGTAAGGGTGTGTTTTGTTAAATGATCTTGTTTTATTGCATCTATATAATTAAAGTTATATATCAAACTTTATCTGGACTATTGTTTCACTTCTGTTTTCTCATCCTGTTCCTCTGATGTTGTAATAACTGAATTTCCTCTGGATGCTGCAATCAAGTCTGATTTTATATGATATGATTCGACAGCGCCATCTTGTGGCCAAAAAGTTAAACTGCAGCAGAGTTTCACCAACAAATGTCAGTTTATTTAAGAGTTTCATAGAAACGTGATGACAGGACTCGTTCAGTGACTCACAGTTTGTTTTACAGATTCATTATCTTTATTTAAAATAAAGATATATCAACAAAGACTATTTACTGTACTGTTAAAATGAAGTGACTGACTGTAAATAAAGATTTTTTTACTCCAGCCTCAGTTTCAGTGAATCTACGTTATTTAAATGTTCTTTATTGTAAAGTTTAGTGAGATTAGCGTACTGAAAGTCTTTGTAGTTTGAGATAAATCACTCAAACTCCTGAACTTTGTGCTCAGATAAATTCATGAATGTGTTACTCAACAGCTCGACATTTACTTCAGAACATTATCAGGTGTTTGTAGAAAAGTTCTGTTTCAAAAAAATGTCGAAATTATGTGGAAAAAAGTGATTTTTAGTTCGATAAAGTCAATAAAAAAGTCAACATCAGGAGTTCAGAGATAAAAACTGTTTTTAACGGTTCTATCATCTAAACGGAAGTGCGCATGCGCCGGTAGTGCCTCCATATAACCAGTTTTTAGTCTTTTTGTTTGTTTTTTTCTTATTTATTTAAAAACTTGTTGACCTTCAGAGAGAAAAATAAACTTTTCCTGCTTCTCTGACAACCCTGGGTCTGCAGCTAACAGGCTACCTGCGGCTAACTCAACATACGGAAACAGAAGAAGAAGAACCGGCGGACTTACCGGGACTCTCTGCTCACCGACAACCACAGCAGCGACAACAGACACACGGACCGACATTTTACTGACACTGCTGCCATTAATGAGGACGACTGGCCGGCTAACCGCTCCACCGGCAGGTCCCCACATCATCCAGCTAAAATACACACACACATTCAGTGTAAACGTAACACAACGACTGACTTCCGGTTACTTAACAAAATAAAAGCAGGACTGACTGTTAAAAACCATAGATATATAGAGAGACTAGATGGATGATGGGACTTTCGCCCGCGTCCTCACCGAGCGGCCATCTTACCTAGGGCGACTTCTCCGCGCACTCTACAGTAGTGGATGGAAGGTGAGCGACCTACACAAACAAAAATACACTTAACTCGCTGAAATCTTGACGGATTTACAAACGTTTTGGTTTATTAAAAACCTTATTAACATGGCTATGATTCAGGCCGCGTGGACATGTTGAAAGTGCAGCTTTTCATTTCGAAAATCGATTTGATTTTGCTGCATAGTTGTGTGTCTGTCACAGTCGTTTGCAAGGCTCCAATCTGGGAGTTTCAGTTATTATGTACGTTTCCGTGAGACCAATAATAATTTTGTGACAACCTTTTTTTTAACCTGTTTTTTACCTGGACTATACTGATCTCCTGAGTATGCTCAGTAAGATTAAGACGAATAATGGATCATCCACAGGAGGGCGCTGCAGGACATTTTTAAAAGGTTTGACTTCCACTTGCAGAAGTAACCGTAGACTGTGACGGACAAATTTTCTTGAGTGTATTTATTTCGCGATGAGCTTGTCGGTTGTAATTTATACAAAAGAACGTTTATATGTGATTTATATTTTACGTAACGGTTCCATACGGAACGAACACCCATTATTAAATATATTTAAATAATTAAAATACTTTGCTGTAAAATACTGTTATGGTTCCATACAAGGTTCATCCGGTTGTCGTGGCCGAGTGGTTAAGGCGATGGACTAGAAATCCATTGGGGTCTCCCCGCGCAGGTTCGAATCCTGCCGACAACGTACGTTTTTTTCCGGATACATCAGAAAACCTCTTTGTCTAATCAGCAGCTGTACGTTAGCACCCCGGCTAACGAGTTAGTGCAATAGTGTGTGAAATGCTAGAATTAACAAACAACACTGGATCCTTGAGACGTTTTCAAAATAAAATGTCACGCGATTTAATGAAATCTCGGGATAGGCGTTCTGTGTTGTATCCGAGTAAAATGACAAAAAGTATTTAAAAACAGCTCTCAGTCAAGTAAAAAAACAAAAGCGTTCAAGAAGTGAAATCAAAGAAAATGAAAACTGTAAACTCGGATTTTTAGGTTTTCCCTCTTAAAATAGGCGAAGCAACTTTATTTTTACGACAGATTTCATATAGATATGATGTTTACTTTGCTTTATAGAGTGGTACAGTACGACGGGGTATTAGGGCCATATTAAGAAAGTCATCAAATTAATCAAATATAAATCATTGTTTGGATTTGGCTCTGTCTTCTAACTGAAACGTGCGGAATATAAAGCCTGCTGTTGGCGATTTACTGGGGGAATGGTTTTAATGTCGCACAAGGTGAGAGTTGAAGGGGAACATGGCAGCAGGCATCAGTGCTAAACATGGATTATTAAGTAGTAAAACGGCACTTTATCACGCTCTGCACAGAAATAAACCACCGACGAGTGTTTTTACCCAAAGAGCGGCGGACATCCAGACTGTGAGAGCGGCGACCAGCGCGACAGCAGACTCACAAGTGAATGAGAAGTACTGCCTGGATCTGGTCAGGTGGGTCTGACTGCTGCTAACAACAACAGAAGCTGGAGGAGCAGAAAGTGAATCAAACCTTCATTTACTGAGCAGCTGTAAGAGTTTAAATACCGGGGTGGAAACGCCCTGATATGTGACCGGTCCCTCTGTCAAAAAGACCCTGCAGACACTTTCAAGAGTGGGTTAAATACAGAGTTTTACAGTAAGGCTTCCATCAACCAAACTCCATTCAAATATCCGTCAAAAATTCAGACAGCGTAAAAAGTCATAACACTCAAACGCTAATTCTACAAAATAAATATGAGAACAAAATGCAGCAGGTCTTAGTATAATTTCGGCTTTATAAGTGTGACTAAGAAGCTTTTGTTTGTACGTCGTTTCAACTTTTAAACTTTGGAAATCAGGATACGAGCCAATCAAAGTTAGGTTAGAAATCACACAAAAACGCCCTGCGATCAAAGTCTAACACGGTAAAATACAGTATGTGCAGTTTTGTTTTTAACTATGAAAAACAGCTTCTTTTGGGTATCAGATATTGTGTAAACACAGAGTTTGATCAACCAAACTCCATTCAAATATCCGTCAAAAATTCAGACAGCGTAAAAAGTCAAAACACTCAAAAGTTAAATTTACAAACTAAATGTTAGAAATATGTTTGTGCAGTTTTGTTTTTCGGTATCAGATATTGTGTTTAAAGGCGTTTGTTAGATGAACGTGTGTAATGTAGATGCAGGTAAGGTGTTTTATGATGTAGAAGTTTGAAAGTTTTTATCTCAAAAGAAAAGAAAACAGTTTCACACAAGAAAAGCGTTAGGCATATTATTGCACTGGAGCAATCGTGTAATGTGTTTTTAAATGATAATAGATGAACCTGTGTTGTTATGAAGTCCAGGGTCTGAGCAGGTCATGTTTGTCTGTTGATTGTCACAGAACAGAAGAAGATGTTGACGTGTGAAGACACTGTGGCAAAAACTCTTGGTTTGAATGTTACTAAATGAGGATTTTAAACGGAGCTGTCTCTCCTCCTCAGGTCCAGGGACTATGACGGCTTTGTGTCGTCTCTCCTCCTCCCAGAGGAGGCCCGGCGCTCCTCTTTGGCTCTGAGAGCCTTTAATGTGGAGCTGGCACAGGCAGGTATTCCTACAGCCAGGCTGGATTGAGAGTGGAGGTGGTAAAGAACTGTAATCCTGACTGAGATTAAGATTAAAACTGTTTTTAAGAGAAAGTCTGATAAAGTCAAACCTGGTGTGACCTGGTTGTTAGAGACGCTCCTGCAGACTGCTGCTGCTCATCAGTAGACCTCCTTTTAGCCTGCTCTCAAACATTCTCCACATGTATGTCAAAGGTCAAAGACTCCGTTTCCCAGAAGACCATTGGTTTGATGCGAATGCAGTTCTGGAAGTCGACCATCGAAGATATCTACAGAGATGATCCTCCAAACCAGCCAGTCAGCGCCGAGCTGTGGAGGGTAAGAGAGAGAGAGAGAGAAAGAGAGAGAAAGAGAGAGAGAGAGGGAGAGAGAGAGGAGAGAGAGAGAGAGAGAGAGAGAGAGAGAGAGAGAGAGGAAGAGGAAGAGAGAGGAAGAGGAAGAGGAAGAGAGGAAGAGAGAGAGAGAGAGAGAGAGAGTGAGAGAGAGAGAGAGAGAGAGAGAGAGAGAGAGGGAGAGGGAGAGGGAGAGGGAGGGAGAGAGAGAGAGAGAGAGAGGGAGAGAGAGAGAGAGAGGGAGAGAGAGAGAGAGAGAGAGAGAGAGAGAGAGAGAGAGAGAGAGAGAGAGAGAGAGAGAGAGAGAGAGAGAGAGAGAGAGACGGTTAAAAATGATCTTTTTAAAAATGACGACTGTGTTTTACAGGTGGTGAGGAAACATTACCTGACAAAGAGATGGCTGCTGAGGATCGTCACCGAGAGGGTTCGTCTCTGCTGTCTTTATTCAGAGCCTCATCTTTAGTTTGTTTGTTGTAGTTTATAATCTCTGTTTTATTGTAATAATAGAGAAAATAGTTAAATCTTTGTGTTTGAGCAGGAGAAGGATCTGGACGACAGAGCGTACAGAAACCTGCAGGAGCTGGAGACGTACTCCGAGAACACGCAGTCGTCTCTGATTTACCTGCTGCTGGAGTGTTTAGGTAAGGACAGGTGAGGCTGCAGGTGGATCCAAGTACGAGCAGAGATGATATAAACACGTAATAAACAGTTCAGCTGCTCGAGGGATACACCTGATGATTTTAAAAGAGGGAGGAATATGAAGGTGAAGAAGTGATGTCACAGCCAATCAGAATTCTTTGTTTTGTTTTGTGGTTATTTGTTTCTGCAGGAGTGAAAGACGTCCACGCAGACCACGCAGCCAGTCACATCGGTAAAGCTCAGGGAATCGTGACGTGTCTGAGAGCGACTCCGTATCACAGCAGCCGGCGGAAAGTCTACCTGCCCATGGACGTCTGCATGCTGGTGAGCCGAACCTCACCGAGAAATCTCCTATTTTATTCTGTTTTTATACTTTTATATTCGTATTTAACTGAAACATACAGTATAAGACACAGTATAACAGGTCTGAAGTACTTCAGGAGTATTTTAGTACATCTGATCTACTGGAGGGCATCGAGAAGGCAGCTTGGGACATTTCTCCGCTGGAAGAGGAGACGACACTTTTCTATGATTTGTAGCATGAAAGAAAATTTAAAAGGTGTTTTTTTTACATTTTCTGTCTGTAAAGGCAGCGAGAAGGAACTTTGACGACATATTTCATTATGGAAGGGCATCCAGACGGTTTTTTTCACATGTTTATACTGTAAGGACATCAGGGGGCACTTCCTGTTCTGTGTTTGATGAAGGTTGTGCAGCATGAAGATCACACTTGTGAACTTAAAGAGCATCTAAGAGGCAAAAAGGTCTTTAATAAGCATTAAAGTCACATTTTAGAATAAAAAGATCTGAGCCTGATTTAAAGGACTTAAAGCAGATCAATCATGAGGATCACAAAGACCAAAAAATGGGTTCAGGTTTGAAAAAAACCTGGAAATGAAAATGTGAACGCTGAACCCTGCACACACATCTATACACATCTACACACGTCTACACACATGTACACACTCTCAGCTGAGTCATGGCGCGGCCTTGGCTGACGTCAGGGATCATTACACAACAACAGCGGAGCAGAAGAGCTTCCTGTGCGAGATACATCCACGCCACGGGTGAACAAACGGGGAAACAAACAGTCTGGAGGTTCTGTGAGGAGGAGGACCTAAGGAGGAGGATCTGAGGAGGAGGAGGAGGACCTGAGGAGGAGGAGGAGGACCTGAGGAGGAGGATCTGAGGAGGAGGAGGACCTGAGGAGGAGGATCTGAGGAGGAGGAGGACCTGAGGAGGAGGAGGACCTGAGGAGGAGGAGTGGGAGGAGGAGGACCTGAGGAGGAGGAGGACCTGAGGATGAGGAGGGGGAGGAGGAGGAGGAGGAGGAGGGGGAGGAGGGGGAGGAGGAGGAGGAGGGGGAGGAGGAGGAGGAGGATCTGAGGGGGAGGAGGACCTGAGGAGGAGGAGGAGGAGGAGGAGGACCTGAGGAGGAGCAGGAGGAGGAGGAGGAGGAGGAGGAGGAGGAGGAGGAGGGGGAGGAGGAGGAGGATCTGAGGAGGAGGAGGACCTGAGGAGGAGGAGGGGGAGGAGGAGGAGGAGGAGGAGGATCTGAGGAGGAGGAGGAGTTTACGGTGCAGATGAAGCATGAAGGCTCTAACGTCAGAAACCTCAGGAGGAGGACAGTCGAGCCATCCACTCCTCCACCTCCTCTCTGCTGACGGTAGAGGGCGCTGTGGACACACTGAAACACCCTGAGAACATCCAGTAAAGGCACAAACACAGAAACAGGATGAAGAGCTGGACTCAAAGGCAGATCCTGGAGATGTCTCCAGTTAAAAACAGTTAAAAACAGTTAAAACAGTTAAAAAACAGTTAAAAACAGTTTAAAAACAGTTAAAAACAGTTAAAAACAGTCAAAACAGTTAAAAAACAGTTAAAAACAGTTAAAAACAGTTAGAAACAGTTAAAAAAACAGTTAAAAAAACAGTTAAAAACAGTTAAAAACTGTTTAAAAACAGTCAAAACAGTTAAAAACAGTCAAAACTGTTAAAAAACAGTTTAAAAACAGTTAGAAACAGTTAAAAAAACAGTTAAAAACAGTAAAAAAACAGCTAAAAACAGTTAAAAACAGTTTAAAAACAGTTAAAATCAGTCCTCCAGAAGACCGAACCCTCCGACTGTGTGTTTCAGCTGATACTGAGGAATAATCCAGAGTGAGAAACGACAAAGAAAACTCACATCTGACAGTAAATATGATGATCTTCTCTCCGTTTCCTCGTTTTGAGTCTTTGCAGAAACTTAAAACACTGAATCATCATTTTATCAATAATAAGAAAAAAAGACGAAGAATCAGTGGGCCTGAGATCGAACCCTGGGGAACTCCCACTTTAACGTTTAGCCTGGTTCCACTCATGAAAATGAAACAAAGACATCTGAGAGTGACGGGTGGAGTTAGTGGACAGTGACGGAGGAGCTCTGACTGATCACATCATTGATCAGTGGAGGACAGGCGATCAATGAGGGTGTGATCAGACGGGCTTCTTCTCCTTCTTTTCATTCGAGCACAACGACCTCGTGTTTGTGAAGACAGAGTGAGAGGACGGAGATCGAGAAACACGAGGATAAAAGATCGAACATCAGATTAAAGAAGACTGAATGTGTTAAAGACTTCAAAACTTGAAAAATACAAAGAAACACAAACAACATTTAACATTTTTAAAGAGTTTATGGACACAGAAATATTTCACGTTTGACTTTCAGCTGTTTGACGATTTTTTACCTAAAACTAATCTGAGTTTTCAAAATACGACTTTGATAATTATGGAATTATTCATTAATATTCATTAATAATGATAAAAACCAATAATAAAGGTTATTATTATAATAGCTCAAGTTGAGAATATTTCCAACATAAATAATATTTTGATAATAACGATATTTAAAACAATATTTATGTTTGAAGACATGTTTATGTTATTATTAATATTATATTGTTATGATCATTATATTCAGACATTAGATTTATACTACTGTTCTGTTCACTGTTCTTGTTCTTTTTTATTATTATTAGTAATTTTCAATTATGTCTTAAATCAAATGAATAAACCAACAACGGTGGGTTGGATTAAAGTCTATTTTATTTTAAGCTTTTTAAAGTTCGTCTCAGGTCAGAATATTTTTGTTTTTCTCAGGCTGACATTTGTTGGTTTTCTTCCTCAGGAATAATCGACCGAAGGTTCACGTCTCTGTTGATAAATTACTCTTCTTCTTTCCTTTTTATCATTTATTTTTTCGTCTTTCTGCCTCATTTTCCATCATTTTCCTCTCGGAGAGCCGTCTGACCGTTTCCTCCAGCTGTTATTTAACGGTGGAAATTATCCTGGGAGCAGAAATCGTTCGGTCCTTTTAGACACAGAGTGGAGGAGATAAAATAAAACCTTTTGGCCTCAAACAGAAACTCCAATATTTCATCTTTTTATTGAGAGTGACCCACCTGCACACGTGAATCCTCACAGACTTCATTAAGTTCATCTTTTCACATCGTAAGAAGATGACAGAGATTCTCTCATGAACATCTTATCATCAAACTCGTTCATTTATTTGAATGTTGGTTATGAAGCAGGACAAAACTCATAAAAACTTTAGGACGGGTGTCATGTGAAGCTTTTTACATCCAAGGCCGTTTCCGCGGTAACTGGGTGTCATTTTAATACGAGTTGTTTCATAAATAAGAAAATAAAAACTTCATATTTTCCAGCTTGTTTTTTCTAAAGAGCGTCAGAAAAACCTGTCGGGTACGAGTTTTGACTCATCGGTTAAAAAACACTGACGCTGAAGTGAGACATCGGTTCACATGTTAAAAAAAATATTTGATTTAAAAGAATAAAACTCAAAGTTTCTTTATCTTTAAATTGTTGCCTCTTTGTACCTGAACTGTGCTGCTGTAACTTTGGATTTTCCTCCTGTGGGACTATAAAAGGAACATCTTATCTTCAAAAAGGAGAAAATCACCAAAATCACCAAAATCACCAAGAACTTCTGTTTCTGTGTCCTCCAGCACGGAGCTTCTCAGGAGGACTTCATCCGCGGCCGACGGGATCAGAAAGTCCGAGACGTGGTGTACGACATCGCCAGCCAGGCTCACGTTCATCTACAACACGTACGTACAGAAAAACGTCGGCTTTGTGAAACTTTACTGTGTGGTGATCTATTTAACCAAACAATACTCAGAGTTTTCAGCTTCAACTCTTCTTATCTCAAACTTTGAGAAAAAAACAACTAGAAACAAAAACCCCGAACAAAATAATTCATCTGTACAACAAACAACTGAACATGTCGAAGATAAATGAACACAAACATGTTTGTCAGAAATAAACGGTTAGATGAGGAACAGAGTGAAGCAGAGAGATGATCCTGAACCTTCCTTTAAAATTAACGATTTAAATAAACTCTGTTTGTATAAATGACAAAGATCTGAATAAACACCTTCATATTAAACACAAAGATATCAGCTCTACCCTTCAGAGGTCACTTATTATAGTTATATTTATTATATTATAAAACTAATCTGTGTTATAATATTCTGAATTAATATGACTTCTATACATTCAAGTATATTTAGTATAAAACCACATTTTTGTTAGTTTACTTCCATGAATCTCTGAATTCTTCTCTGTAGTTTGATTTAAATATTTTTATGTTATTGGACATTTTTAAAGTGACGTGATCAAAGCTGTCCCACAGTTTAACACAGACTTTATAATACAGAGAGTTTTATGGACGATCAGACAGATAAACTGATTTCATCTCAGCCTCAAACACTTGGATCTAAACTCAGACGTCAGCTGTGGGGGTTAGTTTTTACACAGAGAACTTCACAAACTTCCATCAGAGTGAAAAGGATGAGACGTGTGCAGACTCGTGTCAACGGAGGTTTTTACCACCGTGTCAACAAACAGGTGAAACCACTTTAATGTGTCGTGGGGTGACTCTGCTGACCTGAACTTTAGTCACTGTCTGAGTGTGGGAGTGGGGTGTTTTTGACGCGCTTCTAATCCAATCCAAGGTTGTTGTTGTTGAGGAATATTTTACCTTTTATTGATTAAATGAAAAACAAACAAAAAAGACGGAAACGTCCAGCTGACTACGACGGTGATGAGGGTGAGAGTGTTGTCAGAGATGAGTGAGGACCAAAGTTTCGTCCTGTTTGGTCGTCGGAGACTTTCCTCGAGGAGACCTCCACAAGTGTTTTTATTTTTAGAGAAGAGACCCGACAGTGAAGAGACCGACACTGAAGGACTCCTGATCCGCCTCTCTCTCTCTCTCTCTCTCTCTGTTTCTCTCTCTCTCCTTCAGGCTCGATCTTTCAGCTCCAACGTCCCCACAGCTGCAACTCCAGCCTTCCTGCAAACGGTGAGTCTTTAAAAACGACCACGACGCCGTCTGAGGGGTACGGGGGATTGTTCTGTCTTTAAACCACAACAAATCTAGAATAAGACGTTTAACTCCGACAATCATGGAGGAGGAGCGAAGATTTAACAGCAAAAACAATCAAAACATCCGAGAGAAAAACGACAAACCAGAAATAAATTCACGGAAATAGAGAGGAGGTTACGTAATGATCTCTTAACGTGAATAAAGGAAATAAAGAAAAGGAAAAAACATCGAAGACTTTCCTGAAAACAGAACATTTCTAAACGACAGGAAGTGAACATCCAGAGGTTCGACTCAGAGCAATGGATTAAAACAGAGTGGCGACACTCCCATAGGCATACGCTGTACAGCCCGGCGGACCCCACTTCCGGGTTATGGAACGCTTATTAGTTCCAACATGACCGCCTGTCACGTCGGACGCCGTTCGCTTCTATGGCCACAAGGCAAGCGCTCACTGGATTAAATGATAAAATATCAACAAGTTTAATGCCAATACATGTGTTATTGATATCGAGGGGACCCCTTTATATGTAAAAATGTATATCCCAAATGTAATTACGTTTTTATAGTCAGGAATTGGGATCGATGTTTTAGCCACGGTTTGCTCCCACACTCCCCGAGGTAAAATATTGTATCAACTGTAGCGATTTGAAATGAGCCTCATACGGTCGCACCAAAATATATGTAGCGATTTGAAATGAGCCTCACAAGGCCGCACCAAAATAATACTGCAGCGATTGGAATTTATAATAAATGTCTGAAGATTAATAATCTCAAATTATGACATTTATGCACTCGTTGAAAGGGGCACCACCCACCCTTAATGGTGGGAAAATAAAGAAAACAAAGGTTTAATTCAGAAATCAAACATCAAGTCAGTTTTAATTAATCAGTCTTAATTAATCAGTCTTAATTAATCAGTCTTAATTAATCAGTCTTAATTAATCAGTCTCATATCTTAAGTCGAAATTCTAATTTCAGGGACTCCACTTCTGGAAGAACACTAACAGACAGGAACTTAGAAAAATAATGATCTGTTTATTACAGGATAAATGATGGTACAACACACATGCAATAAATGATAAGATAATGAGGATAAAATAATAATAGGTGAATAAATAAAGATTCTGAGTCAGGCTAGGAGCACTAAAGTTAATGATAGTGAGTGAATATGCGCTAACATATTAACCTACACTAACTTTGGTGTCGAGATAAACTCGGATGTGGATTTGGAGGAATCTAAGATCACCAGAAATAGGTGGATATCTGAGTTATGAACGCATGAGACAGCACCAGCCCTCTTTAGAGCTCTGGAGGTTTGCATACTTAAGTGAGACTGGTCCTTGGAGAAGATGGAGCAGGTTCCGAAGGTCCGGGGCTACTGGCGGTTCGAGCGGTTCAGCTCAGAAGACGACTGAAGTCAGCCGAAGGATGAGCCAGGAGTTGCAGCACTCGGGCCCGAAGCAAAGCCAGCGCCTGTGGATCCTGTGGATGCTCGTTTGGGTACTTCTTTGGTCTCACTCAAAAACTCTGGCACAGAGGATGACCTGGGCCTGCTGGGTTGCGTTCAGAGGTGACTTTGAAATCACGCAGAAAACTCAGAAAAACGAGGCTCGAAGAGCAGAGAAAACTTTCAAAAATGGCTTCGCGAAATTAAAGAAAAATCAATCAAAGGCTTAATCTTGAATTGCTATGCGCACAAAAAGTTGAAGTTTCAAAACTTGAACTAAGACGATGTTAAAGAAAAATCAACGTGAATCAACACGTGGCGTAAAACTTAGAAGACTAAGAAAAAGTTCTAAGAGAAAATAAAGAAACGCACCACAGAAGGGTGTGGGCAGAAGAGAAGGGGCATAAGAGCCGGGGACAAGAGAGTCAGCAGAAGAGCAGAAGCATAAGCGGAATGAGAGACATAAGAGGAATAAGAGAGAAAAAGAGCTAAGAGAGCGTAAGAGAGTGAGCAACCCCACTCCACTGGTTTTATCTTCTCACACTGGGAGTGTCTGAGGAGAAAGAGGAGGGGTCATCGGGTCTCTGATTATTTGATCTAACTTATTCTTTTGGCTGGTAAAAGAGTCAGATCTGATACTCACTCACTATGATTAATATCATTGAATGCTTGGTTTCATGATAAATAATTTGATACTAAACACATATGAATGAAGTGTAGGATCACATCAAACATTCTCATTATATTTTAAGTATCACATTGAACATGCTAAATTACTCTGAAATGAAACAGATAGTAACACATGGAAACTGTGAACAACAAAAGAGTAAACACATGTGAATGAACGTCATCATGATTAATAATGGATTCTAAATACTCACATTCAGATTATTCAGTGACATTATAACCACCTAATGGTTAAGATACTAAATAAATAACTAAAATATAAACCAAACATTTCTAAACTATTTCTGTTACTTAGAGTAAACTTAGGATTCATAGTCAATAAATTTAACTCTTAAAAGTTCATGAAACAGTCTGAAAAGCTGTTGGTCTAAAGAACTAAAGAATAAAGGATTTATTCTGTCAGATAAGATAACTTGGCTTCTGAAGCACATAGAAAAACGGGAAACATCTCATTTTAACACAAATTTCATGATTAGACAGATTAGTACATTGCTGAATGCGTAAGATGTCATGATCAGTCATTTGTATTCTTTCACCAAAGGAATGCAGTCTTTATCAGTGTATGGTCGAGCAGGGTTTTACGACCGAGGTCTGGAGGTCAGTGTCCCCCCTTATCCTGGAGTCCGTATGTTCACACACTTTAAGACGCTAAATCTCAAATGGGAGATCTGGGTTGAGACGTTAATGTTTATTTAGATGGTCAGTAATGGAGTCAGTTTGAAAGGTAATAAAAACTCTGTCTCTGTTCGCCGAACTGACCAATCCTGAAGAGTCAGAGGTTTAGTCAACCTCCGGTTGGGTCACTTATTTAACCTGAAAGTGCAAACACGTCTGGAAAGATTTATATCCTGTTTCCTGGGACCAGATAAGGAAACTTTCCTGTAAGGAATGTGTGGGTTTCACATCCAGGGTTGTCTTGATTGCTACAGTCCCCCCTTCGTCACGGTGGTCCTGTCCATGGAGCATCGGGACGACGAGTAGACAACCATGAAGCAGCAGCAGGTGTATGCAAATAGGACTGATGCGTCTCATCATCAGTATGTGAATCACTAGTACTGCTTTGAGATAAAATTAAGCATGCATTAAGCTATCAAATAAAATCGTCTAGTTGTTAGAGTTTTCTCAGTTAACTATTGGTAGACTAATGTGAAAGAAAATCTCCTAATTTTCAATATTAATGAGATTTAGAAAAACACGATTTAGTGTGAATGCTAACTGGATCTAAAGCTATAGCTGTTTTTCATGCTTGCTGGAGAAGTCTGAAAGTTCCATTTCAGTTTCAAAAATGGTTAAGACTTAGGTGGAAAAGAAATGTCTGCTATAGACATATTAACCATCTGTGTATGAGCATAGTCAACCTGAATCACAAACATCAAAAGTTTACTGCACAGAGTTTCTCTTAACTTTGTCTGTTAAACTTGGGGATGATGCTCTTATTGGTTTGACTAATTATCTGCTGTTGAGTCTGAAATTTGTCAATCTGAGTCTTAATGACAGAAATTTCAGCTTTTAATCTATTCATGGGATATTTGACAGCTGACAAGCTGACCATATTGACAGAGGAGAGACAAATGCTAACAAAGAAAGCAGCAACTGGGATTGCAGTCATCAATGTATCACCACAGCATTTGGATATCTTATTGGAGTCATTTAGCTTTGGCTAGGTGACTTCTGCTTTCGCAGGACTCACACCTTCATGACTCCACAGTGTTAATCTCAGTGGTTAGCTGAGTAGTCATGTTTATTCACCTTCAAAGTGGATGAAACCGATTGAGGTGGATAATAAGATCGTCGTTTCTGAGAGTGTGATTTACTCTGATTCTGCCAGTCATTCACCCCACTTTGGCGGTGTCGATGGTTTTTCCTTTGTCTGGGATAAAACCCACCGTGACGGGAGTCTGAATAACAACAGTTGGTCTCAAAGTTTACCCGGCATTGGTCTGAGTCAGACCTGGGCCTTGGTGTGTAACTTTGACCTTTGTGAGTTTGTTGAGGTCGAAAAGGTTTTGGAGGCCTGGTTAACCACTCATTTGGAGGCTTATCGGAGCCTGAAAATACACAGTCTGAAGCTTCGTTCAGCTCCATGGGCAGTGATTTTGTCTCCATAGCCAAGAGAGTAACGGGCTCTGCTTTCTTAGCCAAAGTTTGTCGTTGTTTGGCAAAACCTTTTACAGCAAGTTCACGAAGCTGTCGGCTAGTCGAAGTGTTTGGACAAGCTAAGACGCCAAGGTGATGACTGGTGGTAGGGTGGAGGTTCTGGACGAACAGCGTTTTGAAGTTCAAGTCCTCCTCCATTTCTGGTTCATTTCGGAAACCAAAGTAAGCTTCGCGTAAGCGGTTATAATAATGTTGGGGAGGTTCTGATCTCCCTTGTTTAATAGACAGAGCAGCAGAGAGGCCTGTCTGGGTCAAATAGTCAGAAAACTCTTCAATTAATGCTTGGCAGAGCAAGTCATAATTATTTCTGACATGATAAGGCTGTCGTTCTAGGAAACTGCTAACCTCTCGACTTGACGTCGCCTTAATAAGGTAGATTTTGTCATCAACGGTTGCACCTGGAAATTTCCGCAGGTAAAAGTCAATGTCTTTCAAGTAGGTGCAGGTGTCAGTAGCACCTTGGTGCTCAGGTTCAAAGCATGCTATGTTACGAGCAATTTTGTCAAGATCCCTGTCTGAGGGAGATGGTAAGAAGCCATCATGAGGAGGAGAGTAGGACTCTTGGTTTAAGGATGACCTCTCAGGGTCAAGCAGGGTCCTGTCATGATGCTGAGAGAGATACTTAAGAGTTGGTTTGGAAGGAAGTGATGGCGCTCTCTCAGGAGGCTGATCACCTATCATTTCTTCAAGAAACGTTTGCTCCATGCGTTCTCTTTGGGCTCGACCTGACTGGAGGGAGCATTGTAACTCTCTTTGGGCATCTTCAAGTCCTTTGTCTGTCTTTTCTTGCCGTTCTTGACAAAGAATTAACTGTCTTTGAGCTATCTGGAGCTGGTGCTGTAAGGTAGAAGTTTGCTTCTCCTTAACTTCAAGAGCTTCAGCACGCACTTTGACCAGTGCTTTCAAAGCTTTTACATCTTCTGTTGCTTGCTCTAGCAGGGATTCTGACTGTATCAGATCCTCTGTGGTCTTAGCAAGATGCTTACTGGCTTTGTCAAGTTCTTTCTCTTTTTGGTTAAGAGTTTTATCAAGTCTTTCAATCTTGTCTTTAAGATCAAGATTTTCTTCATGACTTATCAGTGAGGGAAGCTTTGACGCTTCACATCTGGCACTGTGTTTTTCTAAAACACTTAGAGACTCCTTAGTCTCCTCTAGCGTCTTTTTCAGTGTGCTGTTTTCGTCTTTTTGCGCCTTTATCTTTGCTAAAGCGCATTCCAGCAAGCAGTCTTTATACCCAAGCTGAGAAGACATCACGACAGACATGCATCTAGTGAGCTCTTTGTCACGAAGTGTCGTGGTTAAGGCTGTTTCCAGTAGGTCAGCCATTTCATCCTCCGGATTGGAGGGTTTGGCCTTTTGAATCTTAGTCATGTACTGAGGTATCAGCTGACTAGTCAAGTTTGCCAACACTGTGTGTATGTCCCTCAGGGGGTCTCCCTGGCTGGACTCTTTTGTGTTAGGCATGTTTGGTTTTGGTAAAGAGGTGCAGCTGGTTGGTTGATGAGTTTGAGTTGACTTAAAATGAAAGGAAGAAGCACAATATCAAATTAAGTGGGTTAATCGACTTAATTTATCAGTGCTTGATAAAGAGGAAGAGCCTATCTGAGTAGATATCTAATGGAGAGAAAAATAACATAAATTAACTTCATTTCAATGAAAATTGAAATAAAACAAGGTGAAATAATGTTAAATTAAATTTAACATCAGATACAGAACCATTGAATAAAGGGTTCAATTTGTCTCCGTGTTGCAGAGATCAGCAAAGCTTAAATAAACTGCCTGATGCAGTTGGATGAATTTGAAAAATCAATGAAATTGTCAATTTAAGGAATTAACTCTGAAGTTAATTCACAAATTGCAATAAATCCAAAGGTTCAACTACCAAATCCATCTGGAGTGTTAAAAGAAATTTCAAATATTAATTAATTTGTTCATTAATTAATTAATCAATCTTATGAGGAGGGTTAATACATTCATGTATTATAGGGAACAGTAAAACTGCTCAATGATGTGATAAGTAACAACAAGATCAGGTGATTGATTCAAGGAGTTACTTTATCAATACATTATGGAGGCTCTTATAACAAAGATAAAAATCAAAAATCAATGATCAATGATTTAGAATAAGCACATCAAACTTCATCAACCAAGTCAATCACTTGAATTATGTCTGTAGAGTGTTACACACTGACTACAGAGAGGCAGTACAGCTGGCTGATACTGCAGGCAGATAAGTGTTAGCTCAATACCAAAAGCAACCATGTGGGGCAGTATGGAGTTGGGAGAACTGCACAAGCTCAACACTAGTGGAGAAGAAGAGGAAAGAGGAAACAGTCATCCAACTAGCCTCTTGTGGCTGTGAGGAGTTGGGAAGTATGAAGGAAGGGGCCTTTAGGCTCTGCCTCCTTGAAGGGCCTTATCTGCTTAAGGCCACATGGTCAGTCTCTCCACTGACAACAAAGGGTTAACATTTCACAGCAGGCTGCGTCTGCACCCTCAAACATAGAACTTTACACCATCTTCTCAGGCAGATTGGTTCAATAAAATCATTTACAGGAACAAGAATCAAAGTGGCAAATCCTTAAACAGCAGATTCAACTGCAGACTTTAAAATCACAAATGCGGTGATTTGTGGACACAAATTTTGTCTCAATTCAATCAAACAACAACCTCCCACTGTTACAGTGGTTTCCTGTGACAGGTAGTTAGTCTGTCAGGGGAAAGGAGGAAATCTGAATCCCATATAATTACTAGAACTTCGTAGCAGACTATAGAGACAAGAATCAAAGTGACAAATCCCTCAGCAGCAGATTCAACTGCAGACTTTAAAATCACAAATGCAGCGATTTGTGATCACAAATTTTGTCTGAATTCAATCAAACAACAGCCTCCCACTGTTACAGTGGTTTCCTGTGACAGGTAGCTAATCTGTCAGGGGAAAGGAGGAAATCTGAATCCCATATAGTTACTAGAACCTCGTAGCAGACTACAGAGACTTCAGGGGCTTGAAACCACAGCTCGGAGCATCGCGAACACTGGGTTCAGCCAAAGGCCTTAAATACAAGCGTACGGCGACGCAACAATCGTGCACTTAAATATTGGACAGTCTAGACAGAGCAGAAGAAGCAGTCTCACTGCTACTCAGAACAACATTTCACGCTGTCCAGCTCAAACACAGACTACAGGCATGTAGTACAAAAGTGTGTGAAACACAGAGCATAAAGGTTTTATGCATAGATCAGGAAAACATCAGAACTTAGTCAAGCAACTTCAGCAAGCATAGCATTTATTGTGATTAAGTCTAGGATAGCCTGGAAATAAGTTTCTCTCATCAATTTGGAAGGCTAAGTTTTAGGTTGTCTGTTAGTATCCAGAAGTTTTGTTTGAAACGCCTCACGCAGGGGCTCCAAAATATATGTAGCGATTTGAAATGAGCCTCATACGGTCGCACCAAAATATATGTAGCGATTTGAAATGAGCCTCACAAGGCCGCACCAAAATAATACTGCAGCGATTGGAATTTATAATAAATGTCTGAAGATTAATAATCTCAAATTATGACATTTATGCACTCGTTGAAAGGGGCACCACCCACCCTTAATGGTGGGAAAATAAAGAAAACAAAGGTTTAATTCAGAAATCAAACATCAAGTCAGTTTTAATTAATCAGTCTTAATTAATCAGTCTTAATTAATCAGTCTTAATTAATCAGTCTTAATTAATCAGTCTCATATCTTAAGTCGAAATTCTAATTTCAGGGACTCCACTTCTGGAAGAACACTAACAGACAGGAACTTAGAAAAATAATGATCTGTTTATTACAGGATAAATGATGGTACAACACACATGCAATAAATGATAAGATAATGAGGATAAAATAATAATAGGTGAATAAATAAAGATTCTGAGTCAGGCTAGGAGCACTAAAGTTAATGATAGTGAGTGAATATGCGCTAACATATTAACCTACACTAACTTTGGTGTCGAGATAAACTCGGATGTGGATTTGGAGGAATCTAAGATCACCAGAAATAGGTGGATATCTGAGTTATGAACGCATGAGACAGCACCAGCCCTCTTTAGAGCTCTGGAGGTTTGCATACTTAAGTGAGACTGGTCCTTGGAGAAGATGGAGCAGGTTCCGAAGGTCCGGGGCTACTGGCGGTTCGAGCGGTTCAGCTCAGAAGACGACTGAAGTCAGCCGAAGGATGAGCCAGGAGTTGCAGCACTCGGGCCCGAAGCAAAGCCAGCGCCTGTGGATCCTGTGGATGCTCGTTTGGGTACTTCTTTGGTCTCACTCAAAAACTCTGGCACAGAGGATGACCTGGGCCTGCTGGGTTGCGTTCAGAGGTGACTTTGAAATCACGCAGAAAACTCAGAAAAACGAGGCTCGAAGAGCAGAGAAAACTTTCAAAAATGGCTTCGCGAAATTAAAGAAAAATCAATCAAAGGCTTAATCTTGAATTGCTATGCGCACAAAAAGTTGAAGTTTCAAAACTTGAACTAAGACGATGTTAAAGAAAAATCAACGTGAATCAACACGTGGCGTAAAACTTAGAAGACTAAGAAAAAGTTCTAAGAGAAAATAAAGAAACGCACCACAGAAGGGTGTGGGCAGAAGAGAAGGGGCATAAGAGCCGGGGACAAGAGAGTCAGCAGAAGAGCAGAAGCATAAGCGGAATGAGAGACATAAGAGGAATAAGAGAGAAAAAGAGCTAAGAGAGCGTAAGAGAGTGAGCAACCCCACTCCACTGGTTTTATCTTCTCACACTGGGAGTGTCTGAGGAGAAAGAGGAGGGGTCATCGGGTCTCTGATTATTTGATCTAACTTATTCTTTTGGCTGGTAAAAGAGTCAGATCTGATACTCACTCACTATGATTAATATCATTGAATGCTTGGTTTCATGATAAATAATTTGATACTAAACACATATGAATGAAGTGTAGGATCACATCAAACATTCTCATTATATTTTAAGTATCACATTGAACATGCTAAATTACTCTGAAATGAAACAGATAGTAACACATGGAAACTGTGAACAACAAAAGAGTAAACACATGTGAATGAACGTCATCATGATTAATAATGGATTCTAAATACTCACATTCAGATTATTCAGTGACATTATAACCACCTAATGGTTAAGATACTAAATAAATAACTAAAATATAAACCAAACATTTCTAAACTATTTCTGTTACTTAGAGTAAACTTAGGATTCATAGTCAATAAATTTAACTCTTAAAAGTTCATGAAACAGTCTGAAAAGCTGTTGGTCTAAAGAACTAAAGAATAAAGATTTATTCTGTCAGATAAGATAACTTGGCTTCTGAAGCACATAGAAAAACGGGAAACATCTCATTTTAACACAAATTTCATGATTAGACAGATTAGTACATTGCTGAATGCGTAAGATGTCATGATCAGTCATTTGTATTCTTTCACCAAAGGAATGCAGTCTTTATCAGTGTATGGTCGAGCAGGGTTTTACGACCGAGGTCTGGAGGTCAGTGTCCCCCCTTATCCTGGAGTCCGTATGTTCACACACTTTAAGACGCTAAATCTCAAATGGGAGATCTGGGTTGAGACGTTAATGTTTATTTAGATGGTCAGTAATGGAGTCAGTTTGAAAGGTAATAAAAACTCTGTCTCTGTTCGCCGAACTGACCAATCCTGAAGAGTCAGAGGTTTAGTCAACCTCCGGTTGGGTCACTTATTTAACCTGAAAGTGCAAACACGTCTGGAAAGATTTATATCCTGTTTCCTGGGACCAGATAAGGAAACTTTCCTGTAAGGAATGTGTGGGTTTCACATCCAGGGTTGTCTTGATTGCTACACAACGAATGTAATGCCAATACATGTTTAAATGGTATCGAGGGACCCCTTTATATGTAAAATGATTTTAATTTTAGTATGCTCAAATTGTAATTACAGATGTAATTACGTTTTTTTAGTGAGGAATTGGGATCGATTTTTTAGCCACGGCCTGCTAGCTGGACGTCGTCAGCTGTAGAGGCCTGCCAAAATGTATTGTGTGACTGAGTTATGAATCACAGATGAATCATCATCATCAATCATATGTTGAGATGGTTACTTATGGGCTTTATTTTAGATTTCAGCCTTTATCAGTTTCCGATGTTATGTGCAATTTATTATTTTTCGACTAACATAAGTGCTATGTAATTTGATTTCTGCTTATGGGATGATAGAGTTAAGGGGCCGCTACTTTTTAAATCCTGTCAGCATTTAAGGCGTATGTTTAACATGGAAAAATGTTATACAGGCCATGCTGCAAGACCAAAACATTGCACAATTGTTTAAACAGCTTGTAACACCTGTTACTTACCACTTTATTGTATTATTTTCTCTTATTAAAAAGTAACACGTGTTACCAAACTTGTCTTATTTCACTTTTATTTGTCATCTAGACGCTAAATATGCGTACGTGACTTTGACGTGTACACAGTAATCCAATAAGAGTTGCAAATGTTGACTTTTTACGGTTAATTTTAATATTTACCTCTTAAATGCGCGCTCACTGCAGTCTGCCCCGTTGAAGAGCATGGACAGTGCAGGCTGCGTTTGGAACTATGGAGGGGTACATGAACCACGTGACCGCTCCGGCGGCGAGATCTGAAGTTGTCGCCACTCTGTTTAATCCATTGCTCTGGTTCGACTCAAAAGAAGAGTCACGTGACCGAGCTGTACACAGAGTCCTCACTGAAAACCTGGAGTTAGAGAGAAGGTTCAGCTCTGTGAGAGTGAAAGGCGACAATGAACCAACCTCAGCGGGACCTTGAGAACAGACGCTCCACAAACACGCCACCGCCGCCGTCCTTCAACGACTTCCTGTACTGATGTGATGAAATGTTTCTGTTACATCCTGAACAAATGAACTCTCTCGCAGCTCTAAAAGCTCTTTCTAAGAGTTCTTCTCCTCAAGGACGCTTCAGCTCTGCAGATGGACTCACATCAAATTTATTATCCTCCCACTCCAGGTGGAAATACGGCGCTTTTCACCCTTTTAGCATCCGCCATCTTTGTAGCGTGATAATGACATGACTGACAGCTGTCTTCTGTGACGGGTTTGACTTCTATTAGCTCACAACCTTTTTATTCAAACACCAAAATGAGATGGTTGGTCCTGTTGTTGAGAGTTTAGAGGTCAGAGTGTCATCAGCATAAAATCGTTTTACGTCACGATCAGAAAAATCAGCGAGAAATTATGAATAAGAATCGAGAAACAAAGCGGTCCGAAGATCGAGCCCTGAGGAACACCACTCAGCGGTGACAGACAGATGTTATCCAGAGGAGTGAGTTAGTCAGAGCGTTTACATGAACGTGTCCTCCTCCCCAACACTAGGGGGCGATATGGGTCTTTACAACCGTCAACAACAACAGCAGGTCGGTGTCAGACGTCAGAAGTGTCTACAACTGCTGCTGGGCATTTTGGAGAAACAAGAAGATGGAGCATCGTACAGCGTTGTTTTTGTCCGACATGATGGACGCGCTACTTTTTCTAAAGAGGAGACCAACGCTACTCCTCTACTCTGGGGGTTTGTTACGGGGTTACGGAGGCGTGGCTTCATACTCCGACTACGCTGGTTACATGGTAGAGAAAATCGGATTCCAATCTCATTTTCTGGGCGTCTTAATCAGAGTTCTCAAACTCCGATCATATTCGGACTAAAGTGTTTATATGACCTTCAGTTGTCCGGTCTTAGTCGGAATAAGGCGATAATTCGGTTTTCTCGAGTGTCATGGAAACGGACTGAATGACGTCCAATTCTGTGTTGAAAGGACAACTGGACTTAGTTGAGACGTCTCCCAGTTGTCCTTTTCATGCGTTGATTCCCTCTCCAGAGTCATGTGACTAACCTGTTGGACATCGTTGGTTTGAAATCATCAGAAAACCATAAAAATCTGTTTTATTTCCGATCATTTTAACCCTGAAATGTCTTTTAAACTTCGTCCCTCAGAGTTCGGAGTTCTCCGACGATAATCCGAGTTCTCAAACTCCGATTATAGTCGGACTAAAGTGTTTACATGACCTTCAGTTGTCCGGTCTTTATCGAATAAGACAAGGTTTCCTCGAGTGTCGTGTAAACGTACTGACTGAGTCAAATTAGCAGAAAAATCATTTTAATAACGATGTTTGTTTCAGTAAGTGTTAGGGTATTGATAAGGTATTGATAAGGTATTGATAGGGTATTGATAGGGTATTGATGGGTATTGATAGGTATTGATACGGCTGTAACGTTAGCTGAGTCGATGTTTCGTGGATGTCTCTGTTCTCACAGTTTCTGGTTCTCCCTCTCTTCCTCGAGTTTTTCAAACAAACCCCGCCCTCTTCGATTGTCTCCCTCTTGGTTTTTGACCTTTTTTCTCTCTACAGATAAATCTGCGTGATTCTAAAACCTCAGGTTTCCTGAACATGAATATTTTGGTCTTTACACCGACCTGACGTCAGCATGAGTTCTGCTGCAGGAAAACGCTGATCTGTGTTTGCAGTTTTTGAAGCGTTTAAAAGAGTCTCAGCTCAGTTTTGGGACTTTCTGCTGCCGCCATCAGTCCGTAAACGTGCGGCGGCGGCGGTGACCTGCTGTAAATACAGTACGCAGCTGAAAACCTCTGAGCAGCTCTCAGGAAAAACACTCTGCCCTCCTGGATGAACAACCATGATTCACATGCTGCACACACACACACACACACACACACACACACAGAGCGGCGTGCTCGTCCACGTGAGAGCGCTGACACAGCCACTCGTGCTCTCACAACACGCTGAAAATTTAATTCGGATGAGTCGCAGGTTTGGATGAGTGTCGCGTGAAACAGCAGGAAACGGGGAGCGAGCGGGTGAAGCCCGGGGGACACCACACACACACACACACACACACACACACACACACACACACACACACACACACACACACACACACACACACACAGAGGAGTCTTTATTTAAAGCTGAGCGGACTGTGAGATCAGGAGACTGAAGCTCAGAGTCTGAGTTTTTATCTCGCCGTCGTCTCTTCGGCGTGTTTTTAAAAACAGAAGTTTGATCGTCTCGCTCTCAGAGGTTTGAGGAGCTTTAAAATGAGGTCCTAGTTTCCATGTTTTACTGGATTGAACTGCATTTCCCATGAGCACCGTCACCTGCTGTGGTAACCATTAACGGCTCCATTTTCCATTCTGTTTGCGTCTGTAACTTCTTCTTCTTCTGTGGTGCTGTGCGTCACAGGTGGTGTTGGAGGACTACCTTCAGCGGATCAGGAGGGCAGATTTTGATGTTTTCAACCCCAGCCTGCAGAAGAGGAACCCCCTCATCCCCCTCCAGCTTTACTTCCGGTCCTGGAAGAACACCTACTGACACCAGACCACCACCACCTCCACCACCACCTCCTCCACCTCCGTAGATCCTCCTATGAGTCCAGATCTTCTGCTGCCTCTGGAGGCTGCAGGACTGACCAGAGACTGAACTCCTCCTCGGTCTGGAGACTGATCTGTAGCAGGTCTATGAAGAAACCAGACTTGATTTAACCCCTGAGATCTGCCTCCTTCAATAAAGACCACCTCCACCAATCAGACCAGAGACACCTGCTGTCGTTTCTCAACCCGCTCTGACTCCTTTAGAGACTCCGCCAAAAAACAAAAAAACAAAAGACTAAAAAACGGAGGTCCGGGATCTGATTTAAAGATGTTTTCTGCAGGTTTACATGAAAATATTTCTCTTTTTAGAAACTTTAAAGTCCTGGTTGACGATCTGATCTTCAGTTAAAAAACACTGAGCAGATTTGAAGAAGCCTGACATGTCAGAGACGAATCCGAGTTATTTCTGTAACATGAGATAAAAGGAGATAAAAATGACCTGTTCGACTAAAACTCTGCTGTCTTAGCGTCTGTTTTCTCCACCGCTCCAAGGATGACCCGATGGTTATTCACCTTTGATTCCTCGCTTGGTCACATTTCCTCTTTGACTCCGCCCTTTCTTCTGTCGGCGGTTTCCTCCCACTTTTGGCGGTGCGGCGAGCAGAAGTGTTTTTTTTTTGCGTCCTTCTCCATCACAGCTCCTGTAGCTAAGCTGCTACGCTATGAGAGAGTGGGAGGGGGCGAGTCAGAACTACGGGAGAGGGGTGTGTCAAATACAGCGAGGTGATTGGATGGAGAGGCGGAGCAGGAGATTGACCAATAGGAGCTGTCCGGGACGGATGGCTCCTATTGGTCAATGTTTTGCAGCCCTGCTCCTGATAGGGTGAACAGATTTTTTTCATTTTTTTCTCTTCACTTTGTGGAGATCGCACTATAGGACCATGATCGCCATGGAAACTGGTTGGTTTCTACTGTCCGATATTGTAGCACGCTAACTTTGTTTGGGCTCCTGAACGACACGGGGGAGCAGCGTCTGCCTCACAACCAATCAGGTTAGAGGAGGTGGAGAACGGCTTTGTTTACAGTCAGAAAGAGCGGACCGCTCAAAAATGTTCAAATGTTGACGACACAGACAGAAGAGAACACAGAGATATCGATATATTACCAAATAATCAATAACTAATAACTATTGACTGATATTAGAAGAGTTTTTGTAAATAAACCATAAAATAAAAAGATGTTTCTTTAACAGATTCCTGCTGACTCCACCTTTAAAGCTCCTGTGAGGAACTTTCTAGTTATGTCAGTATTGGCGCCACCAAGTGGACAAACTAGTCTTTTTCCTCATCTTGTCCTTTACGTTTGTAAGTACGGTCCTCTCCTTATAAACCTCATTCAGCTAAATTTAGCAGTCAGGTTTGTGATTTATTGCTCATGGGTGACGGTGCTCATGGGTAATGTAGTCTTTGTCCCATAAAAAACAGCTGATTTCAGGCGGCATATTTCCCGCAGATATAAACACTGAAGGATAACGATGACTGAGAACAAAGTTTAACAGAGTCGACATAAGAACTCCTTCTGGAGAGTTACGACACAGACATGAAGCTGGACCTGAAAAATCCAGGACTGCTGTAAAAACCCGGATTTTCTGTTGTTCCTCCTTCATAACTCGAAGACTCCAGAATATTCCACTAAACACTCAGATTCAAGTATCCTGACAATCATGTTTGATTGAAGGAATTCGGCCTCGTCTGTTTCTCGCTGCAGGAGGGACTCTAACAAAGAGCTCTGATGTAATTCTGACCTGAAATGATGGGACCTAAAATACAATCATGGAAAGAAGAGACTCATCAGAGATAATAAGACGGAGGATGTTTTCATCTCCTCATGTAGAGAGCCGTCTGAGCTTCGTCTCTCTGTTTCTGTTTCTCTGTGTTTAAATCTGATCATCTCGAGCTGTTACTGAAGAATTCGTAGCTCTGACTGAGAGGAGAAATAAATGTGGATTTTAGGACCGATCCTGCCTCAGACAGTTTCTACCATCAAACAGTCACATCAGTTTTTTAGTACCTGATCAAATTACAACAGAATATATTAGAATGAAGCAGGAATGAGTCAGACTGTTTTCTCTGACTTTCTCTTTAAAAACTGTCGCTCAGTCATCACGTCCACAAACACCTTAAAACTGATTTTTCTTCTACATTTAAAGGGATATTCCGGTGTTAAATTAAGTCAGGGTCAAACCCACCGTAACACCCAGTCAGACCCCCCCTCCAGAGATGAATGTTGTCGACCGCTTTCTTCTCTAGTTATACCAACTTTAGTAACGACCGCAGGATAGAAATACAGAGAGACACGCCCCCAACCAAAACGCCACTCTATAGCCACAAATAATGCTCAGAACAGCACCTAACTTCATCAACAGGACATATAGGGTCCCTCATTTTTAATTTAAAATAATATCCCTTTAAAGAGAACTCTCAATATTTAACTGTTCTGTATAAATCTGACTGCAGGTTACTCTCTAGTCTCTGCTCGGCTGCTCAGATCTGCACTGTGCTCTCTAATCCTGACACGGTTTAAGTCTCGGCGCTCTCCTGTCAGAGGAAGTTTCCAGCCTGTCGTTGGTAAGTGGTGATAATTTTCCCATCTCTTCTCACAGACTCCTCTGAAGTCTTAATTAAGACCCGTCCGCTCACTGTGCGCACACAGACCTGCTATTAACTCGTCTGACCTGCTGTTTACACATCAGGACACCAGCTTTACTCTGTGTGGAGGAGACGGAGCGTTAACAAGGACACATCAGCCCCTCATGAGTCATTAAAACCTCCTATTAAGACCTCATTCTCCTCACAGAGTCACTGAAAGAGCTGATCTCACTTTAAAGGAGCAGTCAGCAAGTTTACAACCACTAGGGGGCAGGAGATGATTAGAGGGAATACTCTCGTCTGTCTTTGAACGAATTATTGAGGCCGACGTTCAGCAGCTGAGGAAAGAGCGTTTGTGGCCCTCTGTCGTGGTTTTGGAAACGTTGAAATACAGTTTCCCTTTAATTTCACAGTTTAATCAAATGTTTTATTGGACTAAATTCACAACGTCAAACACAAGGTCATATTTCAGCGACGTGGTTATTTTCCGATCTGTAGTCTGTGGTTCAGATTTCTTCATGAACGCTGCCCGAACTTTCTGTGATCGATTTGATGTGGCTGTGGAGTTTCAGAGCAGACTGAGTCAGAGTGTATCAGGTGGAAACTCCTGCAGAGACTCAAGTAAACAGATAAAATAAGACGTGAGGGGAGGGTTTCACTCAAGCCAGGACAAAAATACAGAAACAGATGAAAGCGCCATCTGTAATTGGATGATAGAAACAGAGAAACTCTCAGAGGGAAGGTTTCCGTTTCATCTGAATGATGACGGAGAGGAAAGAGGAAAAACAGGAGGAAGTAAAGACACGGCACATGAGGAGACGGAGGGACGAAAAGATGAAGAAACAAAAATAGATGATACGTTTGGGTAACGTTGGGGTATCAGGGTTCGAATCACTGTCCGGGACCTTTTCAGGAGCTCGTTCAGACCATTTGGAGTCAAGTGGGACAAAAACATAAAAGGAAAATATCAACATTTTTAGACTGTGAGGGTTTTGTTGGTGTAACGTTAGAGTCATGTTGGGATATTAGGGTTAATTTCACTGTCCAGGACCTTTTCAGGAGCTGGTTTCAGATCATACTTTTTTAATCAATCATTATTTATATCGGCTTTATGAACATGAGGAGTGGTTAGCTGTTGATGTAGGTAAATATTTTCCTGATAACCAGCTGGGATGTCATGGCGGTCAGCGGTCTCATGAGTGACTATTTCTCTGTTTTTTTTTTTCACTCTTTAAGGAACAAAGAAAAAATCTCCATGAATGAATCTGTATTAACAACACGAAGTCTTGACCTCGTGTGAAGTCCTCAGCTGCTGTAGTTTCTCGTGGACAGTAAACATCCACTCAGACAGGAAGAATGTCTTTAAGTCCTGAACTGTGGTTACCTCAGATATAAGGACCTCTCCTGTCAGATGAGTCACCGTCGCCTCCTTAGTGACGCCTCTGCAGAAACACACGGGTGTTATTGTTGACAGAGAGCGAGCCGACATCAGGGAACATTAAAGGCACCGCGGTCACTAATGACTGACGCTGCGGAGAGCGACCTGAGCGGTTACAGAGGAGGTGCTCTGTTAGTGGACTGATATATATGAGAGTATGTGGGCGTCATTTATTAATGCGTCTGTGAATTTACAACACATTACTGTGGAGCGTTAAAGGGGCAGTGCGTGGCGTTCAGCAGATTCGGTAGAAACGCACAGCCATGTTTCTATAGCAACAAAGAATGGACAAACAGAACTGCACCTACTGGAGGAGGAAGTATGTGGATCAGTTTGATTGATCATAATTATCAGGCATCAAGAGCTTCTTGTCCTCAAAGGCCACCGTAGTTTCACCAACAAGAGGGGGGAGCAAGAGAGCGTCAAATCAGACTTCTGATATATTTCACTTCAGCCTGTTGACGCTGTGGCAAAATCATTGTAAACAGGTCAAAACTGAACGACATGGAGGAAAGTTAAATAAATGATCCTGTCCTGCAGTCCGTGCACCAGCAGCAGAGCTGAGGAGGACAGGTCTGAGTTGCTGTTCCGACAAAGTGCAATAATTCAACCAAACAGAGGAAGTATCTGAGTTAGAAGAGCGTAAAAAACACTCGACCTGAGAAACTCTCCAGATTCACTACGCTCGACTCCATAACTCCGCCCCTCGTCGTCCTGTCCTCTTCTGGGTCACCCGATGGTCTACGGTCACCCTAATTTACGTGACTAAATTTCCACCAATCGGTGTTGAATAAACCTTCACCTTTAATTTCCTGAATCAGCTTGTTTTTACGTTTTGAACACTCTGACCTCTGAGGATGTCTTTATACGCTGATGACACCAAAATACGTCTGAGTCTAAGAAATGTTCTGTTTTCAACGATAAACTTTATACAGGGGGACAAAATGAAGACCTTCCCACAGTCTGAAGGACGAATGATGAAGGTTTTTATTTTTACTGAATATAAAATGAGGTTTTTATTCTACATACACAGAAACACCAGAGTTTGTTCTCCAGACCAGCGTCTGTCAGCGGCTCAAAAACCTCCGAAAAGAGTAAATGTTTCTCTGGTAGAAACAGACACTGAGATCTGTTCCTCTAACATCCGAACATCCGTCTTTGTGCAGATGTCATAGATGATCATATTATTTATGTTCGCTGACTCAGCTGTGATTGTTTGTCAACCTTCAGGAAGGAACTGAATGGACTTTAGTGAACATGGCGCTCTGACCGCCGTGTCCTTCATCGGGTTTTGTTGTTGTTGTTGTTGTTGTTATGGCAGCCTCTTCAGGGGAGCAATACAAACAGACGTAAACTTTTTAAAGGAACAGTACGTGCTTTTATTTCAGGGTCAAGGGAACCAAAAGGGTCAAACATTGCTTAACATGATCTTTATGAAACTGCTCTAATTTGTCCTTTAACAGCAGCGAGAGCTGAAAATGTCGTAACATGAGCGGATTTTCACGTCGCGATAACTAAACAGTACGAAGGTTGCTGGTTGACGTATGAAAACAGACGGTTGTTCGCTGGTATCTAAAATGAAGGACAAACTGATCGTGTCGGTGTGTGGGTGCCCTGAATTATATGATACCTTTTCTTTTAATTATCGAAACCGGAATAAAAAGGAGACAAGTGAGTGAGGAGGTGGGATTACCTGGTAAACTGTAGAAGACCTTTGTCTATAATCTGATCCTGCCGGTCGGATTGGCAGAGATTACCGTTGAAATTACCGTTGAAATACTTGCTATTCGTTCAAGCGTCAAAGTTCACAGAAATTAAACAAGTAGATGATTTTACTCACGCTCAGTGTGAACGGCCCATTAGTTTAGTATCAAACTGGAACCAGACCAGATCAAACCCAACAGGTTAGAGGAAGGGCTGGTCCAGTTTGGGTTTTCTAAATGATCTTCAACATCTGAACTCTGTAAAAGTGTCAAACAGACAAACTACAGTGAAAGTTTTATCCTCTCAGAAGAGGACCCACGGTGTTTGTTTAGGTAGAGACATGCTCTCTCTCAGTGGAAACCCCAGAATAACAGATAATAACAATAATAGATTTACATGTTTTATTAGACACAGTTTCTGACGCCAGTGCTGGACATGATCAGACAGAGGCATTGCTTTTCCCTCTCTCTCTCTCTGGGTGGAAACAGAAGCTTCAGTTTTTTCAGTAAACACAGGAGCTCTGGGGTGACTTATTGAGTTAAAACCAGCTTTGATCAGAGCTGGAGATCCTCTGGGTTTGTTGAGTTTATCTTAACACCCAAATTTAACCCTAAAGTTGCCTCACAAACTCTGCCCCCCGGGTGTCTGTGGACAGTTGTGAGACATTGTTTCTTGTCTCTCTTCTGTCCCACCGCCTCTCTCTGAGCTGACTGAAACTAATTTTCCATAATTTCCTCAAATTAAACCCTCCGCCAGGCCTCTGTCTTTAAAGTTTGTTATGCTCTGGATGATAAGACGCTTACAAAGGCGGTGATTTTAATTGGGTCCTCTGAAACACCTGACAGTGAGGCGAGGGTTTAAGTGACGCACACGTCAACATAATTGCTCAGATAAGAGGCTGTTTTCTCCGTCCCTTTTGATTCAGCAGCAGCTTCTGAATTATTTCACTCTCTGTTTTTGTTTAAAACACCTCCACAGATTAACCCGCCGTCCCAGAACTCGGCGTTCTGTTGTGGATTAATACCAGTGACAACAAAGCTGACTGCAGGTTCATGGAGAAAATCAAAGACTGCTGTCCGTGCAGAGAGAAGACTTAGGAACAGAAATAACACAAAAACAAGACTTTAGAGCAAGTGCTGTTCATTAGAAATAAGGATTCAGTGTTAAATTCAGTTCTGACATCAGAGGGATAACAGCTAACGAGCTAACTAAGCTAACGCACAATTACACTGTGAGGTGTTCAAGGTCGGGTCGGTAAAAGGAGAAGTAGACAAAGTAAACTATAAGTTATTATCATGTGTTTAAATGTCATGTCCAAAAAAAGAGAGAAAAATGATTTTATAATAAATATGATCGTGTGAATAAAAAGACTTTATTATGTTATCAAAAAAGACTTGAATCATTAAGGATCTCGATGATTAATAAACTCTAGAAATACTCATCCCTGGAAAAAGAGCCTCAGAGTCCTGATCTCACGACCACGATCACAGAAAAACCCGACTTCAGAAAACATCTGAAACTTCTTCGATAAGAACTGGAAAAAAAAAAATCATTTAATTCAGGAAATTTAAAGACTAACAAGCTGTTAAAAATCCCCTTTTCATCAAGTTTATGTGTAAATAAATGAGATTTTGATGTCGGGCTGTTAGCATGTTGTTTTTGATGAGAAGATGCTCTCCGTTGAATGGGTGTGTATGTGGTTTCTGGTGTTTCTGGCGTCAGCCTCAAGTGGACGCTTGAGGAACTGCAGTTTTGGCGTTCCCACACTGGGTTAGTTTGAAGCTCAGAGGTTGCTGCTCGAATGGAAACTTAAACACACACCGACAAAGCTGCTATCTCAGGGTTTGACCATGAAAAACACTCGTCAAACTCTGAGCAGAATCTGTCCTCAGAGTTTAAGGCTCCGTTTATCCGTACCCGGTTATTTTGAAAAACGGAGACATTATTGAACCATCGGATACATCCTTAGACTGTAGATTATAAACAACGCCGCTTTTAACACAGTTTCCAGCGCACAGTCTGCTGATGTATAGATGTGCATAGATGTATGCAGAATAGATGTCGCATTTATGTTGGTGTAATCCCTTTATGTTTGTTTGCATTTGCATCTTTTCTAATGTTGTTGTTGTTGTTGTTGTTGCTATACAGGAATTCTGATTGGCTAACGTGGGCTTGAGTTTCTTGCTACACTGCCACCTACAGGTTTGGCACGCTCTTGACGGCGTACAGACATGGTTTAGTTTAAATGACAACGTCTCTGAAAACAAGGTGGTGTGCAAGCTATTTTTTTGTAAAGGGAGAGGGTGAAATGTCTGTTTATGAAAATAGCCGGGCACGTCTGAACGTAGTCTCAGACTGATGAAGCTGATCTTAATGAGACGGTGATGGATCTTTATTTTAACCTGAACCTCCAGCTGCTCCTTTATCTCCTTCAAACATAAACTCATGATCTTACCCACGTCACAGAGAGGAAAAACATGTTTTCATTCACTGTTATTACTTACTTACTAAAAGCCAGGTACCGAACAATAGAGAATATGGAGGATAGAACAGACAGAGACACAAACTAATGAGGCCTCCTGTTGAAAAGGAGCAAACATCCAGAGACAGCATCAAACCTGATGAAACTAAAGAGAGAGCACCTCTCCTTTCATGTTTCCCTTTTCAGACCGTGACTCACTCGTCTCCATTAACTCTGCCCTCAAATCAGAGCGAGTCTTGGAGGAGGTGAATCAGGACTCAGACTGAGACCTGCAGCCAGAGTCCTGGAACAACACTCAGCCTGCAGATCAAATCAACCTCCGGCTCACAGTGCGTCCCACGTGTGACTCTTTATTATGCCGCCTTCATGGACCTCCGCACGTGACGCACACATGAGGCCGGCATGAATAATACACAACAATGTTCGCCACACAGTACATGACAAAAGAGGAGATCAGAGAGCCGAGATCAGACGCAGCTTTTACTGAGAGCTACGGCGGCCTTGGAGGTCCAAATTACCTTTCACAAATTAAAATGCGTCATTTGGTTCGAGCCGGTTTAAGAAATTTGGATGATAAAGAGCCGCAGAGACGTGATGAATGAATTATCCTCTTTTTTATGATTTATTTTGTACCTTCATGAAAGCTGCTCGTGGAAAATGAATTTAAAAAGGTCCAGAAATGTGAATTTAAAGGTTTTCTTTTTAGGTTTTTGGTCCATTTAAAAAAAATAATTGTCTGACATTTAACAGGAAACGTTTGAATTTCCTAAAACTGTTTTTCAGTCTCTGACTCAGTTTTTTCTACTTCAGTTTGATTTCTGCACAAACTCTGATCTTCATGTTTTTTTGGTGATTTTTTTTGATC